ACGTGACGCACTCGCTTAATTATATCTCCGGTACAAGTAAAAGTCTTTATGAGCGACTATTTCTACCGTGTAAATAGCTGTAAATAGCTTCGGGAAGTGGCTCGGCGACATTTTTCTCCGGGATTTAAGCACAGGTGGCAGCAGAATCCCTCACAATGCATCTCCAAACACAATAATAATCGAGAGGAAACTGAAATCTGTCCAGCATCCTGTCATTTTAGCAGCTTCCCATGATGCCACTCCATTCGACCATGCGATAATATAAAAACGCGATTTGAATCGTCAGCGCATGGAATAATAGTGTCAAAGATAAGAAACTGCAAATAAAAGTGGAAAAGTGCTAACAGGTGGTTTTTCGCGGAATTAAAATAGTGGTTTTGATGGGGAACAGAGTGGGGCGTAAGTTACAGTTTTTGTGTTGTGATGGTTTGAAACAAGGGGATTGGCGTTTCCGGTTTTGGGTTGTGTAACAGTTAGGTTGTTAGGTATTTATTTAGCGAGATTTTTTATTTGCATAGTTAATGCATTTTGTAAGTAATGAGATATATTCCGATAGTAATTTGCAATTAAGCACACTTGCGATTATACAATGGTTTTCTGTTATTTTACAAATTGTTGAGAAGAAAAAATGGAATGTTGTAATGTTTTAAATGTGGCCGTGGGAACACAGATTTTTGCAACACTTGGTCACAATGGGAAATATCAAAATCCCAAAGACAGAGAACAGATAAAAAAGTGTTCATGAAGAGGCTAATTAACCTCGTAGATCTTTCTGAAACTTTTACAAACTGTAAGGATTGTTTTGGAATTTTATGAATTATTTTTAGAATTTTCGAAAACTTGTAGACCAGAATCTAAAATACTAATACGGGGTGATATTAAAGTATGTGCAAATATTTTAACAGGTGAAAGTGGAGCTCAAAAGAAGTCAAAATAGCAAAATTTGCCTCATTCGAATGTTTATAGTTTCTGAGATACAAAAAGTACAACCTCCACTTTGGCGTCGGAGAAATTGTCAAAAAACTGCAATATCAACGAAGTTTAAAGCTTTTAAGTACTTTATTCCAAAGTTTACGTTGCTAGTTGTCAGTAACATTTGAAGTAATGAAATTCGGTGCTATCTTCAACAAAAAAATGGAGACTTTTTTCTGTACCTGTTTTTGCTGACTTTTGCTCATTTTTTTAAAACAATGTAATAGATTTTAAAGAGCTAATCTTAGATATCATATTTGTTTACAATTAGGGTTGGTAAAATTAAAGACTGCGCCCCAAATTTAAATTTATTCGAGCAATAAAACATTCGCATAAGGTTAGTTGAATTATTTTCTTTCTTCTTTTAAGCTCTATTTCTACGTTCACTTGTTAAAATATTTGCACATACTTTAAAATCAACCTGTACTTAAGTTCAATATTTAAATCAGACAAAATATTTTGTAACTTAACTGCTAATGTTATATAAAACTTTAGTGGTGTGAACACCTTTTAGACAGGTTTAAAACTTTCTCGAAATAACCACTTGTAATGAAAAATCCAGACACAAAAATTTATCGTATAGTGAATGTCTTAGAAATATGTAATACATGATTAAACTCTATAACATATGATAACTCTATAATATATGATTGAACTCTTTCTGCTGTTAAAAATGCTGATGTTATGAATGCAATGAAACTTAAAAAATCAGTCACAAAAGAACAATCTTGAGGAAAAAGTTATGGTTCGAAAATAATCTTTTTAGTGTTTGATTTATGACAGGTCAAAATAACAACAGATTACTATTTTCTATACTTTATGTATATTTATGTGCATGGGCGTCCACAGGGGGGGCAGTGGGGGCCGTTGCCCCCCCTGGGACGATAGTGGTTGCTATATTTGATATAAAAAAAAGATTTTTTGATTTCTTACATGAATAAAATAAGAAACTAATATTTACATTTTTATCACGAACTGAGTGATATGAAAATAGACAAATGTAACTGTTATTATTAATTTCGACTCTTTTCTTTGCTCCCCCTGGCCATAATTCCTGCGGGCGCCCATGTTTATGTGTAGAATCGACAATAGAGATTTGTCGATTTCTTATCCTTCGGTTCCCTTTTTCGGTTAGTCGTGTCGTTTGATTTTTGTTTTATATCTTTATCGATTGTGCGACGTCTTTAAAGTGACAATTTTTACTTGCTGAAATAAATTTATTTGTACAGTAAATGTGTGGCAAATCTGTGCAAACTGTTAAATAATCAAACAATACATAACGCAAACAACTTCGAGTTTGTTTTCCTTATTTGCTGAATGCATCGGAAACAAAACTAAAGCGTTCCGAATTTGTAAAAACAGATTGCCACTGACACAAATATCCTTTCAGAAGGATTAAGGACGTATTTGTATTGATGTAATAGACATGTTTGCTGCTCAGCGGCCACTTAACTACTATTGACAGTCCATTATCAGAATCACTATTGGACTCAAGGACTGTTGCTCACAGGAATTAATAACAATTAAAATCGTAAAAATATCTAATTTTAAGTAGACGCTTGTAAATCCAGGAAATGAGAAACTCGCTGATGCATCGCGAACTTGAGTTTTTATTTCTGAATCGTAATATTAAAATGTTGCCTAGAAAGTTAACTTGCATAGACAATATCCGGCGGGAGGAAGGAAATTTCAGCAGCGAGGTAAATCTATAAAGATAATGAGTTTCTGATTACGTATGGTGGGACGCATTAAGGATTGATAGAGGTGATTGGGGGCAATTACTGTATTAAGGAGAGTTTAATAGATAAACGGGGGATATTTTATTTTTACTCACTAATGAAAGTCGTAAAAAAAATAAGACAATTTCGTCCTAATCCTATAAAAAATTAGTCACATTTCCGACATTTTTTTCTCCTATTATTTAATTACGGGTCGTGTCCTTGATTTGTCAAAAGTCATAGTACAAACAAATCATTTATTTCGATTTTTTAAACTCAACTGCTCGGTTAGCAACTGTGACTGTAATTTTTGAACGCTCTACAATGTAGAGCACAAAACACTGAAGATTTGCTATAGAGTCTATAGCAAATCTTCAATGTTTTGTGTATCTGAAGATACCAATTGAAGGGAAATTTAATACATTAGGACTAGCAGGAAGCTTCTCATGCACACACATATATTCTGCACACATTTTCCTAGGGGACTCGCAAGTCTCTAAAGTGATGTTGGTGGTATTGGATCGATGATTCTTTAATGCATTCATGGAACATACAACATGGTTTGGTTTTACGTGATGGTTTCTAATTTGACTTAAAAAAACGAACCCTGATGGAACACTCAAGTTTAGTAGGGCAATAAAATTACACCAAGAGATGTCATTTTGGGTAACTGAAATCTTGTTAATGCAAGAAATAAAATTTTAATGCTACGAGGGAAAAACACTGATACTGAAGCCTCACATGAAGGTTGTATTACGTCGATGGAATATGAAAAAGTGCTCGAAAATAATGGCTGATAAGGTTTAGAAGTGCATGTTTGCGAGAAGAAACTTCACTTGAAAAAACTTTATTTTTTAAAAATGGAGTCAACATGCATTGGAGATTTTTTAATACACTTTTCATTTAATTTATTGTTCCTATCCTATTAATATGTATGATAAATGGATGTAGAGAGAAAAAAACTGAATGCTTGCTCTGGAGATGAATCTACATTTTTTTATTTCAAAAATAGGAAGTAAAAAATGTTATCTACATAAATAATTTAAGGTAATTTACGCTCCAATTAATGACTTTAACACTTTAAATTAAGAAAAATTGATTCTAGATTTTAATCTTTTTTAATTTAATTTAATATTATTTATTAGAAATTTCACAATAAAATTATTTTTTAAACATTGATTTTATAATCCCCAGTCCTCACATCATTAAAAAATGACTTTTTTATACAGTCTGTCCCTGGATTAAGTTCAAAAGGAAGAAAATATTTATTATTTATTTTACACCAAAACTGCAAAGAAAAAACGTTTTTTGCTTCACCTGAAACGAGCAAACCTGTAATTAAAATTTCATTATTCTGTTTCAGTGGAAATAGTAGATTATGTTATTAGGAGTAAAAGTGATTGTTTATGTGGCGAAGCTGAACGTTCATTTTACCGAACGGAGTGAGGCAAATGGATTCAGCTGAGCCACATAAACTCACTTTTACTCCAAATAACATATACTATTCTATCTGCAAACGATTCAGATGAAGAGAAAAGAGCAACACACCAATAATCAAGTAAATCACCTCAATAATCAGGGCGTTTTGCAATAAAATCATAACAAACGTCACGCGTCAGTTTCGGAATTTGTGTTGAGATTTCGAAAGTACTGATTGATTTTCTGGTGAATAACTGGTGTAGTTTATAGTGCAAAATGTCGAATGCTGATAATCTACCTTGTACCTCTCCAGAAAATGCTGAAAAAGCGAAAGAGACAAGAAAGAGACAACAGTGATAAATGTCAAAGTAAGTGTCAAGTAAAAGTGAAAACGCCTAGGCGTAAAAACAGTGTTTTTATTCCATGTCTGAAAAGTAAAACTTTTACCTGTGTCATATAGTCATAAAAGTGTCATTTTTCTGACGTTTGCAGATAAAAACAGTTTATTTTGGACTTGTAATAATTTGTTTCTGCGTTTTAAATCCCATCACATTGCCAGTTTTATATTTTTATCGAAGATGTTACTTTATTTTTAGTTATGTAATAAAAGTATACTTTAAAATGTGTGAACTGGGTTTAGTACCTAGTCTTTTATTGTATTAAAGTGAAATTTTTGTAAATGTAGATTAAATTATGAAAGTTTATACGAGTATAATTGATCCTAAAATAAAATTCTATGTAACCTGATCTAAATTGTTGGATCAAATCATTAGATGGAAATACCCGAGTCCTTCTCGAAACAACCTCGCATTGTTACCGTTGTTAGGATTCGTTCTAAAATTACGCTTATTTTCCTGATGTTATGGAGAATAAAAGAAAGAAAGATTTTTCAAATAAAATAAATATATTAAAATTAAACTAGCGACACAAAGTTTAGGTACACTCTATATAAAAATCTCAATTAATTAGAAGTAGTTCTATTGAGTCACCTTGCTCTCAATTCCTAAATTTAATTGGTGTTTTAATACACTTGACTTGTTTTTTATGTACATATTATACATTATTGCATTATCTTATCTACCCATCTACGTCCTTGACGTTAATTTAATTACTCTACTAGTACTCAGCCAAGTCCGTAAGAACCGCTTCTTTTCGAACAGATAAGATGAATAAATTTGCTGTTTTTATCACTGACACTTCACACGTATCCGTTTCCGGGAGCTTGCAGTTTGACAGCGGTCTCGTAGCTGGGCAGTCCACCCTCGTCCTCACCTTTGTCCCAATCCGATCCTTTTCTGATGGGAACAACAAGATCATAGGCCGGGGGCGGTCCAGGAGTCGGCGGCCGGTGGCTTTCGCTGAACTCCTCCGAACTGAAACACTGAACACGAATATTTACTCGACTATTCCACTTTTCAAAAGTAATTTTATTTATGCGACTATCGGAAAAATTGGAACAAGAGACGAAACGTAATAAGACTTGATCGAAGTTTCCTTGCGGGAAAGTTAGAGATGCTAGATTTCAAACTTTGTTAAGCGACTGTTTCAGTCACTGCCAAGTTCCTAAATGTAATTTTAAAGGACTTTTTAATCGGGTTTTAATGGCCGTTTACTGAATGATTACCAGCGATTATTCAGTAAACAGGTTTTTATGGTTTTTCGTGAAAATAGATACTGACTGCCGCTTATTTTGATGAGAAAGGTAACTGGCGAATCTGCAAAAGCAAACTGAATTTTTTAAAACATAAAGAAAAAGTACATCACTAGTCAATGTTTATTTGTATTACAAGGAGGAAAGTGCATCTTTTCCTCTGTTGGACGGAAAGGTGGAAACCACCCAGGAAGGAAAAGGTACTTTCCTCCAATACAATACATATAATTTTTCCTACGATCCAGCAAGCTAACAATTTCTTATAATATTCCAGTTTTGACAATAAATCAGCAACATATTTTAAAATTTTTACCTCATGATAGGTTACATATATTTTTATTGTAATTTTGACTAATGAGGCAGGAAAATTTTTACCTTCCTAGGAAGTGATTAGCCACTTTTCTTTCTGAAATTAGGATGGATACATTTACTTTCTGTTAGGGTCGTATATAGTTTTACAGAGATTTTTGCAATCAACAAGCATTTTTTAATCGTGTTGTTGTAGAGTACCTACATCAATATACTATGTTTTTTTCAGGTTATTATAAAATAAAAAGGAAAACATCATGTATATACACTCAATAAAATTGTGAATATTCGGTGACATTTACGTATGTGTAATTTACGAGAAAATAAAGTGAATTTAATTCCCGATCCGTTTATAAACAACTACTTCACGTAAACTGAAATATTTTGAGAGTGAAATAAATTTTTGAAGCCGTAAAATGTCATCTAAAACGCATTTACAATTTAAAGTCCATTTGAACCCTATTAACGTAAGTGACCTTATCTACCTACCTTATTAAGTCTGCTATTAAACTTAAAAAGTAATTTTACACGTAAAAAGGTTTTTGAGTTTTTATAAAGTTAATTAAACAATAAATGTAAATTTTTAATAGTGTCACTTTTATCTTAATTGCCATAAAATTTTCAAATAAAAAAAAATACCATGTGTAACTTGGTACGAAATCCATTTCAAATGTAATGTTGTAGGAACCTGGATGAAAATTTTATATTTTCACATGGAAAATGTCATTTAGTTTGATTAAAATTAATTAGTCGACTTTCCAATTCCATCCACCATTAAGCAAGCAATGAATTGAAATTGTTGTTAAAATACGCTCAAGATAATAAAGTGTAACAATGGGCAGTTAAGTCTACCCACGCCTGGTAATATTTAATACAAACCAAACTCAGCGCCTACTTATACAGGGTGCGCCAGAACTCGTGCCCCATAGAAAAATTTCTAGTAAGATAAGATACCGAACATGGAAAAAATGTTTAAAAAATTCTATCTGTCAAAATAAATTTGACATTTATTTTTTCACATTTGACATTTTTTTGTGTCTATTTAATGAAACTGATGATCTTGTTTATGTTTTTTTACTGTTATTTAGTAGATGTGCCAATAAAAGCCTCAAATAACATTGAACAGAGGTGCAATTTAGGATACAGCTTCCTTGTTTCCTCTTCTAATAGCCTGTAGCAAAAAAACTTAGAAAATTATTTTTGCAACAGAAATGAATAGAGTCAAAGTGTAAAATTTAAATTTTCACAACTTCGAAATTTTATAGATAGAATTTTTTTAACATTTTTTCCATGTTCCGGATATCTTACCTTATATGGCATTTTTCTCTAGGACGCGACCCTGTATATTATTAAAACGTTAATAATTATTGTCGCCGTTAAAAACAGGTGAGTTACAGTTCTATGCACTTTCGCTACCAATGTTACTACCCAACGTTTCGGACGTGACCTTGCAACTTTTATTCAACTGTCGAACACTAAGAAATGTCAGTCTATTTTTGGCTAATTGTAATAATTATTATTTAAACGGAAATAAATTGCAGTTACGTAGGTTTGATAGTCCCCTTCGATCAGTTTAGCTCGCAGCGATAAGGAAACGGTGACAACTCGCAATCAATAAACTAATTACGATAAAAATAGCCACGAAACTCAAATCCAATTTATTCGATTTTATCACTCGACTTGCATTTAATATAAGTTACAAACCGGCCGCTTCCGGTCTTACCACACGCGTTTCCGCTTCTTTTAATACTCACACTTTGCGCCTCGACGGTGTATATCTCCATAGAGAGGCCTCCTGGGTCCCTCCAATATGGAGGCAAATGCGTTTGTGATTTCCGATGCGTCTTGTGACAGCAGTAGCAGAATATGAAGACCACAAGGATAATGCCACTGATCATAGCTCTGCCAACGAAAGACAATTTTAATATGTTTTCGCGGATAAAAATGCAAATTATGAGGTTTTAAAATAACTCAGTTCTCGATTTGTTGACGACTTTTGTCGCATGTTTCACCCGGGGCGGAAAATTCGGACGATGACTTCCGTGGGATTGAAAATGGGGCGTTTTTGCATCTTGATAAGCGAAGAAATGGGTCAAATACAGAAGAGAATTTTAGAAGAGTCGGTTCGTGATTCGGAAAACAAAGTTCATTTGGCCTAATTACGGCATTTGCAAAAACAAATAATTTATTTTCGATTTGGAAACACAAGTAATTTTTGAATAAAAAATATCGACTAGGGTCTATTAAATTACATTTTCATTCGTATATGTGATTCTTTTTGTTCAGTTTTGTGAAAGTGGACAATTCAATAACTACTAATTGGTTTAAATTACAAAAATGTTAAGATTTAATTATTAATTATATTATTAGCCAATTAAAGCTCTTAAGTGACTTGGAGCATCGGAAAAAATTAATAAAACAGAAGCCCACAACTCTGTATGAAGACTAAGTTTTAACGAGTTTATTTAAGGATAATGGAAAAAGCTAGTTTCGCGAGGAGTTTTTATCGTTAGGTACATTTATCTTTATTATATCTACGCTCACTTACATTCTTTTAATTGCAAGTAATTAAAAGAAAAACCCGAATCAAGTGATACTTAAAAATACTGGTCTATTTTCGATTTTCTAACTTATAAAATGTCTATTAACATTAATTTATTATAAACGTATTGCTTAGAAACTGTTTCGTTACTTTTTATGAATTATTACAAATTCTCAATAACAAGTTAGTAACAATAGTATATTATAATACTAGTTTATAAGCAAGCCTTTAAAACACGCACGACGGGTTTAAAAGAGCGTGCGTCAGCGGAGTGCTTTTAACATCGTAAGTGTTTTAAAGGCGCTTATAAACGAGTGTTATACACTATTTTTTATAATACTTGCCCATTTACGATCTTTTATGAGCATTGAAAAAATGTGAATTTACACAATAAAATTATCAAAGGTTGTTTGTGAATCGTTTTCGTAGAGACGGTTACTAGTTTACGTTGTTAAGCACATTTTTCACGTTGTAATTGGTCCAGACATTTCCTATTTCTTGTTACCTAGACAACTTTAAAATTTCGGCGTGCTATAAAGGCCAAATTATGCACGCTGCAGCGTGTTTTAATTTAAGATTATGATGCACGTATAATAAAAAATATTTTTTTAAATATTTGTTCGAAAACAAAGAAGTTGGCTCAAATCAGTTTATAATTTTTCCTAAACTGACGCTTTATTTCTTCAGGTTTGACTAATAATCTGGTACTTTATTCCATCGGGAATAAAATAAATAAAGTCCCGATTTTTAAATAAAATGGAGTTAAATGAATTGAATCTTTTGGTTGTTTCTTGACATAAACGAACTCTTTAATACCGATTTTTAATCAATTCAAGGAACTGAATATGTATTTCGACAAACTATTTTGTTATGTTATTATTAAATTTAGTCGGTTGGGAAGAAAGTTTTATATGCATCATCTATGGAATAATCATCGTTAAACCCTAGAATGAAAATTTCTACATTTTCGGAATTAAAATAAGTAGTTGCTTATTCTCTTGATGCATAAATAACTATTTTTTGACAACAGTTTTTTTGTTTCCATATTACTTTATTGTGTTCTCTGGTGTGGGGAAAAACATAACGGTATAAAAGCCGTTTTAAAGTATCTTGCTATTAATGATTAACATTTGTGCTGTTTAGTTATCTATAAAATGCAATTGCCCCTAACCCCTCAATTAAAAAACTGCAATAAATCGTTTTAATCTGAATTTCCTTTCTAATTAATTTCTCTTTCCATACTCCCATCCAATTAATAATTTCTACATTATACTGAAATATTAACACCTTTGGGTCGTCTGATCAATAATTACTGTTACAATCAGGAAACTGGATATAAACATCTTACCCTCCCAGCATCACGTTGACCCCATGCACCGGAGCTGGAGGGGATCCTGGTGTGGGGTTCATGTCGGTTTTGTTTAGTCCGCCATAATTGTGCAATGCTGATAGGACGGCCAGTTTTTTCATTGACATAACACACCTGCAATTAACAAGATTAACCAATTATTGTTATAAAAGTTTGAAAGCCGAATTAAGTGGATTTTAACTTAAAGAAAGTGCATAGAAGAATGCTCGCCGCTATCGTTAATTATTTAACTGAACTAATCAAACGAAAATTTTAGAGAACAATTTATTTCAATAGTTATTTATTCTACGAGTTTGAGTGTAAATCGGACGGATTATTTCACCGAGTGGTTTATCATCCACGAGGTGGAATAAAGCGTCCGATTTACACTCAAACGAGTTAAATACAACATTTTATTCTTCGAATTACACTCAACAAGGTTTAAACTTACTTTAAATCTGTTAAAAATAATTTGACGTTTCGTATTGAGAAATGCCAAACAGTTGTCAAAACTTCCTTACACGGGAGAAAAACCGTAAATTTTGACAGTGTTGAAGAATAAAGTGATTTTTATACTGTAATTGATTTTTAATATAGGCAACCAACATTGTTCTTCCAAATACTCAACTAGGTATTATTCTTGCTTGACAAAAAATTCTAATAATGCACTGCACTGACAACAACTAAACTTAACAATTACAATTTTTGTTTTATTCGAGGTTAAATTAATTAGGTACGAAAATTTATGTTTGTCTTTACGTTTTATTATTTATTATAACTATGAAAGAAAAAAATTTCTTATTTAAAATGATTTGTTGAGTTTTACAAGTTAAAGGTCATTACCTTGTAATAAAATCTTTACTGCCTGGGTAAATTATTAATTGCAATTGCTCTTAGTTCATTTTGCGATCGATCATAGCATTGAAGTAAATTTTTCTAGGTTACAGCAGTAAACGCGTATTTTTCCAAATTAATGATGAATACTTTATCATTTGACCCGATATTTTTATTTATTATTTTTAATTACAATAATATACAAAGATCTAAAAATATCTTATTAAGAAAAACAATTTCGTCAAGAAAATGGCAAAGTAAAAAAGTTATGAGTTGTGTAAAAATTTAGTCATTATTTTTTGATACTTCTGCTCTAGAAACTGTTGCTATTTAAATAAATAATCCAAGGATTTACGATCTTTGTCGCAATAGCCCTTGGATTGTGAAACGACAAAACTAAATTCTTTAATTTGCGAAATAATTCAACTGCAAATCGATTGACCACAGTATGGTTGTAACACTCATCGTTGTTTCAAACACATAATTTCATGGTTAATCATAATTCACATTTGCGATCAGAATTTTTTTCAGTAACTTACCTGTTATAAAGCGCCGTGCTGGTGCTATCTCAACATGGCAACCTTTAAGCTTCTTCAATATTTCAAAAGGCCAGAAGTATTCTTGAAGCGAAAGTCGTCGACATGTTCGATGACCCTCTGAAAGTATTGTAAAACACATATGAAACGCATTACACGGCACTTAATATTTGAAACATGGTAAAATTCGTGACGCACACTTAGTATATCGAACGCTCTTTCATGACTAAAACAACTTACATTTTGCCTGAAATAATCAATACTAGAGGAGACTTAATGCTTTCATTTTAACACCCAGGACGACCGATAATGGAATCAACCAGAAATTGTGGAAGCGCCAAGCAAAAAATAATACCCATTTTCATAATAGTTTTATTGATAAAAAAAATTTAGTAATTTGTAAATAAATAAGTTATTAAGAATTCCTACACAGTAATTTATGTTTGAACAGTTAAACTGTTGGTGGAGGCGCCGGGAAAATTCGAATAAAATTGTTTCAAGTTAATCAACTGGCAAAATTTTTACGCTTTTAATTTTTAGCATTTTCTTTTAATTACTAATCATTTAATTGTATAGAGAGTAGTCTCCAGTATTGTTGTAAAGTTTCGATGTCAAATAAATTCCTTAAAAGTCTCATTTCTTTCAATCCTAGTAAATATTTGTTTGCTACATTGATATTTATGTATGCTGGTGGTCCCGGAGCATAAACTTTAATTTTCTATAAAAGACCATCACGGATTAATAGACTTAGATTCCATTTTATCCACTTTGCGGTAGTTTTTGTACTTTTATTTAATCTGAAACTTTGTTACAGAGGCTCGAGAGGATGAAGCCTGGCGAGGTTAAGCGTGTCCTCTTCTTTTTTTCCTTCTGCTGTATTTTATTCTTCATTTATCTGTATTGGCAACAAACCAGCAATCTTACCACCTCGAGACTTTTGTACACCTATAGACACCCTTATCCAAAGCAAAAGTAAGTATTATTTGCGTGTTTTCCCGTGAAGGTCATTTTATTTTATAATTGGAAGCAATTCTCCTCGAGGCACGACAAAAGGTGCGGTAGAATTAAATTTAAAAGATTTTCGACATCGAACTGTCACGGAAGTCTAGCTTCAACTCGGCTTTATCTCGAGAAATTAAACATACATTAGACATTTTGCTCGTGTTTCTTCTGACTAAAGTTGGATAGTTAGGAAATGCATATCACAAACAGATCTAGTCACATGTATTTTAGTAGTCGCGAATTAATTAAAGCCGGATTTGAATGGGCAAGTAACATGAGCGGTTGCGATTGACCACAGATCTGCATATACCGCCAAATAAATCACTGCGTCCGATGATGTGGCAAAATATGATTGGGTCACGGCGACATCCACAACGAAAAACTATTAGCTTGTCATAATAAAGTTTAGTACATCGTAAAAGGGGAGTAAAAGCAGACTTTGATGGTCGTTACGCCACACATGGTCACGAAATAATAATTTGGGGATCAATAACGGCACGAAAGGTAATTTGAAAACCTAGAGTAATTGGGTTAGTAGTTTAAGAAACTGTTTTATTTTTCTTCCGAAAAGTAAATTGGATGTTTTTCGAAGGAAGAGGCGGCAAATGTGACATGTTTCAAACATCTTTTATGTGTCTTACTTTTGCACAGCCGGAAACGAAATAAATTCGGATTGATAAAAAGTTCATTTTTCAATATGTCGGCGTGATCGATGAATATTATAGAATAAAACTTACTCTTTGTTGAATTAATTAAAATGTAATATGTGATCTGTTGATATTGCACCAATTGCACTCATTCTGATCCTTTAATTTTTAAAAAACATTTTTTTTCTACAAAATTTTTGGATGAAGAGAGTTCTAGATGTTCCTTATTAATCTATGTTTATGTGGTTCATAACATTATTTATGATCATACAGTGTCAATGAGACAATTATTTACTGTCATTTAGGTAGTACATATACCACAGTTTATCTCTACTAATATTAATTAAATTTACATTGTTTGTTGAGACGAATGCTTTATTTTCAGAGATTTTGTAATGAAAACAAATAAGTGACTGTTCTCTGATCAAACATGTACCTATATCATTATTTGTGACTCTTGTATGTATATGTATGTATTAGGTGCTATCTAAGATAAAAATTTTAGAATCAATTAACTTGCTAATAAAAATTTTGTTTGGACACAGATATTGTAAACCCGTTTATTAGTTATACGGGTGAGTAAAAAGTATGGAACCAACCATTTTTTGCATAAACTAATTACTTTAAGAAATAGTATATTAAGCATCAGGAACGGTAAGGACATTTTACCGATCGAAGACAATTGTTTGGAGGAAGAGTGAAGCGACGACTCCAATTATTGTCTGAGAGTCCTTAACGTTCCTGATGCTTAGTACCTACACAAAAAACGGTGGTCCCCTACGTCAAAATGTATGAAACGGCTACATCGGTTAAGTTCGCAAAATCTTTGTGATGAGCTCGGAAGGCAACTTTATGATATTATTAGAAAAAAAAAAAACTACTCGACAAAAAACAATTTTATTTAATTAGATGTCATTTTTAGCTCATAGTCTTTAATTAAAAAAACTGTCATAGTAGGTTTGCCACAAATTTTTTTTTTTGCTAAACTAGCAAAATAAAAGAAAATTTGAAAACTTTTATCTTTAAAAAACGATTTCATTTTTATTTTTTTGTAAAGTAATTAGTTTAGGCAAAAAACGCTTGGTTCTATACTTTTTATTCAACCGGTATGTAGTTCCATGTACAACAGTACAAAATATTTTAGATAAGACGGCGCGCCGTTGTGAAGAACAAAATTATAAGAAGCGTATACGTCCTAGCACAAAATCCTGTTTTTAATTTATTACATGCAAGTATAAAGGTATATGAATTAAACAGATACATACAATAAAAACTGTAATTTATTTTATATCGCTCAAACACTAATTAAAACCGGAAAACATATTTGATTTATGGTATATATATTATACCTAATTTCAAGTATAAAATGTGTTATTTATCGTATTTGATATGTATGTATGTAAAAGAATAACATGCAATCATCATAATTTATTACATAACTTTCATTTTTTCTCTGGCACAGTTCTTCAGAAGAGATAACCAATTATCGTCGAATCAGTACCACCAAAAATCTATCCAACCTACAAAAAAGATCAGATTTTTGTAATTTTGCCGTAATGTAGGTGGCTAATGCCCGTAGTAAAAACCGTTTTGCTTGTTTCAGGAAGTCGCACCCGCCCCAGTGGACATGGCAGTGTATAAATCAGCGATGCGAGAGGCGGCATATAAAAGGGGACATCCCTATAGTGTCATTATCGACATGCAGCATGTTGTGCGGCTCGACGCAACTCTGGCCCCAACCCACCGGACCTGTAACTCTCGCCAGCAGGGCTGTCACATTCAACCATCAACAACTAGAACTCGAAACGGACACTCCTGAACCCGCTAAGACACTTTTAGAACATTCTTTTGTGGCCTTTAATAGTAACATTATCAGTCTAGTCCAAAACAAAGATTACGTAGAACAAGGAACTGACGTTAGAAGATTTCTAATCAAAATCATGATTTTGCACCCGAATATCGTAAAACTAAAACTGGACACGAGCGAAGGGTATAGTTTGATTGTAAAGCCACGGAAGGACGAAATTGTGGCTAATATAACAGCGAAAACGTTTTTTGGAGCCAGACATGGGCTTGAGACTTTGTCCCAGTTGATTTGGTGGGACGATTATGAAAGAAAAGGGGCGCTTAAGGTACTTAAAGGAGCCACGGTACAGGATAATCCAATTTTTCCTTATCGTGGGATTATGCTGGATACGGCTAGGAATTACATGAGTGTTGAGAGTATTCGACGAGTGCTCGACGGAATGGCCGCAAATAAACTCAATGTCTTCCACTGGCACCTCACCGATTCTCAAAGTTTTCCCTTGGTGTCAGAAAGAGTGCCTCAATTAGCGAGAAATGGGGCTTACGGACCTAATATGATTTACACATCAGAAGATATCAGAGCTTTGGTCGAATTTGCCCGAATTAGAGGTATTCGAGTGGTTCTTGAAGTTGATACTCCAGCCCATGCCGGCAATGGATGGAACTGGGGCCCCCAAGAAGGTCTAGGTGAATTAGCAGTATGTGTCAACGAGCGACCTTGGAGTCTCTACTGTGGGGAGCCCCCATGTGGTCAACTCAACCCTGATAATCCCAATGTTTATGAAATCCTCGAGAAAATTTATAAAGACTTGTTAGAATTAAGTGACGAAACTGAACTCTTTCATTTGGGAGGAGACGAAGTGAATTTGGAGTGTTGGGCCCAACACTTGCAGAAAACCACGACTTTGATGAACTACACCGACTTGCACGACCTTTGGGGCGAGTTTACTCTCAAGGCTTTAAAAAGATTAGAAAGGGCCAATAACGGTAAAAAAATTCCTCTTGTGATAATCTGGTCCAGCAATCTCAGCAAAAGACCTTACATTTACAAATATTTAGATAAGAAAAATATCGTGGTGCAGAGTTGGGGGGCGAGTCAATGGCCAGACACCCCCGATCTCATCAGCGACGGCTACCGGGTGATAATCTCTCACGTTGACGCGTGGTACCTCGATTGCGGCTTTGGGCGGTGGCGCGAGACGGGGGACGCAGCGTGTGACCCCTACCGACCGTGGCAAACCGTTTACAACCACCGACCATGGCAGCAATTTCACCTAAACAAGAAGCAAATTCTGGGGGGTGAAGCGTGCCTATGGAGCGAGCAGTTCGACGAGGCGTCGCTGGATACGAGACTGTGGCCGAGGGCGGCCGCCTTCGCCGAAAGGGTGTGGAGCGACCCGCAGCTGGATGTAACTTCGTTCACCATACAGGAGGACGTGTATACGAGATTGAACACGCATAGAGACCGCTTGGTGGCTCGGGGACTAGGAGCGGAAGCCATGTGGCCAGTGTGGTGCGCTCAAAATCCCGGTATGTGCCTTTGACGGGGGACCAAAGGACTGTTTTATGTGCCAATGTGTGACTGAAAGAACGCTCTTGCCGAGTACTTACAGCCAAAGGTTCGATTCGTCAGTACAATTAGAGTTAAGTGGATCAGTAAGTGCTTATTTATTGAATAAAAATTTTAAGTAAACAATTAGTATTTTATTGAAGTGGAGCAAACTTAGTTACTTTTGTACTGAGTGAAAATTATTGTGAATGAATCATCGTATTGAAAGTTATTAAATATTATATTTGACACCTTGGCGGGCTTACTAATAGTAAATTGTTTAACAAATAAAGAAAAGTGCAAGTTGAGCATGCTATTTATTGTATCCTTTATGGAAAACGTGGAAAACCTAAGAATATTTAACAAAAATTGTTTTTCTACAATCTTTAACATATTTTAGTTGCATACTTATTTGTTTATATGGTTGTATTGCTAACAAGTCAAGTGTTGCTAATTAGTAAAATAAAACATTTCTTTTTTGAATTCTACCTCAAATGGCTATTTTCCATTAAAAATACAAAAAAAAAGTTGTCCCTTCAGAACACATTCATAGTCCCCGAAACTGTAACGCGAAATGGAAACAAATTCCAACAGGTTTGTAGATGTGAGCTACATCTCAGGAAGTGAATTGTACAAAAAGTATTCACTTTTTTTTAGAAGAAGCAATTTAATGTAAAGAATAAATATACTTAATAGAAAAAAAGCTATATAAAATCAGGAGGCAAACCACAAGAATACCTACATCTAATTATGACAAAAAAGTACTTGAAGGAATGACACAAAATTGAATTTCAAACAATGTTCTATCTGAATTACATTTTCTATTTTATAACAAATAATCAAATAGAAAACAAAAAAAAAATCACTTATGAGGCACCTCGCAAACACTAAATATTAACATCTCTCATTACCTAATTATTAAATTAATAAAAAGGAGAAAAACGAAAAGCTTAATCGTAACGTGATGCAAATTTTAGAAACTCAAAAAGAATTTAAGTGTATATAATTGCTTTTTTTATTCAACAAGAAACAATTAATAGAATAATTTAATAAACTGTTATTGCACTTACCCAGAATGAGAACTTCTAAAAATTATAGCAAAATCTATGATGATGTGAGGACAGCTTTTTTCACTAGTATATTTTATAAACATTAATTCTTACGTTTAATCTGTTTTCAAAAACTACAAAAAAAAATAACATTTCGTTTGAGTGAGGTATCTCACTGGTTTAATTCATTCGATTTATCAAAATAATAAGATTGTGTATCTATAAAAAATCATCAAGAACTCACTTCTTGACTGAGTTGGTTTCGTGACTCATTTACCAGGAGAATAAGAAGAAAAACAATTGCAGTAAATTTAGTTTAAAACGAGCCAGAAATAATTGTAATTAGAATTTTATAAAATGTTATTACACATACCAGTAAAAATGCCATTAACAGTACCTAATATTTAATTTTAACATTATATATTTGAAGAATCTCAACTTACTTTCGTTTGCTTCCTCGTGCCACTCACGTGCCACACTTTAACGCAAGAGCGTCGCGACGCCAATCACCATCTCCGAAAGATAGCGCCGAAGATACTACTGATAGTAGCTGTTGTGACATTTCATCTTTAGCAACCTGTAGCATGTCACATGTTCGCGCAGATGCCGTCGCGACGCAGACGCATGTGACGTCAACGTCGCGACGTCATTGCCTCCAATGCACGTGATTGCGACGCTCCAATTAATAACTGGTATTTTTCGGGGATAATTCACGTGCAATCGACTAGAACAAACGTGAACTTTAAAGGAAAGTGGGCGACCGAGGTCTTCGAAATAACGGAGGAAACAAAAAATAATTGACCAAAAAAAAATAGTGAGAAGGGGGAAAGAAAGCCGCCAGGACATTTATTGGTTATACCTACACTTTTAGATTATCGATTTTCTTTAAGGAAATTCTGAAAACGTGATGTAAATTTCTTCTATTCTATTGGGATTTGAATTTTCACGATGAAAGTTTTAGATATTTGAATATTTTGCTCATTTGTGGAAACAAGTGACATATTTTAGCTAAAACTTTGAAAAATGTGTTTAAAATGACTTTAATTTTCAAACAATTTGTTTTTGAGTTGTGAAATTTGCATTTTAGTTTTTTTTACGACACCGACAGCTTGGAAATTGAAATTCACTAGCTTTGTTTTTACTTCATTCAAATGCAAATGACTGTATGTATTGAACGTCCCATGAATCAACTACACTCAAACTTGGAGGAGTTGAGGTAAAATCGATTCACTCGACGACATTTCAAAATGTTTTGCATTCTCAACAAGTTTGACACATTCTAAACATGGCTGTTTATTTAAAATTAATTACTTTTTGTCCTTCTTTAAGGTTATTTATTTTATTGCATTTTTTAAGCCTTACTAAATTAGCAAACTTTGAGTTAGTCCAGTTTAGCATTGAATTTTACATACAAGTGGTAAATACTTGGTCCAGTAAAGGTTGACTTCTCCTACAACTCTTCATAATTACATATTTAATTATTAATAGAAGCGACTACAAGCCGATAAGACCAATAACAGGAAATGTCTGAAATTGAGTATTTTTTCCATATATACCGAAACAAAGCAACTCTTTTATTTGAATTACATTATTTAACCCCAGTGTCGATTTACCGCCAGGTAAGAAATTGATTGTTAAAAAATTCAAAAGCCACGTTTTGTTCCGACAAAATATTCAATTCATTATCCAATTGAATTTTAGAACGCAGCTTGTTATTTAATTGATACCGACGTGAAATGTAATTTATAAATTGCTTTGCGATTTGATATGTAGTTCAAACCTCTTTTTAAACGAACTTCTTCCGCTTTGTCAATTGCCACAACGAGCTAATTAAGACCGCAAATGGTGTGCAACGTAAACAGTTTATTTATTTGTAACTACATCAAAAGAGAAGAATCAGAACAAATTCTTTCAATCTCTGGTGTTGCATAAAGTGACCAATGTGTCCCTGTTGATCTTTTTCTCTTCGCACTTATCCTCGGAGCCGTCATAAATGGTCACACTGTCCCTGGCAACGTCCATAATTTGGAGCAATTTTCTTGCAGTTAGGTCGTGCATGGATTTTGCCTTATCCAGGACGAAGACAGTCATTTGCATCCTTTTCATATTTTTCTTCCTTGTAAATATCTTGGCCAAAACTTTGCAAAATGCGGGACAAAACATGTAATACAGGACGAAATCTGTGCTCAGACTTATCGCCTGAATCACTGTTATTATCTCACGAACGGTTTCAAGCGATTTAGAGTTGGTGGAATCGGAATCGTCGGAATCTGCACCAGGGAAAAAGAAAGACGATGCCGATGCACGGTTGGTTAACATTGATGGGATCTGACTTATCAAGAAGAAAAACACGATTAGGATTAGCGTCATGGTCAGATTGGTGTAATTCTGCGGAAAAGAAAGTAAAGAAATAAAGCATGGAGAAAATGGGGCAAAGGGACTGCTAAACTTCGGAGAAAATACTTACTTGAGGTTTTCTACATTTGATACTGGTGTTACATTTCCCGTACATTTTTTTTATTTTGCGTAGATTACTGATAAGAAAGCTGTTTCCAATTATAAGGAATATTGACGGAAAAATTCCCAGAATAATAAATCTCATCCAGTTGTAAACGTCGTATGAACTAACAAATAATTACATTTATTTTATTTAATTAAAAAGTTAAAGAAATAAATTATATTTATTATAAAATAAAAACGCCCCCGGGTGGGCTCGAACCACCAACCTTTCGGTTAACAGCCGAACGCGCTAGCCGATTGCGCCACGGAGGCGATATTACAGCAATCCAGACTTCAGTGTAATACACTAAACTAGCTTCTTTATTTTTTTTAAGAAAAATTTTAATATTATTTGCACATTTTTTTGTATCAAATATTTTATTAAAAGTTGTTACATTTAATTAATTAAAAAGAAAAATGATGTTACTCCTTAATACATACCACCACAAAAAATTAATTTTTACTTAAAACTTATAGGTGTATGTAAGTACCTAAGTATGTAAGTTTTTGTTTTCGAATTTTGATAAAATGTGTATAAAACACTATACTTTTTGCATTAGTTTTACTTAAACAAACAAAACCTACCTTGCATAATAAAACGGTTTAGTCTCTACATCTTCTCCATTATTTGTAACAAAAATAAAACAGTAGGGTAAATTGGCCAAAACTGACACAACAACGCATCCAAGCATGATTCTTCTTGCTACATATTCATGACAAAATTTCGGTTTTTGTCTAGTTAATGGATTAGATAAGTAACAAACCCTGTCTGAAATTAATAATTTATTTTCTTAGAACAATGTTTTGTTACTTTTACCAAAAGTGACCATCATGGTCGTCAATACACACATGGTGTTAAACATCGCCGCTAAAGGTAAACCGAAAAGAACATCATAGACTGGCCATTTGTTATCCAAGAAGAACACTCCACAACTTAATCCGCTCATGAATAATAAAATGGAGCTACAAAGGTCCACAAACGCTAAAACTAAACTGCTTGTAAATAATTTGCGTTGTGAACAACGCTGAAACATTAATTACTATCAGAAAACGTCACTTCAAACGGAAATTCCGGCCAAGTTCCTCTTTTACAGGATATTAAACTTCATTTGGAAGAAAGATAAAATTTTGCTTACCTGCCAAATAGACATAAACGGAACCTTTCAGTTCTCTTCGAGATAAAACAAGCAGTGTTAACAAATTGCCACATATTCCAAAAATGCAAATTACAGGTGTTATAATAGAATAAGCAATAACTCCTAAATGTTATATGTACTTAAAAATTTTAGTTTATGTTTATAACGTACCTTCTTGATTGGGTGTTCCATCGTTATAAATATTGGTAGCACCAGAAAAGTTAGAAAACGCATAACGAGCACTCGGATAATATGTAAGTGCATCCATAATTCTTCATTCATTCAATTTTATCTTTCATTATTTATGTTTTTATTGTTACAAATTCTCTGAAAGAACTGTGTTGTATCAAAAAATCAATGATTTGGAATTGTTGATTTGGGTGATGTGTTACTATGAACTAGATTAAGATTAAAACGTTTGTACTGTTAAGCTTAATTACAGATCTGTGTAAATTTGCGGAATTACTCGAATATTGTAATATATGTCGATACGTCATTTGGATAATGAGATTGGAGTAAAAGTTAATCATTTCGACAATGAAACATCCACTTGACCCCCAAAACCGCACCTGACATTCACATAACATTAAAAACAAAATAAGAAAAAGGAAAATAAACAAAATTGAAACTTCAAAGGAAACATTTTTTGCTTCACCTTAAAAGAGCAAATCTGTAATTAAAACTTCATGCTGAATACTAAATTTTGATCTCTGTAAACCATCTCCGTTTTTCGTAATTTTTATACAGGCTCGCTAAAAAGTATGGATACAGTTAAATATTAAAAATTCATCAAAACTTATTGAAATTTGGTATATGCTTAAAAGTATTTAAATTCTATCGCCTCAGATGTTTATGAAACTTCTATCTCCATTTGTTCTGGGGAATAATGGCATGAAAGGTCAAATTTTTTAAAAGAGCATTTTTTTCTAAATTTTGTGATGTAACACATGCATACTTTATTTTAATCGAAAATTATCGAACTAATTAAATTTTGAAAAATGTATTTTTTTAACCTTGGAAATGTCTTTATCTATCGTTAGCTCTTTGCCGCCTGAACTTTGATAAAAAAATAAGTAAACTGTTTCCCAAATTTCAACGTGCTCTGCTAAACCGTTGTGAAAATTTTAGCTGTATCCATCCATACTTTTTAGCGACCGTGTCCTAATATCGGTGTACCTATATTAGACAACCAACAATATTGTAAAGAAATTGGATGTTCTTTTATTTTTTAGTTTATACAGAGTCAGTCACAGGAGAGTTACTTCTGAAATAATTTGGGCAGCAACCCATTATACAATTCACATAGGCGTCTAGCTTCCTCATTTTTAAAAATTATAAAATTGAATCCAAGAATACATTGCATATCTTTTCATCTTGACATTTAAAAAGTAACAGTCAATTTTCGTTAATACAATGTTTTATTACACAAATAACGATATAGTGGGCATGCTCTTAATCCATGGAGAATACAAGGAAAATGCTCTTGCGGGAGCAGCTCTGTACTTGGAGAGGTATCCGAATCGAATGCATCCAGTTCCTGGTTCGTGAAACATTTAGAAAACTGGAATCCAAATTACAACAAGATTGTCCCCCAATGAAAGACCCAGTCAGAGCACTGCTACTGGCCCAGAAAATAAAATTAGAGTCCTTGAAGCAGTAGACAATTACTTATCATTTTGACGACTTCACTCATTTTCATCCAGCTCACATTGATTACTGAATTAATTCAATAAAAAAAATTCAAATAAAATGTTATATCTAGTTAGATACGCTAAAGGTATTTTTGGTTGCAAACTAATTAATTTTCTAAGTAACTCTCCTGTGACTGACCCTGTATAACAAAACAAAGTATTTATTCAGAAAAAATAATAAAGAAGTAAAACAACATTAGAATAAATTTGAAATAGTAGGTAGGTAGGTAGGTAGGTACTTAGCTTATAAAAGGCATGTTTTATTCATATCAAAATTAATTATTAAAAAAATAAATTTACTATTTTTATAGTTAGTTTTTTTATTCAAACAGAATTGCTGAAACCCTTTCATAAGATATAGATGATTATTAAATCTGCATAGTTATAATATTTTTGATAAGAGTTTGTGTATTTCAATAAAACCTAGTTTTATCGAAATCATGTACATTTATCACATATCAAGTTCAAGAAACGCATATAAACAGGTTTTAATTTAAAAACATTTTATGTATAGGCTTGGTCTCTGATTACGTGGTCCTTTAACATTTGCCCACCTTTTCCTGATAAAACATCCTTGAAGCTAACTTCACTCACATACGTCATTCCACAACGTCAATACTTCACCTAACTTCATTCAGTCTTTTTCAAATCATGGCAGACGTAGTCAACATAATCGTGGCACAGGCTACCGAAAATGTGAAAGAAAATGCAACAAACACCACCGGGAAGCCCCCTAGCACTCCCGAAGGTATGGCCATGGCATATGGCAGCATCGTCATCATGGCCCTTCTGCCAATTTTCTTTGGCTCGTACCGATCTGTCAACTACCATAAGGAAAACGTAAGACATCTGTTAGTGACAAAGGCAGTCTTCACAGTGTCTCTAATTTCAGAAACCAGAGAAAATGACCAAGAAGGATGCCGCTATCTTCCCCATAATGGCATCATGTGCTTTGGTCGGGTTATATGTAGTCTTCAAATTGTTTTCCAAGGAGTACATCAACTTGCTACTGACTGGATATTTCTTTTTCCTCGGGGTGTTGGCCCTCACACACTTACTGAGGTCTCAAATGTGTAAAATTCACAATATGTGACTAATTTTGAATTTCAGTCCTGTAGTGAGTAAGCTTGTGCCCGCTGCAATTCCAAATATTCCCTTCCATATCACCTTCAAACAAGGAGAAGGCGATTCTGCTCAATACTTGATTAATTATCGGTTTTCTTCATATGACGTAGTCTCCCTGGCTGCGTGTTCTCTAGTCGGTGCTTGGTACTTAGTCCAGAAACACTGGATCGCCAATAATTTATTTGGATTAGCTTTTGCCGTCAACGCTGTTGAACTCCTCCACCTCAACAACGTCATCACTGGGTGCATCCTCCTGTGTGGACTTTTCTTCTACGACATTTTTTGGGTGTTTGGGACTGACGTTATGGTCACAGTTGCCAAAAGCTTTGAAGCCCCCATCAAATGTAAGATTTTAAAAGTGACTAATTATTAAAAAACGACAAATTTGTAGTGGTATTCCCTCAAGACTTGCTTCAGAACGGATTTGCTGCTAACAATTTCGCCATGTTAGGGTTGGGAGATATTGTGATTCCAGGCATTTTTATTGCCCTACTTTTGAGATTTGATCACAGCCTCAAAAGGCAGACCAAAACGTACTTCCATGCCGCTTGTTTAGCCTACTTCCTTGGTCTAATGGCTACCATTTTTGTTATGCATGTATTTAAACATGCACAACCTGCTTTGTTATATTTGGTACCTGCTTGTGTAGGAACACCTTTACTTCTCGCATTAGTTAAAGGCGATTTGACTGCTTTATTTAAGTAAGTTTTAATTATTAATTGGGCAGTTTTTTAATCATAATTTCTATCCAGATATGAAGACTCTCCTGATGAAAAAGTTGAAGAAAAGAAAAAAGATGAAAAAGCTACAAAACCAGAAACCAAAAAAGTAAAATAATTTTTTTAAGAAATTTAATTGGATTTATATAAATTGTTTTGTCTGAACATTTAAGTGAATTCTATTTATTGTATAATTCAATTTTTTATATTCCATCCTTTAAAGTTTAGAAAGTACTGTTATTTTTAAAAGTTGAATATTTTCTATTAAAAGTATTAAGAAATATAAATTACACAATACTTTTAACCCGTCACAACAAAAATTAAATAAAACAAACTTTTTATTTAAAAATTTTATTAATACAAATATTAAGCATCCTTCAAGCTTTCAACTGTGATAGTAGGCATATCGTGGACACCATCTTTATCAACAACCTGCACTTTAAAATTCGGCAAATTAACAATAAGCCTAGTGTGAACCTCCTTTACACATTTTTTCAACAAGTCATAACCTTGCTCCTTTGTCATTGTTGGTAAATAATTCCTGTCCATAATAGACAGCGAGAAATAGCCTCCATATCCATGAGCAGCATAATCCACACTTGCTACAGACGCCAAATAATCCATAAAGTACAATTGGGGCCCTTCTTGGTTGTCATACCCAGCCAAAAGCAAATTCACGTGATACGGCGTCTACAAAACAAACATAAGTCCTCGTACACCTCCCCGTTTTTGCGTACCCTAGACCGTAGATTATCAGCTAAAATACGGCGTGTAAAATGTGACGCCTCTTTGGGACTCAATTCGTAGTTATTACGCATTTTGTACAACTGAACGTTCTTCGCGATGTATTCGGCGAACTGGTTGGTGTCGCCTTGCTCCCCTGCGATAGCCATTGCCAGTTTGTTAGACAATTTGTAGAGTTTATCCTCGTCTGAAACACCGCTTAGGGGTTGTCGAACGAAAGTGGGGTAAAAACATACCTGTCTTCATAACCATTATGCTATGAGCATTGGTCATATCGGCAGCAATAATGGCAAAATCGTTAAATTTGATTCCGATGAGACAATCCATTTTTGGGAACTGAAAGAACTGCTTTGTAATCAAAAGATGAGGTTATATTTTCGAAATGTCAACTCATGCAAAAATGGCGCATGTGTTGTTGCCACATCGATGATTCTAAGAACAAAAATAATTATTAATTTCTGAGGTATTTTTTGTGGTGAATTGAAAACTTACAACATACAAGGTTTAATGTAACAAAAGCTTTAAATATTTTTTATGTAAACCCATTTGGCATTGCGGTCGAAAAATGCGGGAAATTTAAAAGTTCTTGTGACATGAATTTGATGTCCAAAATTCCGTGTTTCCCACTGTATAACTTTTGACATTTATCAGTTTTTATTGAACATACTTGATCCATAAATAACTAATTAATTGTAAAAACTACATTTTAATAATTTAAAATTTTTGTGATTACCAAAGTACGTATTTGATGATATTGTGTGATTTTTACTGCAAAAATATTCAAATCGTCCTGCATTTTATTGATGTATTTGAAAAATTAGTTCGATATTAGTGGGGTTGTTGGGCAAGGTGACTTTTTTAGCATTCGTCCTTGAAACATGCGCTGTTGCCATATCCTTCCCATCTGACTATTCATTGTTTTTCCTTACGTCAATTTGCTTCGAACTGTCAGTGCAATCAAACATATGTAAAACTCTTCTAATCCGTTTTTCTAAGTTTTGTTCATGTTTTCCGATTATTACAGATGTAAACCAGGTGCGTATTATGTGTTTTTTCCTGTTTATGATGCTCGTTCTTGTAAAAAAATCCGTTTGATTATAAAAACACCCGAATCCCAGTCAACTGCTTGTCATATTAACTCTGAAAAAAAATTAAGCAATTTTTTTGAGTAATTTCTCCGACTTTTTGGTTTAAAATTTGTGATTTGGTAGTACCTTCGTTAAAATTAGAAACAATATTGACAGTGTTGTGATCATGTCAATAAAATTTATACGCAAAAGCAGTGGTAAATTTCCATCTTCACACATGTCCTTGTTAATTGGAAAGTAAATAATTTAAAAATGCGAAATTTTAGATATGAACAGTGACAATTTCGCCTGTTTCGGAGACTGTCCAAAGCCGAAAAAATCAAAGACTTCAGAGGAGGAACATGTCGCGTTTTGGGCCCATCTCCCCTCGATCGTAATCCACGACATTTTCGACTTGTTGAGCAAAAATGACCGACAGAATGCATCCTGTGTGTGCAAAAATTGGCGACAGAATGTTTTTCATCCAAAGTAAGTCACTTTCTCTTTTGCCCAATAACGCGCTAATATTACAATTCAGGTGGTGGCCGGAGATCACTTTCAAAATCGAGCCGTGCAATATCGAAAGAGCGAAATTTTTCACGTCTGTCTTCGGTCGAATCGTATCCAGTGCGAAAATTCAAGTGAACACTCTGGCGCCAGAATGCATTGACGAATTTGTCACTCTCATCGAAGCTTTAAGCGAAAATAATAATTTAAAAGAACTGATTATTGAACCCACGCATTGCCATTTCGATATCACCAGATGTAGCACCAAATCCAGGTACGACAAACCCAAAACTCACGAAACCGTCTCACGAAATTATTTTTCAGTTCGAATATGCATAATGTGATAGCCAAGTTAAAACGATGTCTCCCTAGCTTGACCAAATTCAGTATCGGCTGCATCGAAGACTTCGCCCTTTACCTCGATGAGTACTTAACGATTTTAGCGAGCCAACAGCCGGAAAAAGTTACACTTCTTGGGTTAGCATCAGTCAAAGATAATCCAAACGAATACGAAGATTCGTATTTTGAATGTGATTTAATTAAACCTTTTACGAATTTAAAGGTACATTTTTTCCAACGAATTTGAACCAGTTTGAAATGGCCAATTTTCAGGTTTTGAGTATAGACTTCGACCAACTTTCGGACACCTTCCTCGCCTGCTTGGACACCTCCACGCACCTGGAGCGCCTCGTAGTGCACTTACACGGCGTTCGCGAGGGCCACCCCGGCACCACGAAGGCCGCTTGGTCCGATTTCAAAGCCAAACACCCTAACTGCGAGCTCCGCTTCAACGTTATCCACTCATATGATGAAGTCCAACATCTGCACGAGACCATCCTCAAAGACGATATGCCCCTCACCCACCTCCGCGTGTTTTTTTGCGAAAATGTCAATCTGGAGACGTTGGAATTTATCTCGGCATTTCACAACCAAACGTTACGAAGTCTCGTTTGGGTCGATTCCATGAGCAACAGCGAAGAGAGTTGGTCATTTTTGGCGTCGCCACGAGATCTCAGCCCCGATCCACTTGTCATGATGTCATGGTTGTGCTCCCATTTGAACGAATTAGTGTTCTACGGTTACAAATATCGCGAAGAGAATTTGGTCGCGATCGCCAGACTTCGTGGTGAAAAATTGAAGAAGTTGGAAATCGGTGAAGACGATGTGCTGTTTTCAAATAGCAATTATTTGGGACAAGAGAATTTAATTGTGAGTAAAAACTCTAATCAGCGGTTATTCAATCCGATTGTTTGTTATTTAGACTGTGTGCAAATATGCGAACAGATGTTATTCAATCGTATGTTTTCACAATTGGTATACTAATACCGTTTTTAATTCAAAATAATAATAATTGCGAAATGAAGAAACTTAAAGACAACAAAATGCTTCAGTTTAAAACAATAACTTAAAATCGCAATGTAGACAGATTATAAATGGCAGAATAAAAATTATAATTACATACCATAAATTAAAAATATACGACGATTGAACTAAATTCTAAGCTCCAATAAAAACATAGTTGTGTAATAAAAAGGTAAATTAATAGCTATGAACTACATCTGCGATGGAAAAATTAATTTTTTCATTGCTATTATAGCAGTTACTAGATTTCAATAGAATTAAGAATAATTACGTTATAAAAAAAACATATTGATAAATATTAACTTTAACAATTTATTGAATCCATTGTTAAAATCACTAAAATTATCACAAATAAACTGAGTTTTTCCGTCTGTGATATCTTAATATTGAAAATACAATCTCTTTGTGTGTCAGACTATTGCCTCTTTCTTATTAGTTGTTTAACATATTTTCTAATGTGAATTCTAGATTTTTTTCTCTCGTTTCAGGATATTCAGCTACACTTGAAGCAGCCGTGGGCCCCCACGAAGACTGCAGATCTTCACCCCGTCATCCGTAATCCGACGGCGGGAGATTCAGACGAGTACTTGTTGCCGATAGTTCTAGCTGACCTGCACTAGTTAAGTACAACAATTAAGCAAAAAACAAAAACAAAAAAACTATGTAAATAAAACATCTACGTACGACCCAACTGAGAAGAATCTGTTTAGTATTATTTCGAATATTATAGTTCAACAACTGCATGTAAATAGACAAAGGACCATCGTGACCTCGAGTTGCGCAGTTTAAATCTACTTAAGATAATCAAAAAGAGAGAGAATTGCGGCTTTATTTTTTTAGAAAAATCATCGGTTTCGTTGAGTGACTTAAGTTGTTGTGCTGTAAATGTATTGTTTTAAGTCTACTTAAAATGCACTGATTTTTACGTTTTCGATATGTTTTTCGTCGTGTTGGACAAATATTATCACGATCCAAACTCGACTAAGAACGACAAGTTGTTTTGTGTTCGATCTAATTAATTTTTGTTGTATAAAGTAGCGATAAGAAGAAAAACATCTGTGATATAAGTAACTCTTATACTTTCGAACAAACAACGATTGTTAACACATAAAATGCAGCTAATAATAATAATAATAATAATAAAGCTTTTTCTACCGAGTACCTGTACAAAAAAATTGCCGCCGTTTCAATCTCATCTCGCTTAACGGCAAAAGAAATGACAAAAACCAAGTTAACAATCGAATAAGAGTGTGAATGTCATTGCAGTGTTCTACCATGCGATAGTGCATTTTATTTTTTAATATGTTGTGCTTGTGATAGGTTCGATTTTAACAAAAAAGTATTATTGTGTTGGTATGTAACCCTTTGTTGCCAATTGCGTAAGCAACAAACACCAACATGTTTATTTTTTAAAAGAGATTTGTGTGTTAAAGACACGTCACATCGAGATCGCTGTTATCGGAAAGGTGCTGTTCCTATATTTACACCACGACCAATTAAACAAATGAAAAAAATCCGTTTAGACGCCATTCCAATACCTTATTCCGTAGGATAATTAGTAGAGAAAAGATATATAGCGTGTTTCTGTTCGGGGCCGTCTACATCTGTGATAGCGAAAATTTTCAAGAGTTAAACCAAAATAAATGCATTTGCTCGGGAAGGACAAACGGCCGCTGATGTGTGTGTGTATAAGCAAAGATCAAGTACCTGAATATCAAAGTGATTATAGCGAAATTAGCCTGCTATTGTAACTCTAACCCTAGTCCAAAGCGTTGAATATTGAATACAATCTTTATAATGTAATATAGAGTGTGAATGGGTGACTCCCGAACACTTCCAGCGGGATAGATTGTTTGAAGTTAAGTTGCCATCTTATCATGAAACTATCTGTGATGTACAAGCGGACACATTGTTAACAGCGTACATATGTTAAACAGCGCTCAAATGTTACAATGTAGGTCTCACCAGCTAGATTTAAGTGTTGTCAGAAAATTCAATCGAACGACGCAATGAAATCGATATTTTATCAAAAATACGAAAACGTGTAGACAATAAATGGATAGTAAGACAACACTGCACGATTGAGATGTCCCTCGATTGAAGGTAAGGGACGACAAATTAGTCATTTTTCGTTTTCGGTCTGACTAAAATTTTATAAAATATGTTGCGTATATTTTTGTATCCTTTGAAACATTATTTCGTTTTTTTATGTGGCACTGCGTTGTACAATGCAGTTGTCTCTGTATCAATAATTGTAGCACCGGTTGTTTATTTTTTATTCATGCACTTTTAATGTTGAATATAGCGGGGCGATGGTATCGTTCAGTCTTGATGACGATAGCATCCGACTCTAATATTTTCATTGTTATCGAGAAAATTTCTTTTTAGATTAGTTAGAATGTAGAGAGAATTATAAAATGTAGTGTTGAGTTTATGATATGAAAATTTTTGAAATTTATCAATGTACTCCTTCAGTGTTATGAAATGTTCTCAAATTTAATCTCTAAACAGTATGTTATATCGAAGAAATTATTATATTACGTTTTCAGTGTAACCTATAACTCAGATTGGTTAATAAATATTTGGTATCACACTTTGAGTCTTTATTATTATCCTGAACCATAATCAGGTTTCATATTTGAAATTTTAGGAAAAAAATCCAAGACAAATGTAATATAAAATACGAGTTTTATTATAAAATTCTTTTAAAAATATAAGATTTATCAAATGTCGGATCCATTGTAATTATTGTACATAGAGGGCGAATCATTTAAATAAAGACCCTAACAGATTTTTAGGGTTTTAAGTGTAATCAACAAACCGAAGCAATATGATTTTCAACACACAAAATTATTTCAAAATTTTGCAGTTGACCTTCTAGGACATTTACAAGAAACACTTTTATTACAATAATATGGTATAACAAAAATTTCAACAGATTCCTCATAATATCAATTACTTATATATGTATTGTATTTCTGTAAAACTTTTTTACACGGTAAGTAGCAAGTAAATCTACACTTCAGACACTTAATTTACGTACTTTTCAACTTCATTTCAGCTTCTGTAACAACTTTAAACAAATTAACCCTAACTTGTGCTTGCAATTGTGGAGGAAACTTGTTAACCTTTTTGTATAAAAAATCAAATAATTCTTTAAGAGTATCTTCTTCTTCAGATATTATTTCGAGCCTGAATGACGACAAAGGCGATAGTATCGGTGCGTAGGTTTCTTTTTCTAAAATTGGGGGCAAATCTGAATCATCTTCAGTTTCAGTCTTGACGTCGGTTATCTCAACATTATCCAGTGGATGAGGAGTCTGGCAAGCCATATCCCTATTTTTGCCCCTGTAAACAAAAAAATCAATCAAATTCGAAATTTAGCAAGCAGAACTACCTTTCCACAAAGTTTTGAGTCATACTTCTTAAAATATGAGTGTGGTTGGTAGCTTTCATTTCCAAACTAACCAATTGTGCCCTCTTTCTTTCAAATTGTTTAAAATACGACGCCATATATTTGAAAGAAGGAATTAATAACAGCTCCAGAGAAGAGTCCCTGCAGCAACCTTTGTATCCTCTTAGACATTTTTTATGGCAAACTTTTCCACAGAATTGGCACATGGGCGTACTAATCAACACCTTTTTCTGACATTTGTAACAGTGATAACCAACATTTTCATCCTTGAGCACTTTAACTTTGCAACAAATCAGCTTATCATTATCAGTACAATAGGAATGGTAGACCTTCCCGCACAGTGGACATCGAGGCCCAAACAAAACCCCCTGTTCGCATTTCCCACAAGCTTTTTCCGCAGGAGGTTCACACAAGTTCAAGTTGCAGCACCGCTCGTATGGACTAATACAAAAACTGTGGTACTTTTTACCGCAGTGGGTGCACTGTGGACCAAGATAAACTCCGACTTTGCATTTAGCGCACGGTTGCTCAAGAGCCCCGTTTAGCAAACGCACCCCGCAGCATTCGCGGCGCATAAATGCACACTCATAATGGTAAGAAACGGAACAACTGGGGCACTTGATAGCGTAATATGCGAATTTGTGACACCGTTTACACTTATGCGATATGAAAAGAGGGCTTAAAGTCATACGGGTTATTTCCTCCATGGTCAGTTTCCGCACAAAAACGTAACATGGGGGAATAGTAGGGTTTGGGGCAGCCCTGAAAAACACGAGTTATCAGGGTGGAAATTTAGATTAGAGGGAGCCAAGGTTAGGGATTCATAAAAGAAGAAATTTATAATACATACTTACATTTTGCGTGTCCCAGGCATGGATCTGATAAGTCCGTACTTCGTAGATGTATTTAGGTAATTTATCCTATATTTTTTGTATTCTCTAGTTTTTGGAGATGGTAGGCGCCAATCAGCCAAGCCAAACACAAACCACTACAACGTGCAACCACCGGTTTCGGTTTTTGTTTTGTGAAAATTTGACAGTGTCAACACTGTCAACTATCAGAGGGCGCTAAAGAAAAATTAAAGAAAACTGTAATTTCACAAATCTACATAATATTTTTCTAAAACAAATTAATAAGTTCTGCCTCGAATAAACATATCTTTTATTTTTTTTCGTGATACTTAATTGTTATTTGATCATGTCTATATTCTTGTTGTGACAACTATAACAGCCTAGACCGTTAAAAGCCGGTAACGGACCTTTATATGCATGTTGCGCTGTACAAAAGGCCGGCTCTCTTGTTAAGCTACTTGTTTCAAGTTTGACATATTATTTGACATTATGATTTTTAATATAATTTTGCCAAAACCTTTTAGTATCACGAAAAGTATAACTATAACTATAACATACTATCAAACAATATCAATAAAAACACAAAAGTGTCTCTAAATAACTTTGTTCCACGAAACAGAGTTTTTTAGGTACAATTTGCTGTGATACTAGGTAAGTAAGTACTAAAGAACTAAAAAGTGATGCAAAATCGGTTTCGTAAGTTTACCTTTTTTAATAAATATTTGCTTTCTGTACCAACCTGTATAATTTCAAAACTCAACAACTTAACTTAACTTAACAACTTAAATTTATCAGATTTTCGAAATTTAATGTGTCAGTCGTTTTTTTTACCAGAATATTATTTCATTAACTTTTTTTTATTGTAATTAAATTTCATTTGTAATTATTTTTCTGTTTTACAAAATTGTGAATGGATAATTAGATTTAAATACTTATTCAACATTCGAAACCTTTTATAGTTAATTTCAATTTTATTTCAAATTTATTGAATAGCATTTAATCCTTAGACCGACAAATAATTGATAATAATTAAATACTGTGTCAATCAATAATCTAAAGATATGATGGCGGCTTAAGCGTGGCATCTGTGACACCAACTCTATCTAATTAAAAATTCAATTTTGTGTTTGCAACACTGTTTAACCGTTTGACTGTTATAAAATATGAAAAAATCAACAATAATCCACACGTATGCCATTTTTTTCACAAACATCGCATGTAAAAAGCCATTCCATTTTACAAAATTGAAATTCTCCACTTTAGACACAACGTTATTGATTTTTCATTAAATTAGCATATTAAACAGATTTCAACCTCGGACAATTTTATATCACTACAAAACCGACAATAAAAACAGGATAACGGAAAAAAAAACATTTTATTTGCAAAAAAGTAATAAAAATGCAAATTATTTGTTTTTATTATTAGAAAAAAAATAATAAAATTAATGAAACAGTATATACTGACACTTTTTGCGAATGGAAATAGTTTAATTGTCCAAAAATTTGTAAGGTCATGATTTTATTAATCGGTAAAAGGCAACCCCGCGCGATTTTTCGTCGGAATGACATGTTTATGAACGGCCGAAAATCTGTAAGAAATCGCTTACGTCCTTGTCTAATCCTCTCTATCTCGTGCAATTTAAAACGAGACAGTTGCATATTTAGCCGTTTTGTTTGATGCGATTGGTTCAGAAGTGCGAACGCGGCGCATCTTTATCGGCGGCGCTTGGTTTCCCCTTTGCGTGTGACAAAGATAGCCATAGTAAAGTACGTCTGAATAGTGCTACATGCTGAATGAATAAAGGGCGGCCGGCGCGATCTGCGACGTATGTCGTGAAAGGTAGGAGTGACGTAGTAAAAGTTCGACTGTTCACGATACGTCTGTTTTATCAACGCGGTAGTGTTTGTAGACACAACACAAGGCCACGCCATATTGAATTGAATCAGTCGTCTGTTAATTTCGATGCGGAGTGAAGTGCGGCCGATTTTCGTGTTTTGAGTGCTGGGGGGCCGATGAGGCCGCCGGGGACGTGCCAGTGCCGGGCCGAAGAGTGCAAGTGATAAGATAATCGATTTGACGACGCGATACATTTTCGGTGCACCGATAATTGAGCCGAGGTGCGCTGGGATCGCGCCGTGTCATGTTCTGAGAGGTTAGGGGGCTCATGGAGAAGATGGACGTTGATGAAGCTGTCGTCGATCTGAGTATTAGGTGGGTTGCGCCGCGGCTGTTACGGACCGGACGTTTCGCTTTATTAAGACCAATTCGGACAGCGTCACCATTTACATAAACCACAATCGATAACCTATCCCTACTATCATCCCAAAAAAACATCTTCGATTTTTTGCCATAACCAAAATATTTATTGACAGATGTCAAAATGACATAATTGTTGCTGTTTTGTTATGTAGCTATGGTTACCATAGGGGCGGAACGAGATTTTCAATATGGGGGTCCGATGCTCAACTTTATAACCAGTTCTACCAACAATTAGTTTTAATGACGACTGATCTTCATTAACGTTCAATCAGCGCGATTTCAAATTATCATTCTGAAGGAAATTCAAATATAAGCCGCGACACAACAGTTTTAAAGGTCGAAAAACCGTGAAGCTGTTGGGGTTGTATGTCAAAAAAAAAAAACGATTTGCGACATACGTTACAACAAAAGAACCTATTGCAATTTATTTGATTTAATTAGTTGTAATTGTCTGAAAAGATGGGAAATGGAATGATTGTGACAAAATCAATATCAAATAAGGTCACGAAAGAGTATTTTTTTGGATTATGCAATCTGTAAATGTACATATTTTCTTTACATTATTATGTTCTTAATCCCTTGAGCATTTTTTTTAAATGATGACCAAACACAAAGTAATGACCGTTACATTATGAATATTATGATTCAATTTTTTTTTTCAATTTCTTGTGGTTAAACAAAATTATTAATTTGCTGTTTTAATCATTTCGTAACAATAGAATAGGGGTTGTCTGTGGCGAACTAAAGCTGCTAAAACAGCGTTTCTTAACCTTTTTCAGTTCACAGACCCCTAGGAAATTAAGCACAATTTTCAAGGACCCCCTTAATAAAAAAACAGCAATAAATTTCGGACCATTTATTATAGTACTACTTACAAATACAAAAAAAAATACTTTTTCATAAAAAATACGTTAATGTGAAGGTTGGTGTTGCTGTTTTGCAACTAAATTAGTGATGTTACTACTAAGCTGTAATCTCAAATTGGATTCTACTTGTAATCTGTTTCTGTATTTGTTTTTAATATATACAAGAGCAGAAAATGCCTTTTCACATAGGTAGGTATGTGGTTGAGAAAAGCAGTAAGCTAAGTAAGCGTAGCGATTACGAGAGTTTTGGTGGCATTTATTTATTATTTTTAAATGGCCCATAGATGAGACTGCGGACCCCCATTCATATTCTCACGGACCTCAGGTTAAGAACCACTGTGCTAGAATTGTTTTCATTTTGGCTTTCGAATTTAGCGCCAGAACTAGAGATTTTCTCCGTTACTTCAAGTCAGTAATTAATAATATTATTAATTTGTTTCTCAACTTTTGTAAGTATAAATCATAATTATTGCATTTACCACTTCTTTGGTATTTTTTAGGAGTGATACTCTACAAAATTTTGGCTGTAGATCTTCATTTTTTATCACAAATATGTCACAGCTTAATTTCATTTAATCTAAAAAATTCAAATGTCACTTTTTCAAAATTCTGTGTGATTACAAAAGTATCATACAAATATAATCGTTAGAAACTTTAATGGAAACAGATTTTCTGATTGATAAGCAGTTTTTAACAGTAGGACCACTGCTGGATCATCTGAACAAACTTTTATGTTGATTACGAACCTGTCGGTCAACTGTCATCACTATAACAAATTTGATTGTTTTCGTAAAATGTCAAAACTCACAAACACAAATGACAGTTTGTTGCCTCTTGCAACCCAGTGAGTATTATTATACGTCGTGGCCAACTACGTTTCATACTTTAGTAATGTTAATATTTATATATTGATGTAAAATTTTTGTTTTAATTAATTATTATTTATGAGAAGAAACTATTTCAAAGCAAACATTTCTACTCGTATTTTTGGGCGTCTGTGTGTAATTTCCTTGAAATGTTTAATACAAAATGTTTAATAAGTGTTTCAGTGAAATGTAAATACAATTCAAATGAATATTTACGTATATATAGAGAGATATGTATAAATTATGATGTGTTAATGTAATCGAAAATTGTTTACGGCATAAGTTGAAAGTATTTTACTATTTTTGGTGTAGTAGATATTAAATTAAATAGGTAGTGTAGTTTTGACAGCACCACATTTGAATACTTATATTTTTCGAACAAAGAACACCAATTTTGACATTGGTTCGAGTACAACTTATACACAAGTATAACCTGCCATGTTACAATTCGTTTGCTGTCCATCTGTTACACTTCAGTCCTATAATCTTCGTGTAATTAGTGGCTAAAGTCAGAACTCGAGTTACAAACATGTGTAATTTTCTTCATTCACGCAAAAGGTCGTCCATGCGATACGTTTTTCTATTGTACTAAAACTATCGAATTTTCCTCCTTCAAATTAGGGCAAATCTGAAAACTCGACCTCTGTTGCTATGTCGATAGTATCACCTTATTTTCAGACTTATTTATGATTATTAATTTTATTGTGATGACCTATCCGCACATTAAGAATGACTAAAGTCTTATGAATATTTAATTCATGGAAAAAACCATTTCATGACCAATAATAATATAATAATTAAGAAATTAATAAAATTATGATCGACTTGATTGCCCAAATTTGATGCTCAATCAACCAAAATTATTTTCTAGTCGAATAAAAAGAGACATGTAAAAAGGTCAAAATCGTGGGTTTGGTAAAGCCTATTTTTGCCAATTCGAAACAATAAGATGACTTTTAATGTTTGTAGTCGTTTAAAAATTACGCTTTCACTTGTTTTTGTAATGGTTGTGATTTTTGTCCAATTACTGTGTCGGGTAATGTACCTGAACCAGGAATATGGCGAAAAAGTAGTTGGTTATTCCATTGGTTGTAGCTATAATGCGATAAGTGATAAGATAAGAATAATATACATACAAACACGAAATTTTTAGGGTCGATGGTTGTCCTGGCAGTCTATATCTGTAGTAGTGTAGTGTCTTAGGTATAAATTTATAAACGAAAACACGAAAGTGATGTTTTCAAGGGGCTCTATCAGTATTTGGAATGTTCAAAGATTGGTTTTTAATGTAAAAATTTTAAAGACAAAAAATTCTCTGACAGTTTTTCGACAAAATGCTAATTACACTTAAAAAGCTGCTAATTTTAATTGAACGCCTTTTCTGTTGTATTTATACCATAAAGCGTCGTAACAAAAACTAGCGTAATTTCCCATGTTCACGCTCAAGTAACCACTACAAAGTAAGTGAACTCGTGGACATCTTGACCAAATATGAAATTTTCATGATTTGTCGTAATTTTTTGCTCGTTAATAAATTCTCGTCAAATAAAAAATCGAGCTATTTCTCGTAAGTACATGTTGATAATCAAACAATGTGGATCTATCCAATCTGGACTATTATTCAATTAGATTTTATGAAAGTAGAACTGGTAGGTAAGCTAGTCGGACGGAAATGACCCTTGTTTATCGCAAGGATGATCGTTTCAATATTCAAAAAAACTGTTTTGGTATTCAAAGTTGATGCATCGACGAAAAACTGACGAATTTTATTTTTATTCTAGAGTATCGATTTGCACCTACTCTCAGATGTTGCCAAAACAAATATGTAATTAGCCACACGCCTAAAACACAGCTTACATTTAATGACGTGGCAACACTGTGCACAGATCTCCGGGATAAGAACGCGCGTCCATCGCGAATTGAGACAATTTTTTTCCACTTCCATTTAACTTATACATACTCGTACATACCAATCGAATAATATATTTACGAAAGATATTAGTCGTGTTTGATTCTCGCATATCAAAGGTTTGCGTATGTTAGTGTCGGAGAAAAATTATCGTTGTTTCTTTCTAATATCTGGGACAATCATTTTGTCTTGTGATCGCTTAACTGAAATAAAACATCGTCAAATCTAATTAAAATTGATTTATTCAGATAGAAAGGAAAGAAAGAAAGGGTTCCGGATCAATTGGTTCAGTACTGATCAATATTCACCAGTTTTGAGGTAAACAAAAGTGTCTTTCATTTGTTTATCACTGACCAACCGGTTATACTTTTTTCATTAATTTTTATACTTGATGTTCACCGTCTTGTGATATCATTTTAATGATTACCAAGAGAATAAACCATTTTATTTCGAAAAAGCGGCACAATGAACCGAACTCACGACAAGGCGTAAATGCTTGTTCTGAAGACATCGTGTTAACACGGTTTTATTTCCTTCTATCGTAAACAGAATAGGTTTAATCGTTTCGAAGAAAATTAAAATAATACTCTTTAGTGTTTAAAGTGTTAGAAAGCAATTTAATTAAAGAATTAATGAAAATATTTTTGTTAGGTTGGAATTTTAACGGTTATCATTTGTTGGGTCTACCGAACCAGTTTCGACATATTTCAAACCCTGAAGGGACGGGACTATGTTATTTATTTTCCCTGTTAAGTGGTTAAATTAATATTTTTTTCTATTACCGTACCTAACAAGTTATTTTCTGAATTGACACTATTTTGACATTTCGCTAAAAATGGCATTGCAACATAATGGAACAGCTGCACCCGGTGGGTGACAGGCGATAAATAATTTTCGCTGGCTTTTTGAATTTTGGAATTGCTCCAAATATTTTTTTGTCAGATATTATGGAAATTGTCCGGTTGAAACATAACGTATAATTAAAGTTTGCAAACTTTAAAAAATACAAATTTATTTCTTAGGGACATAATGGCATACTTTCCGTTTGTATTTTAAAAACACATTTCGTGTGGAAAGTATCAAGATATTCCGAGGTTTTTTCTTTCGGTGAACTGTCTCACGAGTTAGTTTGGTCTTATTTTGTTCATTTTCATTTAGTGTAAGAAACATATCAGATTGAGAAAAGGTAACGTTCATTACAGGTGCTGTCATTACCAATGGCGGAAGTGCGTTATAATTATTTGATAAATGAATTATAAAATTGAATTTATTATATAATTAGTGCTGGAACTTAATGAGGTTTTTCTTTTATTGATATGAAAATATTAATGAGAGGTGACAGAAAACATATACTAAAAAATGTTTGGAATTTTATCGTACTTTTTTCTTAATTGGGAACATAAATAAATGTGAATAATTTATAATTTCTACTAGACATTACGAGATATTTTCTATTACGAAATGTAAATGTAGAAAAACTATATCAGCATCTCCAAAATAAAAAAATACTTCTATATTTTTATTTTATAATCATATAAAATTGCTCCGTAAAAACTTTTCGAATCTAATTCATACACTAAAAATGGAATATTACCGAAATTACACATTCCCCCCACTTTTCGCTTGTATTATCTTTTATATGTACGGTTTTCATATCTTTGTTGTCTTTGTTAGTTGAGTAATCTGCAAATAAATTAATCTGTTTGTTCATTTACGTAACGTCCGATTCGAACTGATTTTGAATTATCAAATTACCTTCCTGAGGTTCATGGGAACATGGAATCATGAGATTCTCATTCCATGGTTTTGTTTACTTAGAAAAAGACTGTAATAGTTATTTACGTATTCAGGGCTGCTAAGAAGGTCATAATGACCGAGGGAGTTGTTTGAGACCAGATGAAAGAGGGCTTTAATCCCGCGGTCGTTAAAATTACCATATTTAGAAAAAGAAATTTTCAAATTTTGAAAATATCAATATTTGAAGGTTTAAACTGTTAAACCTATCAAAAAGCCGATCGTTAAAAGAAAAGCGGGCTGTTAAAACCTCTTTTCGTAATCCCATACTGTTATTGAATTTAACGGAAATTAAATGACAGGTGAAAAGTTATTTTTAACAGTTTCCGTCTGTTAAGGATTATAACGGCCGTCAGTCATTTACCATGGTAAATACTTTCATGATATTGTGATTTATTTTATGAAATTACTAATAAAAAGCTGCTTCTCTCCGAGTCAGGAATCGGATTACGAAAAGTCTTGGAGGACACACGGCCGATACCAAATAACAGATTTGGTTGATTATAAACCTCGGCTTCACCTCGGTTTACTAAAGTCAACATCATCTGTTATTTGGTACAGTGATGGACAGTGAATTTCGTTCACCCAATTTCCGTGAATTCACAAAAATTCACTGTAGTCTGTGGGTTATTGTCATGATAACTGACATTCAAATACGTATTGTCAAATTTAATCAAATTCGAACATGCCAGCAGTAAGTGCTTTTAATAAAACAAAAATTATCTCCCTGATACAAGAAGGTAGTCCCAAAGATGTGTCTCTATACTTTTGGGCATACTAAAAACTACCATTTCAAAGGATAAAGGTAAAAAGTAGCAAGGAGCATCGAGCATCAAAATTCTAAAACAAGGTTAGAAAAAGCTAAAGAATAATTTACACATTTAATATGTCAGGGAAATTGGGTGGACGAAATTCACTGTCCATCACTGTACATGACGTTAATAACTATAACAGTCCTGTGAGTTACTTGGGTATTATTGACAGCTAAGTATTGGATATTGTTGAATGTTATTCATACCATAACACAGAACGACGAAAATCGATTTTATAACTTTCAGTTGTAATCTTAATGTCTAGGTAATTGTTTATACAGAAATAACTATTGGTCATTTTAGATTATTGAAACAAATATTTTAATAAAAACAATTTCACTAAAAATCACAAGAGTTTAAATTCCATTTTTCTCGAAAATTTGGAAACTGGACCCTCATCCTTTTTCTTCTGGATTCTTCAAATGGTTTTAGCCCCTTTTATACTTCTCCTATATAGAATTTGTGGTTAAATTAGTGATAAATAATTCCAGTACATGCTGGAAATGTATTATTATTGAGTTATGTATGTTCATTTTTAAATCAACTTTTCAAATGTATGTAATCGCGACAGAATGAACATACAACCAATCGCATTTTAGAAAGAAATAGCAAGTAAAATATTATATTGACCGTTGACCGAGTAGGCAGCCTGTACAACCTGGGTTATTGCTATGTTACGTGTCAAGGGCGGTAAATTGTACTTTTGGTAAATGCACATCCAGTCGATTTTTATGATTTCTGAGTCGTCCTAATTAATATCGCCGCCCTTATCTCGACCCCATCTGGGGGCAGCGGCTTTGTGACGTGTCCTTTCCGCTTCCCCCATCATGTAGAAAATTTTACGGTGCGCCACCCCCTCTGCCCGCACCCCTACGTGTCATGTCGCCACCTGGTCTTATCTTCCTCTCGTACCCCGACCGCTCTTATAATAATTTATAGAGGTTAGGATCCGGATCCTTCTCTCACCTTTTTCACTTCACAATACTCGCGTGTTATCTGCAAACAGTCGTAATATTCGTTTTTTTTTTCTCAGTTCAAACCGATCAGTTTCACCAGCCCCACAACAACAGCAGCAGCAGCAGCAACAACAACAACAACAACAACAACAACAACAACCAATGGGCATTGTGTCGACAAATAGCGCCCAGTCGATGGTCTATTCGAGACGAGTGCTTCGCCCCCGCACTGAACCAAGAAGTTACGTTGAGAGTCCCGACGTGCTCATTAATGGCACTCTAGATAAACCGCGGACGAACGGAAACGCGGATTATAGCAGCGATTCGAGCGAAGGAGAAATGCCCCCGTTAGCGCCCATCAAGGAGCTCAGCCCCTCGGAGCTGAAGCAGAGGTGAGCCCCCATTAAAATGTCAAAATTTGTTAACGACTGGTAAACAAAGGACAATTGAACGGTGATTCGGAGCTGATAAAAGTTATCAGATTTTCGGTATCGATTGTTTTGTGTGGGTGTAATAAATGTCAAAACAGATTGTTTTTTTTAATTTGGAAAAAAATTAAACGCTAAGTTATTAAATCAAACGCTAAGTATACATATTTGCTAAGTAAAAATACTAAACGCTATGTAATAGTAGATTACATACCGAGATGGGAGTTGCTTTATTACCAATGCGCGCGCCGGCGCCGTGGTTAGCAGTAAGCCGAGAAACGATGAGGCAACGACCACCAAGGTTTGTTTGTATACTATTTTATTTGCAATCATCATTCTTATAGAACAGAAAGCCAATAAAGAAATTATAAAATTTGTGGTCACTTCCCAATCTGAACTGATAACTGATATTTCTTATCAATTGTTAAATGAAGTTGAAATGTCATACTTTCCAACTTTTTATATACAAGGTAATTTGGTTATTACTTTATGATTTGGAATAAAATATAAATATAATAAATGTTCAGTAATACAATAATAAATATCAATAATAAATAATATCCTTGCGCTGAGGGCATACATAGATAAGAGTATTAGAAAAAAAAAGGTATTTGGTGTTTTTGGACGGATTATTGAAAATAAATATAACTTTTCGGCAACGTTGACGCAGTCAAATCCAAATGCCCGAACATCACGCTACCTGTTTATAAAAACAATTGACGGCCTGAGGAACATTGAATAAAGAAATCGAAACGTTTCCGAAAAATTGTATTTATTTTTATATTAATAATCAGTCTAAAAACAGCAGGTACCTTTTTTCTTTAATATTCTGAAACAAAATGGATGATATTGATAGATAACATATTAGAAATTAATAATAAACAAAAATAGATAGGATTGTTGAGTGAGTGATTTTAAATAAAAAATCGGTTATAAGGGTTTTTGCTGGATTGACCCAGAAAATGCCTTAAAAGAGAAAATTTGTTCAATTTTATTACACTTAGCAAATTTTATTTTAATACATAGCACTACTGCCTGAATTTTGATTATTTACAATATTTTACTTAGCAAATCTTATTTTAATACTTAGCATTTCTATTTAGCATTTAGATTATTTTACAATACATTACAATACACCCAAAACATTATTAGTAACCTTTTAATTTTAGTGGAAATTTGTTTCAATTTAACAATGTTTTATTTCGTTTCGTACGCAGATAGCTATTTAATTTAGTAAAGTTAAAAAAATATGTTTACACAGACTTGTGACATTAGTAGTCATGGTAACCGCGTCTCAGTTAATTTAATTCTGTTGGCATTACTGATTTTTCTAGTTATATTCGTGGAAATGATGCAGACAAGTGAAAAAAAAAATTACAGGTGCACTCTAGATGAGTTTTTTTTATATTATAACTCGTTAATGTTTTTAGAATAAAAAGATACGACTACATGCTTCCTTTTTTATTTTGATGCTGATAAACTCCGAGTTCGTTGGTTATTCTAGTTACGTTCTTATCATAAAAGTTTTTTTATTTAAACCCGAAGCAAAAATAATTATACTACCTAGTTTATGATTATCTAAATAATAAGTCGTGCAAAAATTTAAAATAAGTAAAATAACCCAATAACGTTAAATGGCCTTTCAAAAAATTATTACATTAAAGTAATTAACTAACACTTTGAATTTTCGTAGCCAACTTACCGTTACTAGATTTTTTTGCTTTTAAGGAAATAAGATCAGATGAATGATTTAAGCTTAGAAAGATTTTTATGAGTTTAACTACAAGTATAACCTTACCTTACATTAAGACTTAAGGAGAGCAAATTTATTCCAGGTAATTAAATATACTTTATCTATGTTTACTTCAGTTTTGGGGGTGCTATGACTCCGAAAATTCTTTTATAATCTGAAAATATGTTGCAATAAATTTTGTTTTATCTCATGATCAAACTGATTAAAGAGTAAAAAAGAGATAATTGGAAACAATCTATAATAAGTTTAAAAACGAGTTTGATTTTTTTTTTAATTCTTTATTTTAATTAAACGACCTTGTTGTAGGAGATATATTATAAATTCAAATTTCTGCAAAAATTTTTAAAACACAAACCTACTTAATTGAAAATTCTACATGCTGCAGTAATAAATGATTTTTTTTCGTGTATTGAAGACCTTCACGGGATCAAAGTTTTCGTTTCTGTGTCTGGTTTGCAATAAATTATTACCTTGGTTTGCGAAAATGACATCTCACACTTAAGTACATAACTGTGTAATCGGTCACCGGTCATGCGACAATGTATAAAATTCTGTTTTTTTTTTCTCATGTGCAGAGACAGAGGGCTGAGACGACTCCGCGAAGATCTCCGCGCCGAAGAGATGAAGTTGGTGCTGTTAAAAAAATTGAAACAATCGCAACAGCTGAAGGAGAACGTGGCGGTGTTGCCTCCGAGCATACCTCAGTCGGCGTTGCCGCCGACCGGTCTTCCAAGCGGTCTCAGCATCACACCGACTACAGTCAAAGTACCATCGAACAAGAACCAACCACCGCAATCGCTCCATTCCCGACATCCGAATTCGCACAAGACTGGACAAGGAAGTGTGCCCTCACTTCTGCGTGGAGTAAGTGTCGGGATATTTTTGAAAACTTTATTTTTTGTGGCCGATTGGGGTATAAATTAATTTTTGCAGTGGGTACTTGTAACTATAATTTTTTTATTAAACAAGTGATGTTTTTTGTTTACGAGTCACGTAGAGAACATTTTAAACTTTCCTCGTACATGATGAGAATGTTTCCGGTTTTGTCGATCGCTATAGGCATTTATTTTTTGCAATTTATCAATTTAATTAGTCTTTATGCAATTACTTTTTACTTTGTTATTGTCTGTTGAAACGTGGCTGAAATGACCCAATTAAAAATTGATCTAATTACAATTAACTTGCGCTGGGTGGCTGAAAAGGTGAGGAGTTCAATATTTATTCCAAAAATAAATTTAGAAAAATTAAAGTTGTTAAGATGCATTGCGTTCTTTAATAGTCTACCATAGTAATCTATGGTTTTGATTAAGAGGGGCCCTTATTTGCTATAAAGAATTATAAACAAAAAAAATAGTATCTTACATATCGAGGTGGAAGGTGCTTCATTACCATGCAAGCGAAATTTGATGACCAAGGCGCGAAGCCTCGCGGTTATCAATTGACCGAGCTATTGATGAAGCAACGACCACCAAGGTTTGTGTACCATTTTATCACCAATCATCCTCCTTAAAGAACAGAAAGCCAATAAAGAATTTATGAAATTTTGAAAAACATGACATAAAAGTTTAGGTTAGGAAGTGGTCAATTCCTTGTCAGTTTTCGGGTTGGGAAGTGCCCATTTCCCAACCTGAACTGTCATATTTCATATCATTCGTTAAATGAAATGTTATACTTTACAGTTTTCGGGATGGGAAGTGCTCATTTCCCAACCTGAACTGTCATATTTCATATCATTTGTTAAATGAAACGTTATACTTTACAACTTTTCACATACGAGGTAATTTAATTACATATTACTTTATGATCGTGAATAAACAAACTTTCCTTGTTTCACTAAAAAACATCGTTTTTTTCCTACGATCTTAACAGAGAGTAAGTTTTTCCACCCTAATTTCAGAAAGGAAAATGGCCAATTACCTGCTTACAGTTTTGTGATTTTGTGAACCCTAGTTTGATTCTTTATCTCACTTCATAATTTTTTTAAAAACTACAGTAAATTGGTACACTTTGCTCCATCAGGTCCCTTCTTAATTTAAATAATTACGCGTTTAAAAATATTTTTCCAATAAAAACTTTTTTATGAACGGTTTTGATATGCGAAATAAAAAATATAAAAAGACGATTTTATTGTGTGCTAGAAATAAAATTACGAAAATGGATCGGTATTTTTTCTTATTTAATTATGGAGTTAACGCTTAATTAGAAGAAAAATATATTTATGCCAGTCCTGTTTAATCGAAAAGTTTTTTTTTTTTTTCAATTTTCCATTTGAACTTCAAACAACTTTTATCAGTGCATGGGTAGTACTCGTATCTACTACGCTGGTACAACAATTAGAAATAATGAATTTTTTTTGCTTTCGATAAAATAAAACGTCAGTTAATTAATGGCGCATTTTTAAAGACTTATTTGCGTACGTGGATCACTCACTGTTTTTTATCTCTCCTATTTATTATATTACCATTCTCTATCTATTTTACGTTTTTATTCGACCTATTTTTGCGGTTGATTATTTTTATAACATTTCTGCGAAATGACCTATGTTTCACTCGTAAATCTTGACCTATCGCAGAAGGAAAAGTCGAACGTTCTGTTTTGAAATGTTAACAGTTAATTATATCGTCGTGAATTCGTTAAATGAATTTGTCTTTGTAAAAATTGGAGGAAAGAACGGACGATTTGAAACGGGTTCAATAACCTACAGTTGAACCTTGAAAATATATACAACTAGGTACGATTAGAATTTATAACGTAATAACGTAACGAAAATGGCGCGATAAATTTAAAAAAATTATTAACGTGTTTGTTGATTTTTTTTTAATACTGACACTATAATTGTACGGCAACTTCGTAATAACTCGCTCTTCCAAAAACTCGAGTTTCTGTCATCTTTCACTCTTGTTTTTTTAGAGATTACATACGATTTTCTTTAAAAAAAAATAAAAATTTTCTCGAGAGGTTTCTAATCGAATTTAATAGGGACAATGGATGTTATTTATAGTACGGAGGTGGCGATTTGGATAATTGGAATTTTTCCAAATTGGCACTTTACCATCTATAGAAAACCAATTCTTTGTTAGTTACGAAGCGATTATTTATTTCATCTTGAAAATAAACCTTCTGGAAGAATTAGTGAAAGCGAATGACTTATTATGTAATTAGGCTATGGAGCCATATAAAATTCGTTCAATACACACATTTGAAATTGATTGTCCGCTCGATGCTAATAATAAACTAAGATTTTCATTTTGCCTATGTGGACATTTCGAACTAAAATAACCGCGTCCTTGAAATAGATTCGAATTTGTGAAGATTTTTGCCTCCGGCGAATCGAAGAGTACAACAGCGTTTGTGCATTCCTATTTAAGAACAGGTTTAAGTCGATTTTAAAGTAAATTCATTACAAAAATGTTACTTGGAAATCCCTTATTGTATATTCAGTGATAAGATTAAATCAAGGCCATTAGAACCTGCAAATCAAATTGAAATGTTCTTATCAAAGGTTACACGAAAGAAATCGTGCTTTGGTAGCCGAAAATTGTTGGTCGTAGAAGATAAACCAAGTTTTCGACGATTAACAGATGTGTTTTATTTTTGGGATCATGAGTTATAAAAAATGAGTAAAAGGGAAGGAATTAATAACAAGGAGTTATTGACATATTTGTCGACCGATTAACACAAACAGTGTCGTATTTTATTACAGTGACAAATACTGATAAAATTAATTAGAGGTTAAATAATAATTTACCCGAAATACAATAAGTATTGAGTCATAAAAAGTAGCCAAAATGGTATATGTGCCTTTACAAAAAATTGTTAGAATGTTATAATTGCGTTTATTTTATACAAGATATTCCAGCTACAATTTTTCACTTCGAAATTCAAAATATTTTGTAAGAGAATGAACAACCAGAGAAGAATACACAACCAAAATTTTGCATGTTTGTTATTATTAGAGTCTAGGATGCATAAATAAACTGCTAAGGTAAATACGAGTATAATACTGGAAAAATTCTAAAGTTTGACCTTGATTGGTCATTAAAAAATTAAAATTATTTTTATTTATTTTGTTGATAAGAAATACAAAAAATACGTTTGCCCGTCATATATTTGGTAATTCTCTAAATTTGGGTTGCAAATTTAAACAGTTATGTGAAAACAACGATTTTCGGGACTTATTTTGATAAGACTGCAAAAAAATAAATAATACGACTTTGTTAAATAATGAGTGGCGTAATTGTTGTTATGCAATCAGATTTTTATATTTTTATTATTTATCCCTGCGTTGCGCAACGTTGACGTTAACGCGCCCTGTCGATGGTTTTTCAGCAACCGCCCCCAGCCCGTTCAAGTATCCACGCGCCGCCTCTGGCCGGCTCACCTCTAAGTAGCCGAGGCGCGAATCTATCCGTACCTCAACCGCCACAAAGGAGTTCTTTAGGTCGACCTTCTTCGGGTTTTCCTCCAGGCGTTAAGGATCTCTCGCCTTCCGTTACAATCACACCCGCACCACCCCAACCGTCTAAGGTTTGTGTTAAACGAGAGCGTATAATTGCGAGGGGGTAGCAAATATAAATTTAATCAGTCTGGCACGGGGGGTTGTTCATTGCGTACATTGTTGTTAATTTTTTTAACGTTTTTAATGCTGTCAGACTGCTAGTGGATTAGATAGTAAAGGATTGGGTACGAGCGTACAAACAACGCCTTTGGGCGAGCCGCAGGTAACTAGATATTTAGTGCTAGATACTTGTTTGTTTCTGTGGATGTATTTTGATTGTTTTTTTTTTTTTTTTTGGTAACAGGACCGATCGAGGGACGATGGACAGACACCGGCGCAAAGACAAGCAGCGGCGAAGTTGGCCCTACGAAAACAATTGGAAAAGACGCTTCTACAGGTAGGAATGATTGTTGTTTGTTTTTCAAGAAGTGTTAATTGGGGTTTGTGTTTTGTTTCAGATTCCTCCGCCCAAGCCGCCTCCGCCTGAAATGCATTTCATTCCTAATCCTAGCAACACCGAATTTATATATCTGGTAGGCTTAGAACACGTCGTTGATTTTCTGACGAAAGAGACACGAATGCCATTGCCGCCAATGCCGTTTTCGTGTAGTCAATGCAATTCTGATTTTACTCCGGTTTGGAAATGGGAAACTAAAGGCAAAAATCGAGGTAAAATTAGCGAATCTTCAAAAGAGTTCTATTTAATTACTGGTGATTTTGAAGGGTTAAAGGTCATTTGTGAGCAATGTGTAACCAATAACGTGAAAAAAGCGCTGAAGGCCGAGCATACGAACCGACTGAAGACGGCGTTTGTGAAAGCTCTTCAACAGGAGCAGGAAATCGAGCAGAGGCTTGCTCAAAATGGGGTCTTCACTTCGAGTAGTCCGGCCCCATCGCCGGTGACTCCAGAAGCTGTTCCGAAATCGGCGACTCCGACTCCTACACCCCGACATGCGGCCACACCGCCAGCTCCTTCCGCTCAACAAACACCTCCACCCTCCAGGAGTTCACATTCGTCGTCGGATAAGTTCTCGCAAAATGCAGCAATGCAAGCGCTACAACAGCAGCTTCTCAGAAGTGAGTAATGTATCAAAACGCCGAATTTTTATGTTTTTGAATCGTTTTAAAAGGAATTTATTAAGCTAACAATTTCATTTTTTGAGTCACTCACTTCAACTTAAAGATCATTTTTGACAACTACTTAGATACGGTTATGCCAGCTTACGCTTTTAAGTTGCAAAACTCGACTCAGCGACTAAATTTTAGATTGGTATTTTTTTTCTTAATTTGTTTTTTGTTTGTTGTAGGTTTGACGGCCGGTGCTCCGCCGGCGCATATGTTGCCGTTTTCGCCACTGTTCTACCCTTACCAGATGGCCATAGCACAGGCGGCCGCCAGCGGCAAAGGGGGCACGCCGAACATGGCTGAGCTGCAGCGGGCCGCCGAGCTGCAACGACAGTACCTCCTCGACATGATCCCTCCAGGTCCGGGTCAGCGTCACAATTGGAAAACATGATGTGTCAGTGATAAGATTTAGATAATGACGTTCTAAAAAAGTGATTGAGACTATGTTTAAAAAGCCATCGAGGCTATCATCCGCGAGGATTTAAATGTCTGATGTGCCCTTTTATTCCAGAAGTAAAAATCGCTATTTATTATTTAACAGTTTGAGTGGAAATTTAGTCAATTATCGCAAGACTGATTCTAGTACCTATTGTATTACCGACACTGGAGGTTATTGAAAAAATAGAGAAATTAACTCACTAAACGAACGGAGATCTCAGGATTGACATACTTACACTAAGTTTAAACGGTTTATTTCCTTAACGTTACGTTTTCGGATTTTTTTACTTCTGGAATGTGTTTTTATTTATTACGAGATGTTCTCGAGACAGTGAAGACCATGTAAATAAGCTTTGGCGAAATTTTTTAGTTGTAGAAATTACGGTTGACAATGCTAAAGCAGAGATGTGTAAGGTTGTTTGTAATCGTGTGATTGAATTAATTTTTCACCGGATTTAAAGCATTCAACGTTTACAATGCACGATTAGTTGAATTTTTTTCGAGGCATTTATTTTTAAAGTGAATGCTTGAATGCCGAATCCTTAATTATAACAAGTTTGTAAATAGGTGTTTTTACAATTGTATAATAGTTAATCAATAGGAATATTGATGCATATTATGCTCATTAATCTTGATGTTGACATTTATTATGAGGTGTTTTCTATTATAACAGAAACAGTGTTTTTTAAAACAACTAGCTGAAAAAATGTACTTTCTGTAAGAAAAGAAAATATTTATTTCAGATGTAATCATAAAAGTGGTATTTTCGAGGCACCTTAAATTATTCAATGCAGCTAAAGGAATGGAAACTGAGGGGTGAAGAGTAGTTTTTTTAATGGATTTCACTGTACTGTGTTCATTTTTAATACTGTATTTTTTTCCATTAGAATTGTGTATATTGTAGCGATACGAGGGTGCTATAACAGAAATTTCGATTTCTGATAATTTAAATGAATTTTTATTGTATTAATGGGGTGTGTTTGAATTAACATAATTTTGTTTCTGCATATTTTTTGTCACAAAACTATGAAGCTCAATGAAATTATTTTCTAATTTAAAAAATATCAGTAAGACTTATTTATAGCACAATTATGCCAGTAAAAATATGTAAATGCATTTCAAATATTTGCAGTGTGAAAAATCGTCTACATAATAAAATCAACTTCTCAGTCTTACTTGTATTACTAGTGTTATTGTAGGTAGTGCTTGCAAATTTTTCCATCTAAAATATAGTCAGTCATTGTCGGTAATAAATCGGCTGTGGAATTATTTTTTGATTCTTTCATTATTTTCTGTTTTAAAACAACAGTATCACACACACGCTGAACAGGTTTTTAGGAAGATTTATAAACTAAAGTTTGTAAATGACAGTTTTTGAAAACTAAATGCCTCTTCAGTACTTACGTTAATATGTTGCCTCAAAGTTTTCAACTATTCTATTTTGTAAGTTGTGTATAATTATTTCAACATGTTTTTAAATAAATTGACTCATAAGTTATGCGTCTGTTTTATTCACCCCAAGGACAAAATAAAATGGAATTAAAAGCAGGAATGGTAAATAATTGGATCATGCCTATGATCTTGACCCTTGTCATTGATTTCATTCACAATTAAAATTTCGGTTACTAAAACAAATAACATAATTATAATGTTAAATACTACTCGTATTATACTTCGTTATTTTTGTTGTGGATTTCCCGGATATCATGGGAATTGAGAATCAGCACAACAAATTTTTTGAACTTTTGTAAACAAGTGACGCAGTGTCGCCAACATTACCTTACGGTTAAATAATTAAAGCTTCTTATAAATGTATTGGCATAATATGCATTATATACATCCATTAGTTTGTTTATTACAAAATTGAAAATGACGTTTGAATATATAAATTTTATTTACTTGCTGATATCTAAAATTATCTTTTTTATTTGATTTTGTACCTACAAGTAGCCAACTTCAGTCTACAAAGTTACTATGGAGAAAAGTGTAAAGTGGTAAATCTGTCAAGTTTATTGTGAACTGCTAAAAATAGTAAAAAATGTTACAATTGTTGCGTTAAGTGGCTTGAAAAGGTTTCATCGAAGTCGAGTTGTTCAAACTGATAATAAATTAGTCAAACTGTGGAAGCGCAATGTGAGGTTATGATGCAAAAATTTTGGGCATGGAATTCCCTCTGCAAGATTTTGACATCGACCAAGAAACCGATTTTTTATTAGGGAATCAATCGAGTCATGGGAATGAAATGGAGATTCAAACTAAAAATAATCGTAGTCCTAAAAGACGTAGAAGCATAGGAGCCGTTCTTTGCAGGTAAAAACCCACACAATTTGTTCTGTGTCAATTAACGTTTGTGAATTACACATAATTTGTTTACAAATAGCCGGTTTATCTAATTTTCTGTAAAACTTTTTAAATTTCGCGCTCCAAATCATGCGCATAATTTTGACATTTTCTATCCAAATGTCAAAAATATTTGTTTTGATAAGGCAGAATAAAGAATAATGTGAATTTGCGCGTCTCAAATACCGCTCCGCGATGGATAATGTCGAAACTCAAAGCAATTTAACCAAAACTTCCAAAGAAGACATTCCACTAATCACTAAATCGTATAAAGAACCATTATGGAGGTACACATTACGGTAAAACCCCTCTAATGACTAATCCTATTCTTTCCAGTTGTTGGTGCTCCATTTTCCGGAAATGTTGTGGCCCCCGCGAACTCAAGCCCCGGAAAATTATGCTAGGGAGTCAAACCCCCGGCCAATTTCCCGCCAACGCCATCAGAAACCAAAAATACAACATCATAACATTTCTTCCGTTGGTTCTCTACCAGCAATTCAAGTTTTTTCTAAACTTGTACTTTCTCATAATGGCAACGTCTCAATTTGTGCCCGACATTCGAATAAGCTACTTGTACACCTACTGGATCCCTCTGGTAAGTCTCATATACAACCCCACTAGCCCATTTTTAATGATTTCTCAGTGTTTTGTACTCACGGTCACAATTTGCCGCGAGGCCATTGACGATTTAAGGAGATACAAACGCGACCAAGAGGTCAATAACCAAAAATGCAAAAGGTTGCTCAATGACAGGAATAAGCCCTTCGAAATCGTCGCGGCTCATAAATTACGCGTTGGTGACCTCATTATTGTGGATAAGGATGAGAGAGTACCCGCAGATTTGGTTCTTTTAAGAACCTCTGAAAGCAGCGGCGCAGTTTTTGTTAGGACTGATCAGTTGGATGGAGAGACCGACTGGAAGTTGAGACTGGCGGTTCCCACGACCCAAAAACTTGCTACTGATCATCAACTATTTGAAATCAGCGCGAAGATATACGCAGAGAAGCCTCAAAAGGACATTCATTCGTTTATAGGGACTTTTAGTAGAGTAAGTAGAATTTGAATAATTATGGCCTTCAAAAGTCCGGAAATTGGTGACGTGAATTCAGCTTAAATCATTATGGTAATAAAAATAAACAGAATTTTAAATGGCAATAAATAACATTTAATCCTAGATTTTATATGCTTTTGTATTATTTCACGGATTTAAAAATCTGTGAGAATTTTTATTACCCATTACTACTTACTTCTAAGTGTTTTTCCGCTTGGAGGCTCAAAAAATATTTCTCAATAAAATTATGATTTCTCCTTCCAGTTAGATTCACTGAATTCGGATGAAAGTCTAGACTTGGAAAACACACTTTGGACCAATTGCGTAATCGCCTCTGGCCAGGCTTTGGGGGTGGTCATCTACACAGGTAATTCAGTTCCCGCTTCTCCGAATTCCTATCAACCCGGAAAATAAATTTCAGGTCCCGAAACGCGATCTGTTATGAACAATTCAACGCCTCGTTCCAAAGTTGGTCTTTTAGACATTGAAGTAAACACAATAACGAAATTACTTTTTGTCGCCGTAATCGCTCTCGCTTTGATCATGATGGCTCTAAAAGGATTTGGAGGCCCCTGGTACCGATATTTGTTCCGGTTTATTTTACTTTTCTCATATATAATTCCAATCAGGTACTGATTTTATTTTGTTTTAACGTCTTTAATTGTTTTAAAAAAAGTTTGAGAGTGAATTTGGAGTTGGGCAAGTCGTTCTACTCGTGGGCCATTGGCAAAGACCCGAACATGGCCGGAACCGCGGTTCGGTGCACGACAATACCTGAAGAATTAGGGAGGATTTCGTATCTCTTAACCGACAAAACGGGGACTCTAACTCAAAATTCGATGGTGTTAAAACGACTTCATTTGGGAACTGTCAGTTACGCGGCTGATAGTTTTGAGGAATTGAGTGCCACCCTCAAATCGACTTATTTAGGTAGCGACACGACTTCTTCAAAAACTAAGTTTCGCAGATCTGAAAATACGAGAATTAGAGATGCCGTTCAAGCATTGGCTTTGTGTCACAATGTAACTCCGGTTTATGAAAACAACGAAGGTATAACAGTTTTTTTCAACACCATATGGATAATAATAAACGGTAAAATTAGATTCAGGTTCGATAACGTCTGAAGCGGAAGCCGATCAACATTTGCAAATTGGAGGAAAACAAGTGGTTTCGTATCAAGCGTCAAGCCCCGATGAGGTCGCTTTGGTGCAATGGACCCAAGAAGTGGGTCTAGCTCTCAGTCGACGAGATCTCTCTTCTATGCAACTAAAGGGGCCCGATGGTCGGCATTATGATTACACGATTTTGCAGGTGTTTCCGTTTACAAGCGAAACGAAACGGATGGGAGTTATAGTCAAAGTTTGTCCAGGAAGCAATTTTTAAATTTTATGATTTATTTTGATTTTTGTAGGACTTACAAACTGGCGAAATAATTTTCTATTTAAAAGGTGCTGATGTTGTGATGTCGCCAATTGTACAATACACAGATTGGTTAGATGAAGAAGTGGGCAATATGGCTAGAGATGGGTTGAGGACGTTGGTGGTGGCTCGCAAAATGCTAACTGAGGAACAGTATTCAGATTTTGAGGTAAGTACGGCCTTAAACTGGGCACAATTAACAATAATTAAGCGAAAAGCAACAAATAATTATCTTCAATTTTTCACTAAAGAGCCGCTACAATGCCGCCCGCCTTTCCGTGACTGATCGCGTGTCACGCGTGGCCCAGGTAGTCGAATCTCTCGAACGTGAAATGGAGCTTCTCTGTATCACCGGTGTCGAAGACAAGCTCCAAGACAACGTTCGACCTACCTTAGAACTTCTCCGCAACGCCGGCATCAAAATCTGGATGCTCACCGGCGACAAGCTCGAAACGGCCACTTGCATCGCGAAAAGCTCACGTCTCGTTTCTCGCACACAAGGTCTTCACATCCTCAAAAAAGTGGTTACACGAACCGACGCCCATCTCGAACTCAACGCCTTCCGACGAAAACAAGACTGTGCCCTTGTGATAAGCGGCGATAGTCTCGAGGTGTGTCTCTCTTACTACCAACCCGAATTTATGGAGTTGGCGACGGCAGCCCCCGCCGTTGTGTGCTGCAGGTGTTCGCCGACGCAAAAGGCGCAAGTGGTGCAGTTGATACAAAAACATACGGGAAAGCGAACAGCAGCTGTGGGGGATGGAGGAAATGATGTCAGTATGATCCAACAAGCTGATGCAGGGATCGGGATTGAGGGTAGAGAAGGGAAGCAGGCCAGTCTGGCCGGAGATTTCAGTATTCGGCAGTTTTCGCATTTGGCGAATTTGCTGCTCGTTCATGGGAGGAGGTCGTATAAGAGGTCGGCGAGTTTGGCACAGTTTGTCATTCATCGCGGGTTGATTATTTCGACAATGCAGGCCGTTTTTAGTAGTGTTTTTTATTTGAGTTCAGTTGCATTGTACCAAGGATTTTTGACGGTGGGGTATGCTACAGTGTATACCATGTTTCCGGTATGTAAACCAACCCCAATATACTCTCATTGTAATAAGTATTTGTTATAGGTATTTAGCTTAGTCTTGGACCAGGACGTTAGTGCCGAAATCGCATTAACCTACCCAGAATTATATAAAGAGTTAGCAAAAGGCCGGAGTTTGTCATACAAGACATTTTTTATGTGGGTCTTGATATCAATATACCAAGGAGGGGTGATAATGTACGGCGCTTTGCTTTTGTTTGAAGATGAGTTTATTCACATAGTGGCGATAAGTTTTTCGTCTTTGATTTTGACGGAGTTGATCATGGTGGCCTTGAATATAAGGACGTGGCACTATTTGATGATTCTAGCCGAACTCATTTCTCTCGTGTTGTATCTTTTGTCATTGATTGTTTTACATGACTATTTCGGTGAGTTTTTGAAAAACAAAAGATAAATCATGATGTTGTTTATGTTTCAGATTCTGAGTTTATTCGGACGAAAGATTTTATTTGGAAAGTATTAGTGATAACATTGATTTCGTGCTTGCCTCTTTATATTTTGAAATTTTTGAGGAAGAAATTTTCGCCGCCGAGTTACAGCAAGTTATCGTGAATTTTCGTCATTGTGATAAGTTCGTTTGCATTTCTCTTTTCGAGTGAGAAGTTGGATTATGTTCAGATTTGCTTTATTTTTATTTTTTTTATAGAGAAAAATTTATATTAGACGAGTAACTAGTTCCTGTTTATTTCAGTTAGTTTTATTAATATTTATTTTCTTTGTTATTACTAGTGATAAGTCGAAATATCGCATAACTATTTTTGTGATAATTTTCACAGTGACGCTAATAGGCATAGATTAATAACAAAGAAATAATCACTGATAGTCTAACAATATTTTTGATTGTATTTATTTTGATTCAGTTTTTTTTTTTTTTCTAAATTATTTGTTTGAGGAATGCAAATCACATACTACTACCCAAGTCAATGAATGTATTTTATTTTGTTAAATATTACAATATTCATGTTAGAATATTTTATTAACTAACTTTCATATTATTGTTAATTTAATAACTAAATGTAAATTATTAATATATTCTACTTATTTAATGTTTGTTTTCATCACCTTTTTTTTTCTCTCTATTACGCACTTTTATTTTTTTAACGCATAGAAAAGATATTTAATTAAATAATACTATTATTGTAAGAGTAAGAGCGAAATAAAATTGTGTGCTTTTAGGAAACCACGATTAATTATTATTATTTTATTTTATTTAATTTTATCTTATTTTATTTTGTTTTATTGGCCTTGGCTGCTTTGCCGAACGCCTTTCACTTTACCCCTACTTCGCGGCCGGCAGTAATGCGACATGCGATAGATGGACGAAAAATTTTGAGGCGATGTAATAAAAGTTTCACTTAATAACAAAAAAGTTTTGAAAAAAAATTTGATTTGAATGTCGGTCATTTGGCGCGTCAATGGAAGTGTCACAAGTCCCAACCACCTCATTTTGACATATCTCTCATTTTTAGTCATTGATAAACGTCATTTGCATTTGTGTATTTTGGAAGCGAAACGAGAGAGTGAAAGAAATACCTTATCTCAAACAACTCTTAACATAATTTCAATACTTTTTTTAACTGCAAACCGTAAGTATGCCTTTAAAAATTAGCTAGAAATAAATTTTATATATTTACTCAAAAAAAGTGAATATTTTTATTCTGTTGCTTTTGATTATACAGTGATCTTAATCTTTAGTATTTTGGTGTATTTAACGAAATATTTACATCTGTTTATCGTATCTAAATCTAAAACGTATTTTAAATTAAGAAATAATAATTGTCTTGTCATCATTCCCTAACCTCACTTTTTCATCTAGAACAAAACACAGCAAAATGCCTGCTGGAGGTGCATTATTCGGCAGTGCCGCTACAGGACCTGGCTCCACCGGCGGTAACAAACACTTGGTTGAAGTACGAGCGGGTAAAATGAATTTGAAAGGTAGATATAAAAAATCTCCGATAAGCCCCCATACTCACATTTGTGTTAGGCCGCATGGTATACCCCGACAAACGCAAGGGGCTTCTCTATGTGTACCAAAGCGAAGATTCTTTAATGCATTTTTGTTGGCAAGACCGCACCAGCGGTATTGTTGAAGACGACCTTATAATTTTCCCTGATGATTGCGAATACATCAAGGTACCCCAGTGCACCACTGGGAGAGTCTATTTGTTGAAATTCAAGTCGTCGAATCGCAAATTCTTCTTTTGGTTACAAGTACGCCTTTAAATTCTTTCACATTAATTTTACATAAAAATATTTTAATTTTAGGAGCCCCGAACTGATAAGGACGATGACAACTGCAAACGCATTAACGAGTTATTAAACAACCCTTCTAGCGCAGTCCAGTCGTCGCAATCCCCAGATCAGGATTTGCAGTCCTTGTTTAATAACATGTCCCAATCCCAACTCATGCAATTATTTGGCAGTGGTGTAGGCCAGATGGGGGGGCTGTCTAGTCTCTTGGGGACGATCAGGTAACGTATCCCTGATTGTGTTTACTGGTGCAGTAAAAATTGTAACGGTTAGGGGCCCCAACAGCGGAAGTGCTCGCACTAACACTACTCCCGCTATTACCCATCGTACTACCGTGCCAAGCACTCCAACCACCAACACCACCACCACAACCGTGAGCCAATCTCCGGCCACTCCGCAAACAACTACAGCCCCTTCGGTAGCTCCTGGAGCCCCCCGAGCGAACCGATCATCAGATTCGTCATGTGGGCATAAAATTCAATTGTCGGACTTGCAGAATTTTTTGCAAGGGATTTCCCCAATTCAAAGCTCATCTCAACAGTCTGGTACTTAAAACAATCTAATTTTAAAAAAATTGTTAAAAAAACATTTTTAGTTGATTTATCGACTGCCCTGACAGCTGAAGGATTACCTGGGATTTTAAATAATCCGGATGCTATTCAAGCCCTGCGAAATCATTTGCCAGCAGTTGAGGGTGACCCCCAGGAAGCCTTGCGAGCAACACTGAATTCACCTCAATTTCAACAAGTGATTAAGTTTTAGAAACAAAATTTTGTTCTAATTGAGTTTTTTAGGCCGTCTCCCAGTTTTCTAGCGCTTTGGAGTCGGGTCAATTGGGGCCGGTTGTGTCCCAACTAGCGGTAAACCCAGAGGCGGTCGCGGCGGCGGCACAAGGAAATATGCAAGACTTCATGAAAGCCTTGGAAAAAAATGAAGACAACTCGCCAAAAGATGAGGATAAGGAAAAGAAAAGCGAGAAAAAAGAGGATAAAGATGATGATCAAATGCAAACTGATTAAACTGTATTGAAGTTTATTGAATAAAATTTTAAAATGTATGAATTTAGTTTTCGCCGGTTTGGAATTTTTTCAAATCAGCGCAAAAAAGGACCTAAAAATACAATGTAATTTCATTTAAGCACTTTTTAGTAATTTATTATCACTTACTGTGTGTGCCCAACCTGCCAGAGGTCCGTACAGATCCCGAAAATGGTCTCCAATGTCCTTATAAATTTTTGTTGTGACTGTTTTGCGTTTTGGTAAATGCGGCATGTAAAATTTTCGTGCGATTTGGTAAACATGCGTATCGATAGGTATTGTCCCTAAGTGCCCCAAAGACATCAAGCAAATGCAGTCCGCCACTTTGGGGCCAATCCCAGCCAACGTCATTAATTTATTTCTCGATTCCTCATATGGCAACTTTTTTAAATCGTCAAGCCATTTTTCGCCGCCTTCCTTCATTATTAATTTCGCTGACTCGCTTATGTATTTAGCCCTGTAACCAAAACCTTCCTTTTTCAAAACCGATTCGACTTTAACATCGGCTAGAGAATCAATTGTCGGAAATGAATAATACGTTTGGCCTTCAAGTTCGCAAATTTTTTTCCCATAAAATTTTGCAAGTTTTTCAACCATTCCCGTAATACGGCTTATATTATTGTTAGATGAACAAATAAACGAGAATATGTTTTCAACAACGTCTTGCTTGAGAATACGAATGCCGTAAAACTGAGACGCTGCTTTTTCAAAAATGGGGTCTTTGGAGGACCACTCGGTGAATTTTTGTTTCAAATCTAAGTTTAATTGGAAATAATTAGATAAAAGATTATTGTAAAATTCTTCGTTATTATCTGAACCGTACACTTGGTATAAAATACTATCATCGGTTTGTTTTAAAACCCAAACATGGTTTGAAAAAACTCCAATCCATTTTTTTTCACCTTCGACTTCTAGGAACTTCCATCTAGATAAGAATTGTAGAATTTCGAACCTGAGAAACTTTTTACACCCACCTGAAACTTTGGCCCCCATTTAAGGTGCCCGAAAGCTGCAATTGTTCTTTCTGGCAAATTAACTTGAACCATGTTTGCTTCGTTTTGAGCATATTTTGAGGTTAGAGTTTTTTTCGAAATGAATAATTGATCACTATTAAATTAACTTGGAAAGGAAATTATATCGAATTTCCCTTATTAGAGTAATAGATAATCAACACCTGAGTTTAACAATAATATTTAAGTTTTCAACACTAAATTATTTTCCCGCGCACCTATCGTCTTTTTTCGGAGAGTCGTAAAATCCGAAAATGAGTATGTCCGAAATGTCAGAATCGGACAATGGGCCAGTTTCTTACTTAAAATATTTATTTACTGAAAGTAATATTCCATTTAAATTAGAAATTACATATAAAACACAATTGGAAAATCTTGTAACATAAATACAACAATAAAACACAAAAAGCATAGTGGACGACGGCAAGTACTCTAATCTTTTTTCTCCCATAAGGCAAATTTTCTAATTTTTCTTTTAACAAATGTAGTCGTCCATGTTTAATCGATAATTTCCACAACTGTGTCCAATTCAAAGACATAAGTTCAAATTTGAACAACTCGTGATCTTTTTCATTCATTCTAGACCATAAAGCTTCAACATTATGATAATCAAACGTCCATGTGTTTGTAGTAAAATAGGACAAAAGCAGTAACAGTTTACTAATTTTGCGCATTTGTTGCACCGCCCTGAAAAGTATCATTTATTATTTTTTAATATAATATAAAAAGTCAAATTTGTTACTAACATTGTTTTTCTACCGAAACATATTAGAATAAAATCGGCAAAGTATGCGAGTAATGTATGTTGAAAGAAAGCACGGATTTTGTACCAATGCTTACAACTCACAACTGTAAATAAAGGAAACCAAACCATGTTGCTGAGAGGGTAATCCCATTTTATTTTGTGTACCAGGGCCTCATACCTACCTAAGAAAAAATAATAAAAACAAAAAACAATAAGAAATATTACCAAGAGTTTCAGTATTTTCAGGTGGGGGGACATGATTATAAATAGCAATTTTATTTTCCTTCTCAGGGGACCTTAAACACATATTTAGCCAAAACATTATAAAAAAAACATGTAAATCCTTACTTAGGTTGCATTAAATCCCAAATACTAGCCATCATTAAATTAACCACATAATCACATGGTACAACATGCATAGGATTATTTGGCTTACCAGGCATAACCTTTATAGCCCCTAGTAGCATCCCCACAGCGATCCCTATCAATCCGTAAAAATTATCACTCCATGCTGTTATTGGTTCTTTTACAGTAGGCACAACTATAAAAGAGTTGAAAAAAATATTGTATGCGAGGCAAATATTTCTATTACTTATGCAAGGTCGAACAACTGCCACCGGTAAATCACCGCTTTCTCTCTTAAGTAAATCTTCACTGATACATTTGGTGAAAACATAAGTATTAGGCCACGTTTTCAGCAAGCTACAACTCGAAATACAATGTGTCCCAAAAATTTGAACATTTTACCTTGGAGTCATCCCATTTAAAACATCCTCGTCGACACTTTCAACAAGGGTTAATAAATTTTCCGCTTTCATTCCGGGTTCGTAGAAATCTTCCCTAATGTGAGAGTGAGGACAGTTTGAATACACCGTAGATACATAAAGAAATGCCTAAAAAAGAAGTTTTCTGATAAAATTGTATTTTTTCACAGTTTGATTACTTTTAATCGAGTTATTTCTTTGGCCAACTCTAGCACTTCCTTCATGGCTCTAACATTAGCATAAGCAGCGAGTTTTAAAGATTGGTCAAACTTAACATTTGCCGCTGCGTGTACGAATATCGTCACTTCACGTTTCAAAATTTCCCGTTCTTGTGCCGAAATATCCAAGCCAACTTTTTCGCAGTCTCCACTTATCAATTTGATTTTTTCGTGAAAGTTGGGCCATTTGGATTTGAGAGGTTCGAAGCACTGGAAAACATTTTTTTAAAGAATGTATTTGAAAAAGAGCTAAACTTACAGAAAAATTAAAAATGTCTTGGATTCGTTCACTTGGTGTTTTGTTTTGTTTTGGACGCACAAAAATGTAAATTGCATTTACGTCAGGACAAATACTTAACAATTTAGCTAAGAACACTTTGCCGATGAAGCCTGAACCTCCGGTTAGAAAAATCGTTTGATTTTTGAACGATTCAACGATCTGGCTTTGGATGTCCATGCTGCTTCTGGAAAAGTTGAATTAAAAGTGGTTTTTGTTTGAAAAGTACTGTTTTGAACTCCTGCATAATTTATAATGTAAACGTCTATTGGGCGCATTATAAAATCTAAGTATCATTCTTGTACTTTGCATACAATGAGCAATCCGAAATGAGATTTTTTAACACACTGTAACGTTTTTGTACAGTATTTATATTTAATTTTTATAAATTACGAGAGAAATAAAATGTTTGTAACATTATACAGACTAGGTATATTTCCCTCACAAAATTCTACTCAATTAAATCTTTCAAATTTTTGAGATTATTACAATCAAATTCAAATTACACGATAATTCAGCAAGTTATCGCCAATCTGAATTATACACCATAATTCAGCACGTGTACAAATTATCATTAAATTTGCCCGAGTGCAAATTACACGATAATTCAGCACGTGTGCAAGTTATTGCCAATTAATTGCATGTGTGCAAATTATCATTAAATTTGCCCGTGTGATAAATTACGGCGAATCTGATTGGATGACATATTTTGTATTATTTTTTTTTAATTTGTCATAATGAAAATATTGTTTTTGCAAATTCTGTTCGGAAAATAGCCTGCAAAATACCCCTCGTGCATACCAAACTGATTCTAATTTTCTTGAGTGTACTTCGTGCACTCGACAAAATTAGCGACAATTTGGCGCGCACTGGGGGTATTACTATTGAGAATTTTATTTATTATTGCATAATATTTTTGTGATATAAAAAAAGTGAATAAAGTCTGTTTTTTCTTTAAATGGAAATCAAAATTTTGGTAGCAGATTGTCTCCATAGCCACAAATTTTGTTTGCTCTTTGTTTTTGTCCCTAGAAGTTAAAAAAAAATTATGGTTGTTTTCAAATTGATGTGTTGTCAAAATTTTGACTTTTATGAATCTTGTGTGCTCTTTGAGAGCGCTATAATTGAACGCTATAATTGAATTGACAGACATCATTACCTAAGGTCTAAACAGGGCCGTAACCAGGATTTTATTTCGGGGGGGGTTTCTTGTTGGTCCATGAAAATGAAATGAAAGAAGACGGATTATAAAAAGCAAAAATCTCTAAGTACACGTTTTTATTTTAAATTGAAATAAGAGATCCTAATTAAACATAAAAAAATACAAATTAACTCACAAAAGAAACAAAAAATAAAATAAATTTTTAATATTTTTTTATTGTTACAAATTTAAATAGGAGATGAATATTCATTTTTAAAACAAAAATTTTCTATGAACATATATCGAAAAATGCTACGCAAAGGGTGCGTCTTTTAATAGGTTTTTTTTCAATATTTCCGAAATCATTTTTAAAAAAATTTCAAAATTTGCTACAGATGATAACTTTTATACACCTAAACAAGTACAAAAATAAAATGTTGAAATTTTTAATTAGGTGCTTCCTAAACTAGATGGGATTAGGGTAAAAATTTACTCTAACTATTTTTTCTGTGGTTTCTTGCCACTTTCAGCAACAAAATTTCATAGTTTTTCATAAAAAAAGGTCTTTTGTGTTTTTCCGATACAATTTACGGATTTTTTGTAAAAATCGGTTTAAAAATTTATGTTACAGACCATAAACAGCATAAAAATTAAAAATTAAATTTGTTTTACCGTTTAGGACGCCCCTGATTAAAAATTTTGTTATTTGGCATTTGTTTGGGTGTACACTTCTATTCAAAAAAAGCGTACACGTATTGAGGACTATTGTAAATGGGATATATTAATTAATCGTTTCCAAGAAAACGTATTACTGACATTTTGTATGTCAAATGTGTGAAAATTGCTTTCGCTTGCTTTTTATAATTGAATTATGCAACGACAAACAATATCATTGACAAGAGCGTAGTCATTACTAATAAGTTGGAAGATGGGTGGTCTAGGCATAAAAAAACTGCTGAAGCAAATCTCTGAGAAATACATCGATGAAATCCAGCTATCAGTAACGTTTTAATTATGGTTTCTAAGTAACAACGATTAAAAGATAAGTTTACAATATTACAATCCAGCCAAAATTGGGCTCACTACTTACTACGCTTTTTTTTTGAATAGAAGTGTACATATAAAGGTGCCAAATTTTGTAATTTTATCTATTCTGAAATATTAGGAAAATCCCTTTAAACAACGTACCTTTTTTAGGGGGTGTAACTCCTTTTCTTGGCATTTTTCAAAACACTTTTATCTTAAAATTAAATATTCTATTAACTATTTAAATTTGTACCTAACAATAAAAATGAAACACTGTATAATTAACACATGAAAAATTAATACACAAAAATTTAAAATTAACTCATTAAAATAACAAAAAAACTAAATTTTTAACACTTATAACACTATATAACAAAGTGTTCAGCATTTCGGGGGGGGTTTGAACCCCCTAAACCCCCCCCCCTTGGGTACGGCCCTGGGTCTAAAGACAGAATTCAGTGCTAATAATTTTGTATGTAAGTATACCTACAATGTTGTGTACAAAAATGAGGTTCTTGCTACAGAAAGTTTGAAGAAAAAGGATGTGTATAGAGGAAAAAGTTATTTAACAAAAGATACAAGTAGGTATTATGACGACTGGCAAGAAATTTTGTGTAATTTATTGAAATGAGCTCAAAGTTGGTGCATTTTATAAATTCTTCTTCAGCTTTAGTTTCAAAATTCTTACTTTTTCAACTCGTTCCTCAAAAACGATGCACAAGACATTAATTTAATTGCGTTCTTTCCGAGGTTCTTTCTCATTCATGTTTATCTTGTATTCTTCTCAATTTCCTGCTAAAAATTGAGAATGTTTAGCAAAACTGCATTACAAATTGCGTCTACATTTTAACGGACCCTTTTTCTAACTTCCTGCTTGCGAACTATTCGTTTCCAAATTTCTAAAAACTGTTAACAGTACCGCGAATTTGTTCCTTTCTTGGTGTTTTGCCTCTAGATTTTCTTAGACGATTTTTTGTGTTGACGTAATGACATTGTTTTTAAATTAATTCAAAAAACCGGAACTGCCAACTTCCTTTATTAAAATTACCATGAATAATGAATTTACTAGTGGTGCCAACGTTAAGACTGTTTGGCATTTCCATTTAAAAAAAACAGACTTTACATAAATGTGTTTAGTGGCGAACAAAAATCATTTAAAAGTCATTTTGTGTAGCCTGCACTTAATTGTCATAACTCATATACATACATCTATTTTAAAAAACGGGAAATTAAATTTTTCCAAATGTAAATTTGGTTCTAGTTGACAATTGTCAATTTGACAATACTTCTATCAATATCATTAAATTTATACCAACTTGTGCAATGCCGCATTTAAGTGAAGTAGAGGAAACCAGAATCGTCGCTCACCTGGAAAATAAAATATTTTAACCTATTTTTAATAAAACACGTTCACACCATGAAAAAATTGAAAAGAAACTCTAAATTTTTTGACATTTTCCGTTTTTTTTTTTGTATGTAGCTGTAACTGTCCAATACACTGGCGGACACGGAATTTTGGACGATTTGTCATTCGACTGACATAAAAATGTAAAACTACTAAAACGAGCATTAGGCAACTAACCCCACTTTCGGTTTTTGTAATTTTTATCCTAACAGCTAGAGAAAGAATGATAACAAATCAATATAATTTATTGAACTTACATAAAAACACGTATTATTATATTATTGTTTCGAAAAATCTACGTCAAAAATAAATTTCAACTAAAACTTTAATTAGGAGGCACTAGATAAAACGTAAAATTTTGTTTTTAAAAAATTCGTTGAATTTTTTTGACGGATTCGGTCTTATTGGCTAATTTAAAAAAAATGTCTCTTGTGATATTTTTGTACGTCGCACCGTTTTGCGAAATTTTACTTTTAAATACTCAGTTTGAATACTTACTAAATTCGTTTACGTCAGATTTATTTAATTTTGATGCTGTGTCATTCTTTATAGACTATAAACAATAGTACGACATGACTAAAGTCTAAAATCATTCATAATACGGTTAACTTTTACATATGGTTTTCATACAGAGTGAACAGTTGATCCAAACTGATGTCAAGGCTTTTACACTTAGTGACGTTACTCAGAGTTAATAGTTGTAGCTCGCAGGATCCTTGAGAATTAAAATCTTGGAGAGACGTTTGTTCGCATAGGAATCTTCCGGAAGTCATCTTTAGCCAGGAATCACTCGAAAATAAGAAGTACAATTTATTCATTGCCAAATATTTTGACTTTGGTATTATTACCCGGAACTGCATGACTACTTTTCCGGACAGGGACTGAGTACAAGTGATAAATTTCGAATTCCTAGGGGAGAGCAATTGGGGAGGACTAAATATTAAAAAAAAAATTATAACTGTCAATTTCGTGATTTTTTCGAATACCAAAATATTTTCGAAAATTAATTTCATAGGAAATTGGTCTTTCCCTAATTTTGATTCTATTAGTCTAAGTTCGTCAAAGAAATCAGAAGGCCTTATTATAATGGGATGCATCATTCTTCAATATCTTGAAGAATTAAATTAAGAATTTCGTACATTGATAATTGATGTCGTTAATAAAAACAGAATCTTCTCTATACGCTGCCCTTTTTTACAATGGATCCAACTTGGTTTATTTTTCTCCCTAGTATTTTTTCGTTATGGACTATTTGTTGGATTGTAACATTAAATTTATTGATCAATCTGACAGATAGCGAATTTTGATTCTTTATACTGGTCGCCAAATTATTTTGATTATTTTTTAACTCCTGAATTATTTTTTCAAGTCCTTCCCCATCAGATGCGTCTAAATTTCCCGTCACAGCTTTAAATACTGATCCCAAGCCGTTGATGAGACCTCTTTTAATTCGATTGGATTGTGGTAATATATCTCTCAATTTTTCAGTAGTTTTTTGTTCCGTAAATCCAAAATTTTTAAGTAGTTTAATGTATCGTTTAAATATCCTTCATAGAGGTTTACCAAACTTACTAATTTTGAACATTTTAGTGAAGTTAATTCAAAAATTATGAGTTGAAAGTCATAATAATATATGACGCTATGGCCATAGTCTTTAATTTTAGCCGTTCCTAGTTTAACAGGAATTAATCCTATATTATTTTCTAAATTTCGCACTATCACCTTCGGATGGGCATCCGCAAAGATGACCGGTAACCTGAAAAAAATATTTGAATGAGTTTAATTAAAATTTATAAGTTTCTTTTAAAGGACGTTCTAAATTATCCATGTGAATTTTACTCTGTTCCTCAGTTACTATATTTTTTTGTTCAATATTACTTGATTTTAATTCTGTTGATTTATTAAATTTGTTTGTGTTTTTTTGTCTAAGGTGCTTTTTAATAAAAACCTTTCGTTTTGGTTTAAACCAAAACAGACTAGGTTTGTCACGATCTTTGTTAACCTTGTTTATTCGTTTTTCTGTTTCTTGCGCAAGGTTTTTGTTGATTTTTAAATAAAGAATTTTGGATCGTTCTTTGTGTTGATTTATATAATCGTTTATGAGAATTTTGTCGATTTCTTGATCAAATGGGTCAACTGATATGGCCGTTAATAAGATCTATTGATTTCAACCTAGTTGTTGAGTGTATTGAATGATTGTATACAAAAATTGCATATCTCATTTTCATACTGATGGGTTTTCTTAGGAAACCCCTAGTATTAAGGAGTCGAACATGCTCTCTATAAGGGTGGAATGTAGTCTTTCAACCATTCCGTTAGATTGTGTAAGCTAAGAAGTTATGCAATAACTGAGTTTTGAAATTTTGTTCCGTTGTCTACCGTTATTTATTTTGGAACTCCATGATGTGAGAAAAAGTGTAACAGATTTGTTGAAACTCGTGTTGAAACTCTATTTATCATCCTCTATTTTCTACATTTATTTTATATAGTAGCTGTGTCGTTAGTTACGTCATGTAGTTAGTTGCATTTGTTAATAAATTGAATACATAAGTCTAAAAGCACCTCTTCTTCTTTTTGCCCTTTTTCCTCCAACATACACAGACCTCAACAGGTTATGGGCCCAGATACCCTGAATAACTGAAAAGTTGGAGAATAAGTGGTGTTGTTTTTTGAAAACATAAAGTTTTTTTTTGGTGTAAAAAAAATGGATTTCAAAACACAAATAGAAAAATTAGAAGGTGCGTCAAACTGGAGTAAGTGGCGAAGACAAGTGGAGTTGTTGTTACACCATGAAGTGTTGGAATTAGTAACAGGAGGACAACAGTCACCGTCAGAACCTACCGAGAATAGCACAACAGCAGAGCGTCAAACTTATAGGGCGTTTTATAAGGCAGATGCTTTGGCACAATTAATCCTCGTGGGAGCCATGAACGATCTGAACATAGATCTGACTTCAACATGTGAATCTGCGAAAGAAATTTGGGAGAAATTGTTATCGGTCTACGAACAAAGTTCAGGACGTCTGGACCGGTTAATGGAACAGTTTTTTGGCTGTGAGAAAAATCCTGCAGAAGATATTGCAACTCACATAGCTAGACTTCAGAGGAACTTTCGTGAGATGAACGACGAGCTGMAGAGATTAGCAACTWCAGAGCTTCCAGAAATGTTACTAATGAGTAGAATCATGTCAACGTTACCCACTGAGTATTTTGAGTTTAAAAGTGTTTGGGAGTCCATCCCACTAAAAGAACGAACCATAAATAAACTAACAGAGCGACTACGACTCATTGAGATGCGACTTCCGGGTAAGACAAGCAGCGAAATTGCTTTTGTAGCCAAAAGTGGCACGAAAAAGGCTCAAAATAGTCAAGTGAYAAAAGTTAAAAAATGTTTTAAGTGTCATGAGACGGGACATTTCGCGAAAAACTGTCCGAAGAAAATAACGTCGTGTCCGAAAAAGTTTTCTAATGGTGGCGGTAGTACACGCGTGGAAGGTGACGCGTTTATAGGCGAGTGGGAAAACGCAAAAAATACTGATATGTGGTTAGCAGACTCAGGTGCATCTACTCACATGACAAGTAGTAAAGACATTTTTATTGAATATAAACCTTTTGTTACGCCTAAGTTAGTTCAAATAGGCGACAGTAACAAAATAAAGGCGTATGGAAGTGGCATCATCAACGTGGAAATGCTGATTGGGAAGAAGTGGCTTCAAAACCACTTGGCTGATGTGTGGTTTGTGCCAGGAATCAGCAAAAATCTTTTTTCAATTGGGAAAACAATCAGCAGAGGCTACAAATTCGAAGCCAACAACAAGGGCTGCTACATAAAAAGAAATGGAACTGTGCGCTTAACAGGAAGAAAATTGCCAAGCGGACTTTACGCATTAAATATGCGTGTAAGCACTCCAAAAATCGCAGCTGAGATACATGTAGCATCGACTGTTGACACGGTGCAGTTATGGCATGAAAGACTATGTCATCAAAATAAGAAGCATGTAATAAAATTTCTTAAAAGAATGGGAATCGAGTTAGAAACGAATGAAGAGTTCTGTAAAGGATGTGTCTATGGAAAACAACATAGGGCTAGTTTCAAAGAAAGAATAAATAGGCCGACAGAGCCTGGCAAATTAGTGCACGCGGACGTGTGTGGTCTCATGCAAGAAGAGTCAATTGGTGGAGCGAAATATTTTGTGTGTTTTAAAGACGATTTTTCAAAATATCGGCGAGTGTTCTTCATAAAAGCAAAAAGTGAAGTAGCGAATTGTTTAAAAACATTTCTATATGAGGCGACTACAGCTGGACACAGAATAGAAGAGTTTTTAAGTGACGGCGGAAAAGAATTCGACAATGCAGAAGTTAAAGAAATTTTGCAAGCAAAAGGAATTACTTTTCGAAAAACAATGCCCTATACACCGGAGCAAAATGGGGTTGCCGAGCGCGAAAATAGAACCTTGACTGAGTGTGCACGATCTATGATTCATGCAAAGAACTTACCAATAAAATTATGGGCTGAAGCTGTGAACAATGCTGTGTATGTGTTGAATCGAACTGGACCAACTCCTGTAGAAGACAAGAGTCCAGTTGAATTATGGCTGAACAAAAACAGTGAAAACAATTTAAATCACTTGCGTGTTTTTGGAACGAAGTGTTATGTTCATGTACCAAAGCAACAACGCAGAAAGTGGCATAAGAAAAGTGTTGAAGCACGTTTAGTGGGATATTGTGGTGAAAAAGATGGTTTTCGTGTATGGACTCTGAGGAACAATAAAGTAATCATGAGTCGTGATGTTGTGTTCGAAAATGAAACGCTGATTCCAGCTGTCACAGAATTAGTGATCAAAACATCAGAGCCAACGGAACAAGAAATACCGAAAACGAAAACAGAAGAAGTACAGGTAGAAAGCAAAACAGATGATGAAATGGTCATCGGTAGTGTAAAACGGACAAGAAAACTACCTGCTTATTTAGGAGATTACGCCATGATGGCGATGGCTGAATGCGAAACACAAATTCCTTTTATTCAGCAATGCAATCCCCTGAAGCTGAACAATGGAAACGTGCAATGGATGATGAAATGTCATCACTTGCTGAAAATGACACTTGGGAACTCGTAAATCCACAACCAAATGAAAAAGTGATTGGGTGCAAATGGGTCTTACGAATAAAAACAAAAGCAGATGGCAGTGTCGACAAGTACAAAGCTCGATTGGTGGCAAAGGGATATCTACAAGAAGCGGGAATAGATTATCATGAAACCTTTAGTCCAGTTGCTAGGTTTGATACTATTCGAAGCATTTTAAGTGTAGCTGCGATAGAAAACTTGAAATTGAAACAATTTGACGTCAAGACTGCTTTTCTCTATGGTCTACTTCATGAGGAAGTCTTGATGAGTCAACCTGAAGGGTTCAACGACGGAACTGAGCGGGTGTGTCGACTAAAACGCAGTCTTTATGGCCTCAAACAGGCGCCAAGGTGTTGGAATGCAAGACTGATCGAATTTATGAAGAAAMATTGTTTCAARTGCAGTGCCGCTGATCCCTGTCTRTTTSTTCGTGTTAGAGAYMRTAASAAACTARTAGTGGCGATTTATGTAGATGATGGACTGTTAGCAGCGAGTGATGGGTATGAATTGTCGTCTTTTATCGACGAACTTAAACGAGAATTTAAAATAACTACTGGACCTTTAAGTAGTTTTCTCGGAATCCGRGTGATAAAAACTGAGAAAAACTCCGTGTTCATCGGACAAGATGGTTATATCGCAAAAATTTTGAAACGATTTGCGATGGAAAATTGCAATCCAGTTACTACCCCCTGTGAACGGAATACTTGGGACGGAAACAGTCCAGTCCTTGACAAAAAAGTACCTTTTCGAGAAGCTGTAGGTAGTTTAATATATTTGGCAACAGCAACTAGGCCGGATATTGCTTATGCAGTTAGTCTGATTTCGGAGCATCTAGAGAATCCCACGCAAGACCACTGGGTAGCTGTAAAACGAATCTTTAGATACTTAAAAGGAACGTTGACCTACGGGATATTTTACGACGCTCATTCAGAAATCTCAGAATTTAAAGGATACAGTGATGCCGACTACGCAGGAGACTCAAATACCAGACGGTCGCGTACAGGCGTTGTATGCACAAATGCAAAAGGGGCCATATCATGGATAACCCAGAAGCAAAGAAGTGTGGTTTTGTCTACAACAGAGGCAGAATATGTAGCTGCAAGTGAAGGAGCAAAGGAGGTAATTTGGTTAAAACGTCTCCTGTCGGAAATAACCGAAGCAGTCGCCATCCCAACTTTACTGGTGGACAGTGCCAGCGCTATAAAGCTCTCCAAGAATCCCGAATTCCACAAACGGTCGAAGCACATTGACATAAGGTTTCACTTTGTGAGGGAGAAAGTTCTTGAAGGAACTTTAAACGTGGAACACATTGCAGGAGTGGACCAAATCGCGGATATCATGACCAAACCGCTTTCCAGGCCGCGTTTTGTCTACCTTCGAAATAAATTAGGGTTACGTGAATTAAATGCGTAATACAGTAGAAAATTGAGTTTGAGGGGAGGTGTTGAAACTCGTGTTGAAACTCTATTTATCATCCTCTATTTTCTACATTTATTTTATATAGTAGCTGTGTCGTTAGTTACGTCATGTAGTTAGTTGCATTTGTTAATAAATTGAATACACAAGTCTAAAAGCACCTCTTCTTCTTTTTGCCCTTTTTCCTCCAACATACACAGACCTCAACAAGATTATTTACTATTTCAGTACTTACTAGGGAATTTAAGTAGTAAGCCTGTGCATACTTCGAAAAACTATCAATTATTGTTAAGGCTCCAGAGCCCCCATAGATGAATAATTTATATAGGGTATATAGATGGCGTACTCATGTACAACCTTTTGAACTCGTATTCAGCAGCGCCTCTGTAGTTTGGACGCTGAACTATAGAGCAAAATGTGCCTTTTTTAAATGGTAACAATAATGTTAATTGAGTATTTAGTAGAGGGAAATAAGTGCTACTGGCATCTTATTAGAGATTAAACAAAGAAAATAAAAGATTTTTTTAAAGTAATTTATTGAAGATATTGAATCAAATTAGTTAACAAGGTGGTTTCATACTTACAGGGATTATATTAGAACAATTATGTTCAAAGAGGAAGCATAAACAGTCTGGGTTGTCGAGTTCTTGTCACAAGGGTGCCGGCCGAAACAAATCTTCACATTTTTTCCATCAATGTCCACATTTTCATCACCAAAATTCACAAATTGTTAGTAAAACTTCCTTTACTTGTACACACAGCCCACAATAACTGAATAAAAATCTAAAAATCACAACTACACGTAAGCACTTTGAATTTCTATGAATGATGTCACCGTCAAAATTTAATTTTTTTCTATCAGAAGTGTCACAGCCAACCGCTAAAATTTTAAAATTTTGATACGAGCGCCTCTGGTGTTTGGACGCTAAATTAAATAGATAGACTGAATTCACCAATCTAAGAAACCATAGCATGAGAGCCCCTGAAAGCTGGCGTATACCTATTACATGTTAAGATTTCATTGTTTTTAGCCGCAAATTTGAAGAGTTTCTTGATGTTTGTAGTGTTTCCTTAAAGGTAAATAAAAAATATCGTATTGAATTAAATTAAAAAAAACATTTTATAGGTAATTTAAAAATACACATCCCTGTTATAATGCGAATTTAATAACTGTTCTTGATTCTTTGATATAGAGCAAAAATTAAATTAAAAGTAGGCAACTCTTAATACACATTTCAACAACTTTGGAACTACCTGATTTACAATCGAGTCGGGCCCTACCGCAGGGTGTAACTCACAACATGATCGTTTTATTGCGTTTGTTCAAAGCAAAGATATGAATCTGTACCCCTCAAGAAGAAAATTGTTAGTTCATTTCAAAACTTATTTTTTTATTCATCTATTTAAAAATAAATTAAAAAAATTGATCGATTTAAGATAAAGGCACTAAGCCCAATACAATAAACTACGGAGAACAACATACTTTTTTCTTTAGGTATCCGTAACGTAAACCTAAAAAATAAAAAAAATTAAAACATAATATCAATATTAATTTCACTGAGGACGGTTTGTGCTTAGGAATTATTATATGGGTTGGTCTTTACAGACAGCTTTAATTAGCCAAATTGGTGATTTTGGACTTTTCCTCTGCTTTTTAAGTCCCATCACATTAATTTTATTTATTTGACAACTGCATTTTTAAGTTTTCCAATAACGTAATTTATTTATCCGCAAACGTCACAAAAGTGACCACTTTTATGACTAAATGACACAGGTAAAAGTTTTACTTTTCAGACATGGAGTAAAAACACTGTTTTTACGCCTAGGCGTTTTCACTTTTGTGACGTTTGTTATGATTTTATTGCAAAGCGTCCTGATTATTGAGGTGATTTACTTGATTATTGGTGTGTTGTTCTTTTCTCTCCACCTGTATCGTTTGAGGATAAAATAGTATATGTTATTTGGAGTAAAACTGAGTTTATGTGGCTCAGCTGAATCCAATGAACGTTCAGCTTCGCCACATAAACAATCACTTTTACTCCTAATAACATAATCTACTATTTTATACTATTATTATTATTTATCAAATTATAATGGTGGTAACCGGTTACTGTTTTCTGCTTTCAAGCGGTTCGTATGCTACATTGATGTTAATGACAGAATTCCCTCATAAAGGGCAAAACCAAAAATAACCAACGCACTAACTAAAGTAAATACCGGTACCGCGCTTGAAATTGCTTTAAAATTCCATTATTTTCGAATCTCTGTTTTCAAGGCCATCGGTGTCAATCATTTTCCTAACCTCAAACTTGTGTATCAAACGTGTCAATTCGGTATCCACACTTTCTGAATTGCATCATTTGCAGTTTTGACAAAAACCGTGTAGAAAAATGGTCCTAGATTTAGATCTTTTTCGTACAGACAAAGGGGGCAACCCTGACAAGATCCGTGAAAGTCAGCGAAAGCGTTTCAAAGATGTGACTTTAGTAGATAAGGTGGTGGAAGCAGACACCACATGGAGACAACTAAGACACAAAGCCGACAACTTGAACAAATTTAAAAACCTGTGCAGCAAAGAAATCGGCGAGAAAATGAAAAAGAAAGAGCCCCAAGGAGACGCCAACGAGCCGGTACCCGAGTCTTTGGTCTCGCAGCTCGAAAATCTCACCGCCGAGTTGCTCAAACCTTTAACTGTGAACCAAATTAAAAAGGTAAGTTTTTTCACGAATTTCGTTGAAGATTAATAATTAATTTTCAAGGTGCGTATTTTAATTGATGATGCAATGGTGAAAAACGATGCAGAGTTGGTCAAAACGGAGAAAGTAAGGAGTGTAGCCTTGAAGGAAATCGGGAATTTACTCCATGAATCGGTCGTGATAAGCGACGATGAAGACAACAATAAAGTGGAAAGGACTTACGGTGATTGCGAGTTTAGGAAAAAATATTCGCATGTGGATTTAATTCATATGATTGATGGGGTCGATACTGAACGAGGAGCCACCATATCTGGAGGCCGAGGGTACTTTTTAACCGGTCCAGCTCTATTTTTGGAACACGCACTAATTCAGTTGGCGTTACGAATGTTGCATAAAAAGGGGTACAAGCCGCTGTACACTCCCTTTTTTATGAGGAAAGAGGTTTTGTGTATTTTCTTCTAACATGTACAGAATATTCAGTTTTTAATTAATTTCAGATAATGCAAGAGGTGGCGCAGCTGTCGCAATTCGACGAAGAGCTGTATAAAGTGATCGGCAAAGGTTCGGAAAAGGCCGAAGAAAAAGAAATCGAAGAAAAATACCTAATCGCGACCTCTGAACAACCAATCGCAGCATTCCATCGTGACGAATGGATTTCCGAAAGCGCTTTACCAATTAAATACGCTGGACTTTCAACCTGTTTCCGCCAGGAAGTGGGTTCCCATGGGAGAGACACTCGTGGCATTTTCCGAGTCCACCAATTTGAAAAAGTTGAACAATTTGTCCTCACTTCTCCTTTTGATAACAAATCGTGGGAAATGATGGACGAGATGATAAACAACGCTGAGGAGTTTTGCAAGGCCTTGGAAATTCCCTATAGAATCGTCAACATAGTCTCAGGGGCTCTCAATAATGCCGCGGCTAAGAAACTGGATCTGGAGGCATGGTTTCCTGCCTCGGGGGCCTTCCGCGAATTAGTCTCTTGCAGTAACTGTCTCGATTATCAGGCAAGGAGGCTGCTGGTGCGTTATGGTCAAACGAAAAAAATGAACGCGGCGACGGATTATGTCCACATGTTGAACGCGACTATGTGTGCCACTACCAGGGTCATTTGTGCGATTTTGGAAGTGCACCAGACGGAGACGGGGATCAAGGTGCCCCAAGTGTTGAAAGAATATCTCCCAGAGGAGTACCGGGAGGAAATACCGTTTGTTAAACCGGCCCCGATCGAAGTCGAAGCTACTAAAAAGAGCAAAAAGCAGAAAGATGGAATGAAAAAAGGAGGTGGAGAAGAATAAATAAAATTGCATTTTTCGCTTGTAATTTATTAATATCACGAATAAAAATTATTTCATAAAAAATCTTATTTTGCTTTGAATTTTTGGCTGAGTAGGAATGTGATTATAATTCTAGATTACCAAGTTCCTTTTCCGCGTAAGTGAGATCTTTCAAACGCATCATCTTTTTGTATTCTTTGTACTTTTCTTGAACTTCAATAAAGTGTTGCAAAAGTTTAGCAAAGTCAATATTTCTCTTAAATTCTTGGGTCGAATTTGGTTGAATTGTTGCCCTACAAAAAATTAATTAGTATTCCCCCTAATTACACAATTAATACCGACTTGTCGCAATGTAAATGTAAGCTTGGAATACAACCCAGACGAATTTTTAGAGTCTGAAAGGCATCTGTTTGTGGTAACAACATCAATAAGCCGTACAAAGCCTGAATTAAGTTTTTATCACATGGGACTTGTAATAATTCTAATCTTAAATCTAAAAATTCCTTTTATTACGTATATTGATTTTGACTGATTGTTACATACACGCAAAAATTGGTGATTCAATTAATTGGACTAGTTTATCAATTTCCATTAAAAAATCAACGGTAACTTCCAAATTACCACTGTAAAAGTTAAGGAATGACTTAATACCATTAATTAATTATTTATGGTGACAAAAAAAAAGGATACAATAACCTAATTAAGTCACAAACGTGGGCATAACTTTGCGTCAAAAGACACAAAGCGACGGTTGCAACAGGATTATAAGACCACGTTTCATACAAACAACAAAACAACGAACAACTTTCCTAAAAAAAATCGGTCATTCAAAAATACAAAAATTGTATGTAACAAACTTCGGTTTTTAATTCTTTTAATCGATTTCTCATATCATATAATTCTGACGATGTTAATAAAATCATGTTGAGGTGTTCCACCATCAGTCGTGTGAATTTTAAATTCGGTTCATTAAGTAAAATGTGGGCTAAGTTTCGGTAAATTTCTTCGGCGTTAAGTAACACACAGAGTTGTCTGAAAAAATATGATAATGTACATTTAAGAATATTTAAAGATCTTTTGAGAAAAATAAAAAAGTTTAAATACTTTTCAAAAGAAAATGAATTTTGGTAGAGGGGCCGGTTGCAAACGTTCAAGCATAAACAGCGTTCAATGAAAATGTAAATACATTTTTTTGAATTGCAAAAACCTTTTCTGATAAATATTTATTAAACCAAAAAAGTTTTTTTCTTTCTGTGAATTTTGCAAAACTTGTTTCTATCGTTGGCAATATTAACTTCAGTTTTACCTAATAATAAAAGAACCTCGTTCATCTAAAAGCCTCTTCTCCGTGTTAAACGCCTGTAAAAGACTTATCAAAAATTTATTATAGTACGGATTGGTCTCGCATCCTAGATGTTTCATGGTCCCACCATCGGGACTAGTTTTTTTTGTAACAGGTGACGAAATAACTTCTGCAATTACGACTAGACACTGTTGCACCACTTGATCGGCTTCATCCGCTAAAGTACGCTGAAGAGCCGGAAAAAGCACATCTATATGATTCACCATCTACAATCACCCGAATAATAACAAAAAACAACGCAAAAGAAACGAATTACTTCGTCTGGTAACTTTGTATACAAATCGTGTATCCATTTTAATACTGCTACTTTGGTTTGTATCGAGTTATGCATCATGTATTGAGTCAAAACGTCCACTACTGACTGTAGATCTAGTTGACTGAGATTTGCCTCACCTGAAATGTAACTTTACCTCCAATTTTCAAACATAGGAGTCATACCAGTGGTGGTTCGTCCCCCGCTGTCATCGCCCTGAACTGCAATCAGTTTCATGAGCGTGAAATTAACCGCCGTGGCTGTTTCCTTTATGTCTGTCACTGTATTAAGGAAAATACAATTAGAATGAAGATAACACAATTGAGGCAAAATTGCGGAGCGGACCGCAGACTAAACAACAGTTCCGCAATTTTTCCTCTTGTGCACTCTTGATTAAAATAAAATAAAAGAAAAAAAAATGTGAAGGATACTTCTCCGTGATTCCGTGTCGTACGCCAGACATGGTAACACTGCCGTGAAAATCCCAGACATGTATGGCAACATTGCGGCACCAGATAATTGCACAAATTCTTTAATCCACGTAATTGCTGTGAACTGAAGGAAAATGAGAAAATATAAAGGAAAGTTCGGGAAATTACTTGGACTAAATCGTCGTTCTTCTCTTGGGCGTGATTTATGAGTATGTTGATCATGGCCGGAAAATTCACTTTGGAGGGATCTGATTTAATATTTCGCAAAAATTCGTTCAATGTTGTTTCGCACATTTTTTTCACTTCTAAATTCGTGTCGGCTAAAATCCGGAAAAGTCCGTCCAGGATCTCCGGTAAATAGAAAAGTAAATCAATATCAGGGACCATGTCAAGGACTGAAATCCAGGAAATAACGAACTGGCGAGCAAATGTTGCTTTTGTGTAAATTCGTTCTCGTAACAATGGCATAAAACCTTCCAAATCAAAATTTGTACTTTCGGTAACAATATCCTAAAATCAATTTTAATCAAAATTGAGTAATTACGGGAAGAATTTGTTACTTTTAATAGCCTATCAAGCAATTCTGATGCATTTTTCACGTGTTGATCCGGATCTGTTGCAATTTTACTCAAAGCGTTAAAAATAGCAGAGAAGTGGGGCAAAACCGCCCCTCGAGACACTTTCACAACATTATACAAAGACTCACAAGCATAATATCTAACTCTCAAATCTTGATCAGACAAACACCCCAAAATTGGTTTAATCAACTCATCTGTATAATTACTCGTATCCTTAAAAACCCAAATAAATCATTAACAACAACACAACCCTAAAGTACTTTTCCCAAAGCAATTGCCGTTGCTGCTAACCCGATAAGCCCCCCTTTCCGGGCATGGGGGTTTTGTGACGACGCAAAATCCTGACCCAGCACTTTTAACAACCTCCGAATCTGACTCGTGTTATTCAAATTTGCAAATTCCTTCACCATTCTGTAAAAAAATCATAATGAATGGATGAAAAGAATGGGCAGGGTACCGACTTTTCTATTTCCAGTGCTGCAGTTTTGCGTTTGTCGTACAGCTTGTCGTGAAGGGCACGCACGCAAGCTGAACTAAGAGGAGCGTAGTCTTTTTCCGACATTTTGCTCTGTTTTAAGGGGGCTAATGTTTAACCTCACTTGCACATTTTGACAGGTATGTGTCACGTAATTTGAGGTTATTTAACTCATTTAACTGTCAAAAATTGAGGCTAAGCGTGAAGGAAGCAGGTTCTACAAGTGTTTTTTTAGAAAGTTTTTGGAAAAATCGGCGTAAATGGGTGCCAAGAATTTGTTATTGGGTCACTTGAAAGTGATTTTGGGAAATCATGTCGAATCGGATATTGTCGAGTAAGAATTTTCTTTGTTGAGATTTTTTTAATTCCACACCAATTAATTTTATTAGTTATATACATAGCATAAAAAACAAGGAGGATTTAGATGAATTTATGGAGAATATAATTGACAAAAACAATAGCGGTCATGTAACATCTTACGAAGGGATTTGCAATATTTTGTTTGGTAGCAATAAAACGTCCAAAAAAAGTCATTCTGAGACTATGGTGACTCCCAAAGGTCAGGAAAAAAATAATAAAGCAATAAAACAGAAAGGCAAAAAACGATTTAGTGATATAAACACATACCAAGAGAAGAAAAAGCAACAGGAAGGTAATAAATTTTTTAAAGGAATTAGCCAGAATTGTATTTTTTATCAGGTAGGACAATTTGTGACTGTGAAGGTCAAGTGCACGAATTCATGAATAATTGCTTAAATTGTGGACGGATTCATTGTTATGAGGAGGGCCCAGGACCTTGCTTTTTCTGCAGTGAACCAGTAAGTTTGGTCGCCAAACTGGCCATGTCAACAATTTTTCCTACGACCTTGCTAACAGAAAGTAAGTTTTTCCATCCTAATTTCAGAAAGGAAACTTCTTTCAGGGAGGTAAAAATTTTATTACCCTCATAGAAACTGAAAACATGCTGCTAGTTTTAATGGCGAAATTGGGATATCAAGAGATTTTTTTACTTTTGAAGTTTTGGATCGGAGAAAAAATGATATGTATTGCATTGGAGCAAAGTGTCTTTTCCTTCCTGAGTGGTTCCTGCCTTCGACAAGTCTTCCACGTGTAGGAGGAAAAGATACACTTTTCTCCCTTGTAATACAAATAACTATTGTTTGTTATATCAAAATAAGTGATTCAGAAACAGAAAATAAAATTCTATTTATCTACAATCAGGTTACTTTAATGGGAGAAGAAACTTACTTGGATCTCTCGTCCTCACGTAAAAACAAGAAAAGTGCTTCTGTTACAAAGTAAATCTTATTAATTTCAGAAGATTTTTTTTAATTATAATTTTAGACATAAGGAAAATACAGTTTTTGATGACGATAACGACTACTTCAAAACCGACTCAAATCACGCTAAACAAGACAAACGCACCATGGTCGTAGCACTTGACTTTGCAACTCGTAGAGTAATTGAAAGCACCACTGAAGATGTCCGAATCAAAGAAAAACTTCATGAAGACATTAAAAAGCATCTCGCTAATGTCGAAAAACTGTATCGAAAATTGCAAAAAGAATCTGAAGTTATTGCAGTTCCTGTATGTTTTTTATTTCTAAAATTTTATTTTGTTCAGTTTAATTTTAAAGGATAATAATGATTTGGTCGATTTGTTGGTACAAATGAGACATAAAAAACCGGTCGGAGTTGAAGATTTGGGATCGGAAGATAATAAAGCTCATATTATCGATTACGGGAAGGTTTATGACGAGGAGGTTATTGCAAATACCGACCATGGGCTGTGTCTGAGTATGCACCAACCGTATGCCAGTCTTCTTGTAGCAGGAGTGAAAAAGTTAGTTGCAAAAGAATAAAAAAAAAATTAAAACATAATTTTTAGACACGAGGGTAGAACGTGGAAGACTAATCACAGGGGCCGACTATGGATAGCAGCAGCTGCTAAAGAACCAGACGAGGACGAAATTTGCGCTTTAGAAACATTTTATCGGCACTACTACAACGGTATGTTACACTCGGCTTCGCCTTGACAAACTTTATCAGTGACCTACTCTCACAGACCAGTCATTAAAATTTCCACGAGACTATCCAACAAGTTGTCTTCTGGGCTGTGTTTTTGTTGACGATTGCTTAGACCAAGAAACTTATAGAAAACGTTTTCCTAATGGCGAAAGTAACAGTCCATATGTTTTAATTTGCTCAAATCCCATCATTTTACCAATTTTCTACCCAATCCTCGGCAAACATAAAATATGTAAGTTAGTCGAGACAAGAGAACTTTTCTCCTAATTGCTTGTTTTAGATCCATTAGATAAAGAATTGCATAATTGCGCCAAATTATCTCTCCGACATGCAAACTACTTTGACTGAAAAAAGAGACGTACATTCTTTTATTTTATTGCACTTTTTTGTTTGTTTACAAAAATATAATAAATTATAACTATACAATAAGTTAATTTACATTTACTGTCTTTTTCTTTGCCCCCAGGAAATTTTGTTGCTCAGTTACGGAAATTAAACCCCAATTTACGAATCCTTTTCCCTGATTTTATCTTTAATATTTGGGAAAAACGCTTCGATTGGTAGAATCGGATCGTCAGTGGCTATTGTGAAATAATTTGGGATTCTTCGACTTGTGGGGGCCACCGATTTGAATGTATTATAATCATTTTTGGCGGACGAAGTCAAATCGGAGACTCTCGCCGAGTATAAATTAGCATCGATTTTGGAAATGTCACCAACTGTGGTTGTATCGACTTCTAGATTTTCCTCGGTAATGATTTTACTTCTCTCAGTTGTAGACTCTTCATCATCATACTCAAGAGTAGTCTCTTCAACTTCATTTTCTTCCGTTGTTGTCACTTTCTCAGTTGTCGTTTCAGTATTATTTTTGTATTTGTTGTAAATCCGACTCTTTAAACTTATCATTGAGGGTCTCTTCCTGTTGAAAAGATTCGGTTTGATTGACACTTTTGGTGTTGTTGTTGTTGTAGCAGCAGTGGTTGATTTGTAACGTCCAAATGGTCTTAATCTTGTATTGACACTTTTCACATTTTTCTCTGTAATTATAGCAACGTTTGTATCCTCAGTTGTTCCAGAATGTCTAGGGTCTTTAGGAACAAATCTAGATCGTACTGGTTCAGTACTTTCCTCTCCATGGTTGGCAATTGTCGAAGTTGTAGGCCTTCGCAACCTGCTTGGAAGCCTAATCCTGGGACTGTCAGTCGACCTGTGTGGCTCAGAAGTCGTTGTACTTGTGCTGTACTGACTCAGCTTTTGTCTATAGTCTTTGACACTAAACCTGGGCCTATTCGAATTGTCAAATTTAAGCGGACGGCCTCTAATCCTACTCGAACTCTGAATTATTGTTGTTGTTGGCGCTGATGTTGTCGTCGTTGTTGTTTCTTCAACACTATCCAAAGTGGTCGAATCAACTTCATTCTCAGGAACAACCAAATTTGTTGTGGGTGCTTTTTCAGTTGTTGTAATTACAATAAATGGCCTTATGGTCTCATATCTAATTTTTTGGGGACTTTCAGTAATATAATGACGCCCAGGCAATTCTAATTCAATCGTTTCAGCTTTAGGATTATCTTCAATTTCCTCACTTTTTTCAGACGCTACTGCTTCAGACTCAGAAGATCTCTCGTAAGTTTCTTCTGAGACAGGTGTTGTTTCTGTTCTTAATGGCCTTATTCTCTTCCTTATTGATTCAGAACTGGTACTTTCACTATTTCTGTTCCTATACCTGTTTCTTCCTCTACTAGGTTTCGTAGTGACATCACTAGTGTCACTTGGTGGTGGTGTTGTTGTTCTGTATCTACTCGGTCGTCTTATTCTGACCGGTCTTTCAGTTTCAATGGACTGTGAGGCTTCGTTCTCTTGCGTCCTTTGAGAGTCGTAACTTTCAACAACTTCTGGTTGTTCTGTCGTGGTTGTCGTTGTCGTCCGTCTGGGATCAGGTCTACGCCTCCTGTGTGGCCTGATCCGTTGTGGTTCTTTGGTTGTAGTCACAACTTCTTCATGTAGTGTCGTTATATCGTTTGAAATTTCATCTGAAGGTGGCGTATTTGCAAAAACAGGTTTTCCAAAAACTGGATAATGTGTTGAAACTTCTTTCACATTGTAATCATTAGGACTAGGTGTTGTAAAGGCTTTTTCTCGTTGTAACTTGGATAATTTTGTGAAAATTGTTGATACTTCGCTTTGGGTGGGCGAGGTCGGGATAATTCCACTTTGTCCATCAGGTTTGTAAGGCGTAGGTAAGAAAACTGGAACGTCTGAGTTAATTTCAGGACGTCTCTTAGGTTGGCTAGGTTTCCTCGTTCGGATTGGCCGTTGCGACGGTGGCTGCTCCCATTTACCTTCAGTCACCTCATACACAGGTTTCGATGGTACTGTAGGTTGTCTTACTCCTGAAAAATCATACTCGACGTATTGCCCATCAAATCCAGGTGGTACATTATTGTGAAACTCCTGTATCTTCTCTCTAGTGACTTGAACTTGGACCGGATCCTTGACGTTTTGAAAATGGAAAGGTGGGGGTACTTGCAAAACAACATTTTCTTGAGTTTTTCCTTTATCTTTCACTTTTTCACTCCCTACTTCTTTATTTCGATAAATCTGAGGCGGCGGTACCAAATTCCGGGTAAAATCTTCTTGATTGGTAAATTGATAATTAATATCATTAGTTTGGGGATGTTTTGCAAAGATGAAAGCCGGAATTGACGGATTGTTGTACTGTTGGAAGACGCTTTCGCTGGTGGACGGCAACGCAAAGCGATTAGTGAACTCAAGGTGGGTGTGGGGTTGATTTATTGAATAGTGATTGGCTCCTGGAAGCCCCAAGTCTATTGTTTCACGTGTCCGAATATTACTGGTGGGTGTTTTAAAATGGGTGTAGGTGCCTGGAATTTCCGGTTTGAGGATTTTAAATACTGGAAATTGAAGAAAACTCACCGGAAGTCGCTGAAGCTGTGAAAATGTCATCCCGGTAGTTGTTTGTCGATGTCTGAATCCGTACTGGTTTGATATTTCGTTTGTTACTGGGTGAAATTTGGATAAAGGGTTTGATGGAAGTTACGAGGGGTTTGATGTGACCGATTTGGCTGGGGCGGGTGTGAATGACGGCACTCAGGGGGATATGGGGACCGTGGGAGTCGTAACTGGGAAGGGTATAATAGGGGTTGAGTTGGGGGTGCTTCTGGTGCGGAACTTTTCGTCCTAAATTTTTTTTACAAAACGTTAATTGATTTTAGGTCAAGGCTAAATAGAAATCTGTATAATTTTTTTTATTGTAATGAGTGTATGAATGGATGTACCATAAACATATGGTGTTTTCTAAATCGTTTAAAATTTCAAACGAATAATTGGAGGATACATTTCTAATTTTCTCTTACAAAGACTGAACATTCTACTCTTATTTGTTGCAAATTGTAAGATAAAAAAATTTAAATGATTGCTTTTTACTGTTGAAATAAAGTATCTTTTTATTCTTTGAAAATGTTTTTTTTTTAAGTATTGTATTCTTACCAAAAATTTTAAAAATCTCGTTTAGCTGCAAACTGATTTTTCGAATAAATTTTAACTACGCTGCAGAGATAAGGTTATAACTATTTACATTCATATTTAAAGAGAACTTTAGAATTTGAAACGTTTATTCGGAATTTTTCGAAGTTATTTAACGATGAAAGGAAACGTTTGGCATTATTTTTTGTCACGATTTGTGAATAGGTAACAATTTAAAAAATTAAAGTAATTAATCGCTTGGAGGGTTTTATTTGTTTCTGTTTATACAAGATTGAGATATTTAGTTCAAGTAGTCAGTCATAAATATTAAATAATAGAGTTATTAACCATATATGGGATAGTGGACGAGATATGTCTATCCATTTTCCATACATTGAATTGTGTGGAAAAAAGAAATGAGGTTTAATTTTACAGCAGTTTTGTAAATTTATATCTATTCTCTGTTTTAAAGAATTAAATTTAAAATATAATAATGTTTCTTTTGTAAAAAACTGATTTTTATTAAACAAAAATTAATTTATTAAAGATTTAAATTACAGAAAAACAAAACTATCATTAATCTTTTTTTGAGAGCATATGAAAGTAAAATGTAAAACATCAACTAGGATTGAATTCTGTAATTAATTTATAGAACTCTCATAGTTGATAGACACTGATATTCAATTTTGATAAGGTCTGAGAAAATTCGAACAGCGGAATGTTTTTGAGTTGTCAAGATGTCAATATTTAAAAAGAAACATATTAATCAATGTAATGGTGGTTTAGATTTAGAAATGTTGGTAGAAATTCCGTAAAAAAACGTATTTCCGGTTAATTAAATTTAAAAAAATTTGATTGTATTTTTTTATGCGGTGGACACTTTCATAAAGCTATAATTTTCAAAAACTACAAAATGAAATTGCTAGAGATGTTAAAGCAAGGAAACAAGAACCGGGCCATACAGTTAGTTAAAACTATGTATTTTAAAATACAATTTTTGGAGAAATTTGTAATTAAGATTATAACTCAAAATGAACGGTATTTTACGTAGTTTATAAAAAAAAAATTTTACCAACCTGAAAATTTATTTCCTTCAAACGTGGGCTTGTTTGCCTGTTTAAGTGACCCCCTGAACGGCTTCCTCTCTGGCACGGCACTTGCAGTTGGAGGCAGGGCCGTATTAGTCGGCGTTGGAGTCGAAAAAACCTCATATTTATAAATATCACTACTTTCCGAATTAAACTCGTAATATCCCGGTCGTCGAGTTCCAACAATGGGCTTCCACCCATCTGCTGTCATGGACACTGCATCCTAAAACGACCATCAGTATCCAGAAAGAAAATGAAATCATTTCAAACCCACCTGTCTAATCTGAGCATTTGTATAAAATACGAGATGGAATATACAGACGAGTAGAGCTGTAATTAATTAAAAATTTGATTTTTTGCTAAATAATTGAGTGACGGCCAAATATCGGAGTACTCTTCATGCACTGATTAGTTAAATGTTTGACAAAATTGTAATTTTAAAATACTTTCTCGTGAAATTTTGTTGATTGAAGTTTCTCCGTTATTAGGCCGCATAATTGATGTTCTACTGTATTGTTAATTTTTTAAAAATCTCACCTGACAGTGGTTTCCATCTCACCGGTGGCATCTTGCAGCTACAAAAGAATTAAAGGAAAAAATTAATAACAAAAGAAATTTATTTGTATTGTTATTCTAGTATTGCTGGTTCTAAATAGTTGCACGCAAGACTACTTTAAATACATTCAATACATATCAATTAAGTGCCAACTTTCAAACGTTTTAGTACGGATTAGGTGCCAGGTGGTGTTTTAATTGTTAGGAATATTGTTTATTGTTAACAGGAATTAAAAAAGATTTCTCTAACTGCAATTCAATTTACTTTTAATAATTTGTACAGTTGTATCTAATAATTAAAGTACTGTTTGATCGCAATCATTGGTTCAAGGCTAAAATCCCATTTTTACTAAATGTCTTCCTTATTTATTAACATATTACACAACTCGTATTTCTTAACAAATCCCATTGTATTTACAAGAATAGATAAATCATACAATAGACCACTATCTGACATCCTTCCGTTTTAAATGTTACTTTTGGTTAAAATTCGGAAATTTATTAAAAATAATTTGCATTTCATTTTATGTGAATAAATTTAATGGATTTCTTCTCATCGTCTCTAAAAATAAATCAAGGAAAACGGCATTGTAAACAAGTGTGAAAGCAGAACCAAATTGCGAATCTGTGCTACAAATAATTCTCGAGTTCAATTAATAACAGGAGGATTATGTAATGACTAGAAGGGGCTAGTAAAGAAAATTTTCTATTTTCTGTTTTTTAATTGATCAAGATTAAGAAATATTTATTTTTATTACAATTTATGTTACGTTACTATTGTTTCTATGATCAGTAAATGTGATGAATTAATTTGATCGAAGCGAAAAAAAGATGATCTGATGTAAAAATTGGACTACATTATCTGCTTTCAACTTAAGTTAAGGTAAAGTGGAAAATCAAATTAATCACTGTCTAAATAAAATTTCTATTTCAAGTTCGTGGACATGAACTTGATTTGCTAATGTGAACGAATATTTACCAAATTACGTAAGTTATAACATATTTTTAATTGACTTTAAATTTATTATATTTCTGTTTACTTTCGGCCACTTGAGAACCAAAATTTTCACTTTTTTAAAATTAATTGAATACAACTTTGAATATGTATGTATCTGTCAATACCTAAGCTACAAGAAAAGTCATTTCACAAATTTAGAGTAAAGTGAAAATTTTTCCAATGTACTTATTACTCGAATCACATTAAAACACATCAGTTGATTGATGAAATATTAGAGTAAGAGAAAATGAAAAATGGAGAAACTTTTAAGGAAGTACTTTTTAGCCAAACAGCGACCCGAATTTTAATTTTTTGCCAAAGTCTTCTTGATTTACGATATTGTAATTTTTTAATCAGCAAGTTTTTAAATCAATTTAAATTTACAGTTCGTGCGCATTAAGTCGGCACGCATTACAATCTCCTGTTTAACAATCGGTGCATGATGTTTGGCTAGCCGTGTAAGACGTTTTTTCGTTGGGAAAACTCGGATCTCAATTAATTTACGTCGAAAAGTAGTAATTTAGCTGAATTTCACATACTGTGTGAATCTCTTACGTAACAACACGATTTATGCAACAATGATCGATATCAATTCTTCTAATTATTATAATGTGTTATGTACGTAACACTGCACTGAAATTTTCTTGGACTTTCATTTTTTCACATTTCATAATGAAAATATGCAAGTGTACCGTACGGTCGCAGGGCTTCCTGGTCGACAGCTGAGAACCGTGCGAAAGGAAGCGATTATTATTAGATCGGTTCATCGAATTTTAAATGGATTATAAAGCTATTACAAAACGCCGCTTCAAATACATTAATTACCTGATTGGCTTTAATTAGAAGATGCAACGGTTTTTACGGCCAATTTTTGGCATCTACTGTTAGACAGTTACTTGTTTTCTAGATCTCCAAAACAAGATTTTAGTATTAAAAAAATGCAAGTTTTTTGGATCTATTTAATTATCTCAAGCTTTTACTTTCAAAACTAAGCGGTTTTTCTAATGTAGATTTAGTCGATTATTTTTAAACCTGTCATCCAGTTTCATATGCAGATTTCTAAATTTCGGTTCAGATTTTTTCTTTTAAATTAATTTGACTTTCTCTAAGTTTCATATGCACTTTATACTAATTAAGTTGTGTCAAAAATTCTAAAACAACCGCAAATTATTATTTATTATTGTCTGAAATAAACATTTTGCAATTTTCTCACGATACATAACATGTTTTTCTACATGAATTTCTTTGCACGTTACATCAGTTTAGATGAAATTACTTTCCAAACAAGTAATAAAAATGTAGTTTTAGTAGTTTTGTACAAGAAAAATAATGTTATACTACTTGCCCTTTCGTTTATTTATTCATTAAACCTTTTGGAGATTTCATCAACTTCTAAAGGAAATGAAAGTAACCAATTCATTATTATAGTAAACAGGTTTTGAGTTTATGCATTCTGTTACGCATATTCACATCATGTGACGGAAACATAAAATAGTGTTATTGCTGTATCCACTATTAAGATGTTTGGAAAAAATTAATTGTTTAAGCAATTATCCCAGCGCATCCACCATTTTTAAATTATGGTTTCATAACACATTGCCGTAGTACTCTTTCAATTTGCTACAGAAATTTTAATTGAGATTATAATAAAGGAAAAAATATTTTCTTAGATCCTGTTCTCTCAAAGTTGTGTGAATTAAACATTATTGCCTGAAGATGGCTATATAAAAATAGACGAAACATATATGTATTAAGTAGAACAATAAATTATGAGAGAACAGGACCTAAGAAAATAATTTTCCCTTTATTATAACCAAAAAATCTCTCACAAAATGGATCACTCAATAATTAATTAAGATTCCTAAAACCCTCAACTCGTTTTCACTTTTTATTAACGTTAGCGGTAAGTTGCCTAATATAGGTTACTTTTTTTAAGAATAAAAAACTATATCTACAAATATCTACCAGAATATATTTTTAAAATTTTATTGATATTTATCTAACGTGTTAAGAAAATACAATTTGCCATATGAGCGATTTGTTAGCTATCTTAAAGCTATGAGTGCAACGGTATCATATTTTTTTTTAAATATTAATGAATAGTTAAATAATTTGGAAAACATTATCTAAAGAAATTTAAAAAGAAAAATGCAATGTTTCGATTTTCAGAAAGCAAATTAAAATTTCATACGAGATTAATCTATACCTAATTCAAATTAAGTTGATATTTAGTTTGCATAAATGTAATGTTCTGTAATCCAACTCTGACAGAGTTTTTTTTTGGTTTAATTAAAATTAAAATTGATCAAAATTGTAATCAGAATATTATACCTAGGTATTGAATAAATTATACCTACACTGAGAAATTATTGTAAATATAATAATATTACACAGAGTGCGCCAGAACTCGCGCCCCAGAGAAAAATTTTAAGTATGATAAGATACCAAGAAAAATGTTTAAAAAATTGTATCTGTCAAAAAATTTTGACATTTATTTTTTGACATTTGTCATTTTTTATGTCTATTTAATGATACTGATGATCTTGTATATGTTTTTTTAAAATTATCTAGTAAAAGTACACAAATTTTACCAATAAAAGCCACAAACATTATTAAACAAAGTTACAATTTAGGATATAGCTTCTTTGTTTCCTCTTTTAATAGCCTATAGCAAAAAACTTGGAAAATTATTTTTCCAACAGAAATAAATAGAATCAAAGTGCAAAATTTAAACCCTCATAACTTCGAAATTTTTATAGATAATTTTTTTTTAACATTTTTTCATGTTCTTGGTATCTTACCTTATATAGCATTTTTCTCTGTGGCGCGAGTTCTGGCGCACTCTGTATAATTAAATAAAAATAACTGATTTTGGAGTTAATAGTAGTTAATTGTCGGGATAATATGATTTTGTTTAAATTTTATTAACAATACAGGGTGATTCTTAAATAAACCGACAATATTTTATTACAGCTTCCCAAGGATAAATGAAGACAAACTGTACCCTTTTTACGTGTATATTTTTTAGGGGCATAACCTCCTTGATCCGTGCCTCTTACGGCGTTTATGAATTGTTGCAATGTTCAAGTACATCAAATTAATACCATGGTTTCCACTACCTGTGCTAATACTATTTACGAAAACATCAGTGGCGTACGCTTTACCTCAAAAATAACTTTAATATAATTTATTTGGAGAACGGTTAAGCAAAGAATTTTTTTAATATTTCTTCCAGCATGTACTCATTTAATACTTTAATACTACCAAGGATAAAATTTTGTCGGTCTATTTAAGAATCAACCCTGTATATAAATAAAAACGGTTTAGATTTTATGACAATATTAGATAGAGAAAAATATTATTGAAAGCAAATTAAATTTCAAGCAAATACCTTTACGTATTTTGAAAAATTAAAATTATTGTGAATGTTTTAAGTTCCTTATCATCTTCTAATATTGTTTGTTACTAAAGTTTATTAAACAACAGTTTCTAATTATAGGTAACACAAGTCAAACCATTTTAAAAAATTCTGTTTTTTTACTTCATTTAATGTATATTTCAAGCTTCCAAACTCTTCCAACATTACGTTTTATGCATTTAAGGTTCAATTGCTTAAATATTTAATGTAGCGTCTATTTGTTCAGTGAATCGTGAAGCATAAAGTTGGAATAAGAACAAGGATTTCTAGTTGTTGAACTTACAGGATACTAATTACATTGAATGCTATTTTTTTTATTTATTTTATTAATTTTTAAAAATACAGAAGTCTACGTAATTAATTAATATTAACTATTAATTAATGCACTCATATAAACAATTTTCTGATTTAGATAGGTGACATTAGCAATTTTTTGGCAATAAAATTCCTAATTTTAACTTGGTTAACTTTCAATTTAAATACACTTTCATGCATAAATAAATAAAAATTAAGCTACATAATTAATTATGCAGCGTGAGAAAAACGAGGTCTGTTTTAAAATTTTGTCATTTAACTCAAGACATTGAATGATTTAGTTGAAGTATTTTTTCAGCACGATGTAAAAAAAATGACAATATCATTACCAGTAGACGCACTACGCACACTAACATAATTCTCTAGTTTTCTCTTTACACACGTTATATGCCGTTAAAAATACATAATCTTCGTGAGAAGAAAAAATTACCTGCGAAAAAACTAAAACACAAATTGAAAAACTACTCGCTTTTCCTAACCGGAAACTGTTCCGCTTTGGCGCGAAATCTCGGTCTTGAGAATTTTCAAGACGAAGACTACACACTTTGCAATCGCGATTAACGGACTGCTGTCTATCAAAGCCGTGCTTCTGGTACAGTGTAGGCCCCTCCTCTCGTGGCACGCGCCAGGGCCCCCCGACTTTCACACGTGCGATTCCCTTTTCATCCCGAAACCGCTTTTAGAAACCCATCATCAAGCTAATTAGTCTGCAGTGAAATTATCGCCGGCCGTATGTCGCGGGGGAAAGCCCCCCAAAATCGATCCGGTCTCGATATTTTGACATTGTTGGATAAATACGGTGCGTAATGACAGTGCACCGAACTCGTAATAACAACTTATTGTGTGCAAGAAGAAGAAGAAAGTAGGCCTTCGAGCAAAATCTAGAACGACGATCCACTTGCCAAGTCTGATCAAGTATTCGAGACACGAGCCAAGGGCCGTCGACGAAAACTAATTTCACTTTCGGGGGGTGAAGAAGATTTAGGGTTTTGGACCGGATTTTGGAGGCGCGGATGAAAGCTGCTTGTTATTGCAAATAGAGATTTCCGTTCGGTGTGTCGTTGATCTTCTTTTGATTAAATGGATTCAGGAAGATGTAATTTTAATGTTACTAGATTCTTCAGATTTTTTAAAACCAATTTATGAGACAATTTAAATGATATATCTTTTAAGTGTAATTTGGAAACTTTGTATCTACTATGATGCAGGACAAAAAAATGGGACAGCAAGATCATTGAATGTGAAACGGTTCTTAAATTCAGACGTTTTGAAGGTTTTGAAAAGTCAGATTTGACGAAGTCTCAGAAATTTTTAATAATTTGATGTCCTATTGTGTTTGTTTGGCATGGTATGTTTACAATTTTTCTGATGGTGTTTTATTTTTCACTGTCAGTACAGTGATGGACAGTGAATTTCGTCCACCTAATTTCGTTGAATTCACAAAAATTCACTGTAGTCTGTGCTTTATAATCATGATAACTGACATTCAAATACGTATTGTCAAATTTAATCAAATTCGAACATGAAGGTACAAGAAGGTATGTCTCAAAGATGTGTCTCTATACTTTTGGGCATACCAAGGACTACCATTTCAAAGGACAAAAGTAAAAAGTAGCATGAAGCATCGAGTATTCTGTCAACATGACAAACGTTAATCAAAATTCTGAAACAAGGTTAGGAAAACCTAAAGACTAATTTACACTTTTAATCTGTCAGAGAAATTGGGTGGACGAAATTCACTATCCATCACTGTAAGTCATTTCGTGACTCATGAACTGTCACTCAACTGTCAAAGACGAGTATTTAGCTTTTTCATATTTTGACAAGTGACGGATTTTAGACCTTATTATAATGGTCGAAGATTATAACACAGGTATAGTTATTTTCATATTAATGTGCATCGAAGTAGTCGTTGAAATTTTAAGTTGGCTAGCATGCGAAAATTCAAACAATCCTTATCTCAATCCTCCCTAAAACTGTGTACCACAGTTTTTGAGAAAGCAAAAAATAATTAAAGCTAACAACGTAATTAACATAGGGTGGCAAACATAAAGATTTTTGTCATTTTTTTATGTGATTAAATTTGTTCTGAATGACACTAATGACACTTTTTGTGTGAATCAGCATTTAAGTTAAAGATGCATTTAGACCTCTACAACCTACTTGATGCACATTAATATGAAAAAGAGTATACATTAAACATTCTAAAAATTTGTAATAAAAAATGCATTTGACAAGTTTTAACGAAAAAATATTTAAATGTCTATAGCAAATTACCATTAATATTGACATTTTTATTAACTTTTAATCATAAAATTTTGATTACTGCCAACTTTGGAAAGTTAAATCTTTAGAAGCTCTAATTTATTAAAGCACTCATTTGACTGTTGTATAGGCATTATTATATTCGCAAAACAGAAAAAGATGGATAGAGCTTATTCCATATCTGGTGGCGAACTGACAGTGGAGACACTTGGTTAAGATAAAAAAATACAAGGGCGTAATTTTTTTCTCTAAAAATTTTGAAGACAAGGATTGTTATGAATGTCATTTTTGAAAATTCTTTTCATGCGTTAACAATTTAATAATTTGTTCATCATTCTTCATCTTATGTACGACTACCTACTTATTATAATTTTTTAAGGAATAACAGTGATTTTGAAATATTATTTCATACGACGCCAATGAACAATATTTTTTTTAATAGTAAACATGTTTAGTGTCAAAATTGAGTAATTTTTGTCAACGTCAGTTCGCCACGAGATTTGGAACAAGCTCTACCTACATATCGACTATGCCAACAAAAACTATAGTAACTCAAAATTTACAGTTTTGAGAAAAATTGCATTGAATCTTTGATTGTTAATAAAATATCAAGGAACTGTTTAATATTACTAAAAATTGCTGAAGGTCTAAGTATTGGTAATAATATTGTTTATTCAAAGATAATTTTTCTCATTGTTTTTGTATTTTGGGTCCTACATAAGCCATCGTAACTCAAAACCAATTTTTTTGAGTTACTATAGTTTTCGTTTGGAGAGTCGATATGTGAAAAAGCGTTTGTAATTTATATTTCTAAATTTAAATAAATTTATTAGTTTATCGCTTTGCATTTACCTAATGAATTAAATTAGTTCCTAATTATTTTCACACTGCAATGAAAGCTGTGATTGTGCATTATGAATATTCGGTCTTGACCTCAAGTGCATGACTGTAGCGAAACTTTTTAACGGTTATTGTCCTGTCACTTTTCAGTTCATTGTATCAATTTAGGAAAATTAAATCTTTTAGTTATTTTGAATGAAAATATTTAAGCAGTTTCATATGAAGACGTTTGATTAAATTTGTTTTGAGGTTGATAAATTTTCTCTTGAAAGTATTTTTTTTATATTTTCATACATTCTGTTGTTGGAAAGGTAAAATTTCTATATTTTTGTTAGAGAACGAATGAAGTAGGTGTAAATCTGATTACATGGGTATTTTATTTTTCTGTAGATTTTTAAAGGTCAACACACTTAATTAAAAAAATAGATACGTATATTACGTAAAAAACTTTTTTATCTACATATTTGAATGTTTAGAAGTAAATATGTAATATGTATTTTCATTTACTGATTAAGCCTTTTTTGACAAAAAAAGTACCTATGTAGGTATGAGATAATTTTATCTTTTAACAAGAGTTGCCGTTTGATGGAGCCTTATCAAAAGAATAAAAAATGTGCTAGTCTTGCCTTACTGCAAAATAATATTTGTGTAAATGTAACTCTGAAATTAATTTTCTTAATTTCAGAAAATAAATACAAATATCGCCTACTTAGATACAGAAGCGCATCATAATATGTAATCCAAAAACATAAAATTCACTCTTAATATTTTTAACAATAATAAGTTATTACGATAATTTCTCCTATAATACGAGTACGTTTCTTATCAGTCTTTTCGTGTAAGAATGCTTGATAACAACTTTCCGGCCCCCTTCCCGCGCCCCCGCCACTGTTCCTCCAATCACGTAGCCCCAACAAGGAAGACATCCCAATCTTAAGGAAACAGGTGCAACAAAGACGACAAGTGTAAACAACTAAAAAACCGTTGAAGAACTTTAATTCCACCCGAACTGAACTTTAACGATGAAAACGTGATATTATCGATAAAAAAAAGTGAAAAACAGTCTGTTCTAAATCCAATTTTGTTTTAAATGGCTAATTAATTGGACAGCAAGTCGGCATACAATACCATAACCCACAAGACCACCTGTTGACTCATCGGCAAGATGCAAACGACTTGGAAGAAATTAGAAAACGAGAACGGCTTTCCTTTCTATTTCAAGTAAGTGAAAATTTCGGAAAAATATTTTTCCAATTGGATTTTTAGTGAAAGTACCAAACAAAAGCAGTGGGACCACCCGAAATTCATTGAACTTAAACATACCATAGATGATTGGAATTATGTGAAATATTCTAAATATCGAGTCGGGCTTAAATTTCGAGCTTTACAAAAAGCTCTATTCATGGAGGAAGTAACCCTAAGTACCATTATGGGTGTTTTTGCCAAACATAGACTTGGCATGAATGAAAGCTCTCTGTGTTTGGAAAGCTACGACTTGGAGGCGGTTTTGTATGACATTTTTTTCGCTGCTAATAAACGAAATAATAGGAATATAGACGTGGATTTTGCTGTTGAGTTGATGCAAAACTTTCTTTATAACATTTATGACAAGTAAGTACAATTTCGACAGCCACTAGTGTATAGTCGGAAGTGGCTAATGTCACAAAACTGTTAAGTCTCAAATTTAATTTTTTTCAGGGAAAGGCAAGCAAAAATTCAGGTTTCTTCAACCAAACTAGCCCTAGCATTATTAAGTGACAGCGAATTGTCTGAATTGTATAATTTTATTTTTTCATTATGTGCCGACCATAATAATTGTGTGACAAGACTAAGACTGCAGTCACTTTTGACTAAATTAGTCGAAATTATGGTTTTTATGCATGAGGATGTTAGTTTTGGCCAGCATTTAATTAATTCAACAATCGAACATTGCTTTTGTAACGTAATTGTAGCAATTTAATTTTGAAAAAATAATTAAAAAAATATTCGTAGTCTCCAGGACTAGTTGGATTAAGTGAAAATAATTTCATCACATGGCTGGAGACTCTGCCACAACTATTTTCATGGATTCCCATTCTTTCAAGGATAAAATCAAGCGAAGTGATTGTACACAACTTCAAATGTTCAACTTGTAAAACAAGTCCTTTGGTTGGCCTAATGTATCGTTGCATGAAATGTTCCAAGTACACACAATGTCAGAAATGTTTTCTAAGTGGGAAAATAAATAATTCCCATAAATTGTCCCATTCCATGCATGAGTATTGCACGGCAGAGGTGGCACCATCTTGTGATATTTTGCCATATTTACTTGATGTCAGTTTTTAGGGGATTCACAAAGAATTTTCATTTAGTTTTATTAAAAAATTGTGCGGTTTGATGCCCTGCTCTGTGAAATTAAATGAAACGGATCGAGGGATAGTAGAGACAAAAGCTATAAGGTAGCAGAGTTTAGTTCCTCAATTGTTCATGTATAATGACATTTTTAGTTCCGAAAAAGATTATTTATTGAAACCAAGTGATGATTTTTATTCAAATATAGGGACCCTAAGTTCGCCTCATACGCAGTTACAATTAGTTATCAGGCAGTTAGAGATACAAAACAAGTTTGTGATTATTATATGTATTCAGTGCTAATTGTAATTTATGGAATTTTAGGGAATTGCATCAGATTCTCCTATTTGGGACTCACAACGAGAAAGAAATTCGAAAATATCTGGAAGAACATAAAGTCCAAGTGGCGACACAAATCCATAAATTAAAAATATTGAAAGTAATATGTACATACTTAATTGTAAGGTTTTTAAAATTTTATTTTTTTAGGAATATTTACACGTGGCGCCTTCTCAAAAAACCGTGCATGAGTCGACTCCAATGGTGGGAGTTGTTAAATACCCGAAAAGAAACCTGGAGTCGGTTTTGAGTCCCATTATACAATTGTCGGAAAAACAATCAAGTCAAACTTTATTCGTTGAAAACCCTACAAATGTGACACAAGATTCACTTCCTTATTCTGTTAATGACATAAGCACGTGGATTAAGGACCAACCCACAAGTTCAAAGGGCGAAGATCAAGTCTTTGGGTCTAAATCGCCGGTCAGGGAATTGCATAATGATCTCGATGACGCTTTAGCAAAATTGCAGCAGATCTTGGCAAATAATTTTACGTTAGATGGTAAGGATAAGTTTAACGCGGACTGCATACTGAACACATTTTTGTAGAATCTTTGGGTGCTATCGATAATACTCATCTCAAACATGCGGTGTCTGAAGTTGAGGGAATGCTGACGTCTTTTATTGACAATGTTGAGAGTAGTAGAGCGAGTTCCGTCCAATAAAAAATGAGACTGAAATGTGGCAATTTTTTGACCAAATAGTGTTTTGCAATATTTTATGTAATAATACGATGAAGAAAAATAAATATTTTATTTAATTGACCTGTAAGTACATTATTTTAACGACCAATATTTAAGTATTTTAAAGCCGTTTTTAAAAACAGACCCGGCGTTTCAGTAACCGTTTTTTGGTAACTTTGCAATTTAGCTCGTCGGTCTGTCACTCTCGAAATGTATAAAATTAAACATTACATAACATTAATAAAATATCGTATAAAATATATTGGTAATTTGATAAAATTGTTATTACAAAAATATGTATAACCGGGCCAAAAGCCATTGCATTATTGCACGTTCTTTAATTAAATAAGTTTAGTAACAATTATTCCGGCAAGTGTTAAGCTTAATTTCTCTTCGATGAATTGATCAGATATTTGCAACAGTGCGTGAGTAGGTGTTTTTCCCCCGAGGTGTCCAACGCAGACATCATTTCCCTGGTGTAGATGTCCAACCCATATTGACCTTCCTCGGGGAAACTAATACTAAAAGTGACTATATCGTCGGACACGTTGTGTGAGACAAATTTGGACAGGCGCTTCTCCTCGACGCCGTTTTTGTGCAAAGTGGCCATGAAATCGGTCAGCTGGCGGGACATCCGGAATTGGAGCTCCAGCTCACGCCCGGCAAAGATAAGCGCGTCCTGGTGTGTGATGGGCACGAGGCCGAACAGTCTTGTGGCTTTCGTGGGGCCCCACTCGCCGCTGGCACAGTCGGGCAAGGGCACCATCACGGTCTGAAGGTCCTCACAGCAAATCTTAAATTTGCACACGCTTTTGAATTTCATGGGCTCTCCTGTGAGGTACTCCTTGGGGGTGACCGCATTGGCGAATATATCGAGGAGAAAGGCTCCACTACAGGGGGCGTGAACTCGAAAAGCCACCATATTGCCCACCACGCTCTGAAAAACCCTCACACAATATCACCAACGCCACAATAAAAATCATAACTCGGTCATACCTGCATTACGAACCGTTTCAGTGAAACCCCGTCGAAACTGTCACTATCGCTATCGTAAAATTTCAAATTGTAATGGAAAATGAGACTGCCTTGCATGTGGGCCGGCATTGCAATTCTTACAGTCGCGGCCCCTGAAATTCAGTTGTTAGGGTGTTTGGTTTACTGGGGTTGTTAATACCTGTCGAATCCGTATACATTACAGCTTTTGTATTCGCATCAGAAAAGTACAGGCCGTACCGGAAAAACAAAGATCTGACGAAAGGTAATTCCTCGAATTCTTGCAACGTTATTGGATTTTTGAGCAATTGCCACTCCGGTTGCAATGGGAAGAATTCGTAAATGAACTCTTTAGGGTCAGTCAGGAAGTAATGGTCATCATATTCATATCTATCAATCGAATAATAGTTAATGAAAAGTTATCAGAATTTGGGATTTACCTTAAACTATCCGATTTGGTTTTATTTCCAGCTTTGGGTGCTTCTTTCGCATTGACTAAATGTCGGGCCCCCCAGTTGCACTGTACAAATCTCCAAGCCCCCGCCACATAAACTGCATTCCAAGAATTCCGGAATCTATTATCCTCAAACCTAACTCCGGGTTGGTACCCTGCCGACTTCGAGTACCCCTTGATGACTACACAATGTAAACCTGCATAACTATTCACACAATTATCAAAAATCTCCACAAACTAACTCCAAATCACCTGCACAGTCTTTTAAACAAGACATGGTAGCTCTCTGTACCATTTTTGATTCCCCGCAATAGCCCCATAGGAGTATCCCCTCTTAAATTATCATCAAAAGACATCGTATTTAAATTTTTTACAGTTATCCATCTGAATATTGTTCGCGCCTTTTCGATATCCGACCCACACCTGCCGACCAACTGTCTGACTAAGTCTGTGAAGCTTTTTTGATCTTCTTGGGCAACAGAAATGGCGATTTGGTCAACATTCGAGAACTCTACAGGATCGTTGTAGACTTGATACTTGCTAAGGGCGGGTGGTGCCGGCGCTGGAGCATGACTGGGGTACGGCTGGACTTGTTCTTCGACGTAGCCGTCGTTACTGTCTAGGTAGAGGGACTCGGCTTGCATGTATTCACTACGCTTTTCGTTGATCAGTTCGAGCATTTCATGACTTTGTTTCTCAACGAGGGCTGCCGTCGCCGCTCTGAAAGGTGTTTGATCAATAAGAGGTTCCAGGTTGCAAAAAGTGGTGTTTTTAATATACAGGCTGTTTCACATAATTTTACGAGACCTGCGCCTGTAAGATGCAATCAATAATACATATTCCGATACGAACTCGATTACAAATTTTGAAAAATTGGTTTGTTCACCCTTTCAAAAATTACAACGTTTTTAGTTAGCTAGTGATTAAGATAGATAAACTACAACCATATTCATGCCGTCTCTTGAACAAATGATAATTGTTTCTGAAAAACTGCAATTTATGACTATTAATGAAATAGTGATTAGTTTGACAACTACTGTCATGGGTTTCCAAAAATTAAATAATTAAATGTGTATTTTTTGTTCTGTGACTTTTGTATAATATTTGGGTGCGAACTACGGAGAACTACATACTTTAGTTAGTCATTAGGTATCCGTAGTGCGAACATTAGGCGCAAGCCTCGTAAAGTTATGTGAAACACCCTGTATCTATGTCACTAAAGTAGAGAATTATAAGACAACGATAATAATATTCATCCAATTCATTGATAATATAGAAACTACATTGTGTAATAATGATCTGTTCAATATTTTTATGTTGTAAAATTGTTGCCAACCTTATAGCAGAAACAGTTCTGTTGAGGGAAACTGATTTTGGCTATGTGTAATCAGCCACACACTTTTAAGAGAAGAATAATAAAAGAGATTTCTACTCCCGCTTATTTGTGTTCGCCTAAACAATGAACATTTCTCAAAATAAGTCATCAAGATTTTTTCCTGGCATTAATAACGCATTCGCAACACCATCCGTGTCAAGACTAAACCAATAATTAAATTCATTAATAAATTCGTGCGAAAGCACCAAACAATGCTGTTCCATCTGTCATACCGTTCATGCTCTAGCATTTTCCTCGTCAAAGACTCCTTCTTTTTATCCCTTCTGAGCGTCATATTCTTCTCCAAATCCTCTTTTTCTTGTTGATGCCTGAGTGTGAGGACATTCTGGTCGTCCCGTTTCCGTTTCATTTGCATTTCCCTTTCAAATCGACTCGTTAGTCTCTCCAATTCTTTCTCCCATTCATCCTAAAACACCCACTTTCTAATTGGAGTACAATTGAGAGGGTCAAGGCCACCACTTACCCGGAATTCGTCCCTGATTCTTCTCTCTTCTTCTTCCCTTTGACGGGCGAATTTTCTGTACAAATCGTCTTCTTCTTTCCGGTGTTTCATTTCTAAGCGCTTTTGCTCATCGCGGTCCTGAAATTCGACATTTTTCCATAGAATCAAAAATATATAAGGAACGTATTTAATTTATTCCCACTAAGCACTCAAGTCAAGATTATGAGAAAGATAAGCCCCATCTTATTGTTCAATTGAACTTTTGTACAAAAATCAAATACTGTTATTACTACGAATCCAAAAACAGTTAGAATATTTTTTCAAATATTCCAATCGGAAATTCTTAAAATGTTCAATGACTTGGACGCCGCAAAGTAACTCACGGGTGCGATTTTTATTATAAACAGTTAAATGGTAAGTCTTGTACGGAATGCTCAACGTTGCGTGTTAAGCCAATTTATACACACTTTATATTGTATAAGAATTTTTTCGAAGTGGATTTTTTTTGAGGTATTATAACAGGAATACTACATAAATCGTGCAGATATGGTCGAGTGTGATGCTTCTGAACATTATTAATCGTAAATATTTGCGTTAGAGGTTTTAACTTGGAATGTATTCGAGAAATTAATTGGTTTAGTAAAAGTGGAATTCTATAAAAAATGATCGGAATTATTGGAAAGTGAAAAATGTTCTCGAGAGGAATGAGACAAGAATTTTGCGTGTGTTGACAACATTTTCGAATGTTTTACTACCAAAAACAAGTAAAAGCCAACCAGCATTAACACTCAAGAATAATAGATGGAAAAGTCTCTTTAGAAAACAAAAAAAAAAATATCTGTATTAAGATTATGTAGCGTAGGTATCTATATTCATTAAAAAAGACACTTTGTGTGATTTATTATTACTCACAAATAACCATAACTAATAAATATGAAACAGCAAATCTTTTTTTAAGATTGCAAAGAATCGGACTGGAATTTGACTGTTGTAAATAAAAAGTTTTTATGATTTTCAGTATTTCTTTGAATCTGCAGATATTTCCATAAGTATTGATGATAACTTTTTGCAAAAAATGTAACATATTTACAAAAATTCTATCGCAATCATAAGAATAAGAACTTCTGATATGCTCTATTGATCTGCGGTTTACTCATCTCCGTTTTTGTTTATTTACAAGTATTTCGTTTATTTTATATTTTAGAGTAAAAATTTCTGATTTTGCTGATTTTAATTAAATCAGAGTTCTTTTTAGTGAAGTTTTAAATAGAATTTTTGTAATTTTAATTCTTGAAGAGATGTACGAGGCATAATATTTTCTTGCACAAGAGTTAAAAAACATATATTTGCTTAAAATTGTCGAAACATGTTTCGGGCACTATCTAGTCCTATCTTCAGTCTAGATTGATGATAACAATATAAAAATTTGAAATGATTTTGTTTTAACGCCGTGATTGAGGAAGCTTCACTTTCTCGATTACTTTTACTTTTTAAGCAATTTTCAAATTTTTATATTGTTATTAACAATCTAGACTGAAGATGGGACTAGTAGTACCCGAAACATGTTTCGACAATTTTAGCTATATATATGTTTTTTAACTCTTGTGCAAGAAGACCCGTACCTCTCTTGAACCAGATAAACTTGCACTTTGCATCAACGATGGAATCCTTTTATTATAAATTTTAATTCTTGTTGGTAGATCTTTTTTGTAAAGACGTGTTTTTTGGGTTTACTCTGACACAGATTAATAATAATAATAATTGATATTTTTGATAAATAACAAATTTGTTGGAGA